GAGGTGCAGTGGGTGGGGTTGAGGTGAGTGGGGGAGGGGTGGAGGTGCGTGGATGGGGTGAGGTGGGTGGGAGGTGAAGCGGGTGGGGTAGGGGGGAGATAAGTAGAGGAGATGGGTAGGGGAGGGCTGGTAAGGTGAAGTTGAGGGAGGGGGTGGGTAGGGGAGGGGGCTGCTTTGGGTGTGGGGGCGTGAACACTTCCCCTGAAGGCAGCCTTTATGCTGCCCCCAAGGTCTCTGTTATTACATGCTCTCAGTGCCAGGGACTGATTGACAGCTGTCTCTTTCTCTCTCTCTGCAGTCAGAGCAGCGCGTGACACGTTGTCAATGGACGAGAGCGCCAGGCTCTGTTTGATGTGCTCCGCACACTATTATTTCGCTTGAACTGCGGAGAGCGGGCTGTAAAATTAATTTGGTTGCAGACTCTTATTTATAGTACATTAAAAGCGTCCCTGAGTCTGGCAAAGATTGCTTCCCATCCATCGTCCTTTGTCATCATTCTTGTGGCTCTTATTCATTAGCGAGCCGCGACCTCTCCCCACACACATACACTGGCTACCCTCGCCATTCATTGCCCTCACTTCCCAAATCTTAGCCCAACTGCCTTGTAAGACTGCTTATTCACTGGCTTGCTGCAGGGAGGGAGGTGGTGAGGACAGGATTAAGCTCTGCTAAGTTGCTCTTTCCTCCCTTAGCCCCCCCCCCCCACTTCAATCAATCTACAACAATTTGCATTTATATCCCCCCCCCCCACCCTCGCTGTCTGCACTCAGGGTGAAGATTGCCACTTGGGTAATAGTGATGTGGCTGTGTGTTTAGGTTCTGCAGCTCACACATCAAAAGGCGAGGATTATTATTAGCACTGAGGTGTGTGCTTGTCTTTCTCTCACTAGCTCTCTCTGCTGCTGCCTGTCTGTTTAGCTTTTTCTGGCTGTGTGTGTCTCTCTCTCATGCTGTGATTACGAGGGCGACAGCGAGAGAGTGAGACCGAGACAGCGAGAGAGATAGTGAGAGAGATGGTGAACGAGAGACAGCAAGACAAGAGCAAGAGACGGAGAGTGAGAGAAAAACGGTGAGAGGGAAAGATGATGAGAGGGAGAGACGGTGAGAGAGTGTCGGTGAGAGAGACGGTGAAAGAGAGACGGTGAGGGAGAGACGGTGAGAAAGAGAAAGTGAGCCGGTAAGCGAGACCTGAGAGAGGGAGAGAAATGGAGACAGCGCGAGAGAGAGTGAGAGAGAGAGAGGTGCATCCTGGCACCAGTCCAGTTCAGCAAATCAACATATCAGAGAGTGAAGCGCAGTGCGTGCCCAAGGATGGGGACAGACGGTGAGAGAGCAAGCACTGCCCCCCCTCCTGCAGTGACAGTCTCCAGCCTCAGTGCTGAGGAGAAGCTGCCCTTTGCCAATACCAGCTGCTGGGGGAGAGCTAACAGGTTAAAAGCCTCCAGACGGATTTTCAGTGTGAAATTCCATTTGAGTCACGTTCGGCACAGTGAATCGGAAGCACGGAGCAGCCAGGCTCAGCCAGGCCCCACCTCCCTTGTTTAATGACAAATACACAGTCGCTGCATTTGACAGCAATTACCTGTGAAGCGCTCTGAGACATTGTAAAGATTAGGAATAATATCTGAGTTAGTATTTGCAGAGCGGGTGCTCTGAGATGCTGCACTGCGTGGAGGGCGCTATATAGATGCAAGATGTTGTATGTGCGGGGGAATTGTTGAGGTGACTGACTTGTCACATTTAAGGTTGGAGTACAGTCCATACCCCCTCCCTGTGTCGAGGCTAATGACCCCCAAATAAAATCACATGGTTGGTGAGAAGTTGCTGTTGGCAAATTGGCTGCTGCGTTTCACCCAAAAAATAGGCACTGGACATTACTGTCAAGCGCTTTGAGACGTCTCAGTGAGGTAATAAGACGCTGTATCAAATGCAAGGATTATTATTATTGTCTCCTGCTGAATCACTGTGAATGACCTGGCCTGTAATCCCCACACTTTGGTGTTTGTCTGTCCTCCTCCCTGCGCCCCCACTCCCCCAAGGACTGTGATATCTCCGGGTCCCTTGAGGGCTGTGCTCTGGGTCAGAAGCCACTGTGATTAATCCTCCTCTTGGTACCAAGCTGGCACTGGATGGGGGTGGGGGTGAGAGGAGGAGAACAGAGGAAGAAAGAGGAGGGGAGCAGAGGGGAGGGGGAGAGGAATTGTTTTGTATAAAAGGCCTGGGGTCGTTCTGTCGCTCGTGTGCTCGGGCTGGGGTAAGGCACCACCGCTGACCTTGACCCATGCTGGATGCATTAACTCCCTGCTCTTGTCTGGGTGTCACCAGCGCTACTGCTCAGCTCAGTGAATGCAGCAACCCAGCTCCTCCGTGAGCTGATTTTTAATAAACGGGATCAGAGCTGCTAACGTGAGGCGTCAGGGCACGAACCTTCCCCCTCCCTTCCCTGTGATACCTGGTCTGAATCAACTCTGCAAAAATCCAGTCTTTTTTGTTTGCTGGTTAGTAAACACACAGACAGCAGGTGTGGGGAAAGCCTACCAGTCTGTCTGTATCTGTCCGTCTCTCTGTGTGCTTAACACTACCCCCCCCCCCCACACACACACACAGACAGACAGACTGGAGCTATCTATTCTAATTCCAATTCCCTGCTCTTTTCCTGCATCCTTTGATATTGCTCCTCGTAAAACGACCATCAAGCTAGCCCTTTTTTTTGCTTGTTGAAGGAAATGTGTGGCAAATTAAGGTTTTGTTGAGCTGAACAGGGCACAGGCTGTGGTCTCCAGGCAGCACCACCTAGTCACTGTATGTGTGAGTGTGTATGTGTGCGTGTGTGGAGTGGGGGGAGGACAGTTGCTGTCTGCTCCTCAGGTATCACATTCTGTTACAGGGAGCCACCAGGGAGGGAGGATGGAGCTGGGCTAGGACATCCCTGTGGTTAAAACCTCCCACCAGGCTCCCTGTCTGAGGTCAAATCAAGAATAATCAAATAAATTCAAGTGAGTGCATGAGTGGGAGGGAAGGAGGTGTGTGTGCTGGTGGGGGGGCGTTGGGATGTGTGTAGGTGTGTGGGGGAGAGGAGAAGCTGTGTGTGAGGTGAGAGGGGGGGAGAGGAGAGAGTTTGTGATGGGGGGGTAGAGAGAGATTGTGTGGGTAGGGTGAAAGGATTTGGAAGGGGGAGGAGAGAGAGGATGTGTGGGGTATGTGTGTGTTTGGGTTGGGGGAGAGTGAGGAGGCTGCTTTCTATTGTGTGGATGTGAGAGGGAGAGATCGTCCCTTTCCGCATGGCTCCATGACGGTGATGGTCTGTTATCAACGGCACGCAGCTCCCAGACTAAGCCCGTGTACTAATGGGGTTTGGGGAAGATTAAAATGCTAATGATACGTGCAGAGAGAGCACAGCCGTGACGCAGCAGAGCTTTGCAGAGTGAATGCGCAGACACAGTCTACGTGCAGGAGGTATGTGTGAGGAGCAAAGACTGGTCTGGCTACAGATCAGGCTCCAGCTGAACTCTGGTGCAATATATAGAGGTCTTGAACTCAGAAATAAATACAGCATAATACTCTCTCCCCTGTGTTTGATACAGAGTATCTCTCTGCCACCTCCCCACTCCTTCCCGAGCCCAAGGGTGCTGAAATAATAATAATAATCCTTGCATTTGATATACCGCTTTACCACTTTGTTGAGACGTCTCAAAGCGCTTCACAGCATACATTGTAAAGTGAATTCACTGTACATTTTGTGGGTGAAACACAGCAGCCAACTGCACTGAGTGACCAAATTATTGAAATATATTACTACCCTTGGAAAGTGATCCGCTAATCGACTAACAATTGGGTTTCTACTTACTGCTAGGTAAACAGAAGCATGTGGAATAAGGAAACTGGCCTGAGGTTTCGCCTGGGAATCAAACCCAGGTTCCCTCGCTTGCGTGGCAAGCGTGCTACCTGCTAAGCTATAGGACACCAAAGCAAGCAGAAATCAAAAGCTAGCAGCCATTGTCTGCAGGCTAACCGAGCACTGGAGACTGGGATTGGTACTGCACTGATCTGTGAGGATCTTTGCCAAATTATGTTTTGCCGACTGAGCAATGGGATGAAGGGGAAGGGTTAGGAAGCAGAACAAATTGTTCAAAGTCCCCTCTTCCCCCCGCCTTTCCCCCTCCTCTCTCCTCCTCCCTTTCCCCCCACTCCTCTCCCCCCCGAGTGTAACTTGCAAAGCGCAGGCTTCCCAGCAAAGCCACAGAGGAAAAGCAGTTTATATCACTGAAAAATTTATAAGATTCCTGTTGACGCTGTCCCTTGAAACATTCCACTTAGCATGAAAACTCCTCATCTCATTCAATATTTAGTTCCCCAACATTAAATGTTCGTGCTGTGGCACTGGGCAGCCCTTTCGCCGGTTTGATTTAATGTTAATTTTATTTTATTACAAGCCAATAAATTACAGAGGGAGGGAGGGAAGGAGGGAAGGTTTGCGTTTGAATCATAGTTGCAGCAGAGGCTTGATCCCGACCAGAGTTTAGCTCCAGCAAAAAGGCTGGGCGGTGTGTGTGTGTGTGTGGGTGTTTGTGTAGTGGCCAGGCATCCAGTTCAATGCAAGTCAATTAGCAAACGACACATGGAAATGCCTACGAGAGCTGCAACTGAAGTAAATCAGACTAGAGAGAAAAATAGATTAGAAACTCTGCTCACCCCTCTCCCCATGGTGTCTGTGCTGATGTTTGTTGCCCCTCCCCCACCCCAAATAGAGCAGAGAGCTTCAGTGGGTGAGCGAGCACCAGCACAGACACGATGGGGAGAGAACAGGGGAATGAGATTAGAATAGAGAGCTCCAGTGGGGGAGCGAGCACCAGCACAGACATGATGGAGAAAGAACATGGGAATGGGATTCGAATAGAGAGCTCCAGTGGGGAAGCGAGCCCGTGTGTACTCAGTGGCTTTTCCTATGCTGTAGTTTCTGTGATGGGACTGTAACACCTTCCCTTCTTGCCTGTTCGCAGAACTCAGTGACAAAGGGAAAGTCCATGGAGTCCTTTCAAGACCCTAATGGTTTCCAGGGAAACCAGCAGAGCTACCAGCAGGTCAGGGCTGACTCGTCGCGATTGGAGAGCTACCGGCAGCTGCAGCAGAACCGGGTGCCGCAGAACTACGAGCCCCATGAGATCGCATCCAAAGAATATTACAACCAACAGGCGTACCCGGGCTATGGCAGCGGGGCAGCCAGGACTTATTTTGGTGGTGGTAAACAGCTGGCCAGCCAACAGCCCCAGAGCAGAGCCACCAGCTCGGTGTCGACGTACGCAACCCACCAGAGTGGCGCCTTCTCAAGCCAATATCAGAAAGGACAGGCTCAGAAGTGGCAGAGCCAGAATGCTGCGATGGAAGGCTTGTCCCAGTACGGGCAAGAGGCCTTCAAGGGAACTATTCCATCGAGTGCCAATGCCTCCTATCTGCAGCAGCACATGCACGCAGGCACTGCCAGGAACCCTTCCCACTCCGCCCAGGTGCCTCACTTCATGCACCAGCCTCACCACAAGCAAATGCTACAGCACGTTTCCTCCTACGTCAATAGGTCAGCGCAGTTCAACCACAGCTTCCAGCCGTCGTCCCCATCCCCATCCCCTTCCTATTCGGCAGTGCAGGATTACAGCCAAGGGTCTCGCTCATACGAGACCTATCCCAGCCCCCAGTATGACAGGCAGAGCGCTGGCACCACTACCAGCAACCCAGCCTACGGGGGACAGGGCAACTATGGGTACAAGGCACCGGTGGCCAAGGGAACAGGCTATGAGCAGAGCAAAGCGATGCAGCTCAAGCAACATTCTGCCCCCCAGTACCACACTGGGCAAAGCAAACTGCACCTTGTGAACCAGTCTCTGCAAATCTATTACCAGCATGAAGCACCCGTCAAATCGCCTGAGCAGTTTTACCAGAACTTCAGCCCCCCATCCAGCCACTCACCTGTCTCTACCGTGGTCAGATCACCGTCCTACAGCTCCACGCCTTCCCCATTGATGTCCAATCCCGAAGCACTCCAGTTCGGCCAAAAGTCTGAGGCCTCGCCCATGGCACCTGAAATGAAAAGCAACGCTGCTCACTTGATGCCTTCCTCACCAATGATCCCAGCCTCCAACAAGCCCCAGGGAGGAGGAAGTTGCAAGGCTTTCCTGAAGGAAAAGATTCCCGAGAAGCTGCTGTCGGACGCGAGCTTCAGCAGCCTCTATGCCCTGAGCTCCCAGGTGGAAAATCTGCCCAAGACGGTGCAGCAACTCCTCCTGTCCAACACCCTGGCTCCTCAGAAGAAGAGCATTAAGCGTCTGCTGAAGAAGTCAGAGATGTTAAACGAGCTCAAGAGCTCGGAGGAAAATCTGTATTCGGAGGAGCCGCTGGGGACACCTCAGTCGTTGCAGACCGATTTACAGGAGGACTACTCCAGCGGCTCTGAGGACCAGGCACAGAAAATGCACTTTCTTCACTGCAGGAACGCTGTGAACCTGGATGCGCTGAAGAAGAATCTGGACTCCATCTTGTCCTGCTCGGTGACCTCCCCCAGCAAGGTCCTAGCCGAGTGCAAATCGGACGACTCCATGCACAGCGGGGACGGCTATCTGGGGTCGGACTTTGAACGGCTGCCCACCGAAGGGCCACCAGTTCCGTTCTCAAAGGAAGAGATCAAGGCCTCTAGTGTTATCATTCTGAAGGACACTTTCAAGGAGAAGGTGGAAGCTGAGGTCAACCATTTCGGACTGGACAAAGAAGCCAAAGCAGCTCACTTGAATTTCTACAGCAACGAGTCCTGCTTTGGACACCTGGCTCATCCAAAAGTATCTGGTCAGGACGGACATTCCCTGACTTTGAACTGTAACCAGATGCCGGTGAAGAGAGAGGACTCGCCGGCACTGAGGAGCTTTGATGATGAAGGTTGCTCCGAATCTCAGCTTCTTTCTAAGCTGGTGGAGTCTTCGCAAGCATTGCACTCCTTAGCTCCAGGCTACAAAGATAGCTTTATCGTCCCATTCGGTGGGCACCCATGCTTGCATTTGACCACTGGGGCACAGGGTTCGGAGAAGCTTTTCAGCTTGCCTAGCAAAAGAGGGAAGGAGCAGTTCACAGACTGGGATAAGCTGGAGGCTGACTTTCCTCAGTGTCATCCCCAGAAGAAGTTGCCACAGAGCAAATTCCAGGGTGGCTACAAAGACGATTTAGCTCCCGAGCAGCTGGCCCTAGAGAAAGAAGGCAAGACGGAACCCGGGGGAGACTGTAACCAGGGGCCAGTGGCCAACAGGTCAACCAACGATCTGGCCGCCACTGGAGGAGAGGTGAGATGTTACAATGAGGAACTGGAGGAACAGCAAAGAGTGGATGCAAGTGAGGAGGCGCTGGAATCCAAGGAAAACCAAGCTCTTCGCGAGGCGATCGCCAGTGTGGCCGAAAGGAAGTCTGTGATCTGCGACGTCTCTCCCACCCGGCGCTGTGCCAAGGGCCAGGAGTTGCTGCTGCCCGGTGGCTCTGAGGGAGCGGAGCTGCCCGCTGCCTCCTCGGTCATACACGCAGGACGGGGGATCGTGACCGAATCACCGATTGGCCCCTCCGGGTGCCCGCAGCATGCCGAGGAAAACGCAGTGCCACGCGGAGAGGATGGAGAGGTCTCTCCGGTGGTGCTTGAGAGGGAGATGGTGGAGATGGAGGAGGAGGAGGCGGCTTTGCCCACGTTATCTCCGGAGCTGATCAGCACTGCCCTGACCGAGATCGAGAACGCTCCCCTCAAGAGCGCGGCCGGTACCGGCACCGGTAAGGTGGCCGCGAGCAGGTTCAAGAGGCTTCCGGGCAGAGTGGCGGTGCAAGGAGCGGAGGCTGGGAGTAAAGCGCAGCCGCCGCCGCCGGATGAGAGCGAGCAGAGCCCCCGGGTGGGACCGGGAAAGCCCAAGTGGCCCGGGACGCCCAGGGACAGGACTAAACCGCACAAGGGCGGCCAACAAGAGGGCTTGCCGGTGGGGGGACCGGGGGCCCCCGTGGCGGTGGGGCTGCCCTCAAAGATGTGCACTCGGTCCTCGGCGGCGCTGATGGAGAGCAAACTGACGCTGCAATCCCGGGGCTTCCTCAAGAGGAGGGCGGCCCAGCCCGAGCCACCCACCGCCGGTTCCAAGCACAGGCTCAACCCGGACTCGGAGAGAGGAGGCGGGAGCCCAAGGCAAAGCGCCAGCTCGGCGCTCCGGGCGCCACCGGGTAGTAGGGGCCACCCCAACGCCGCCGCCAACTCGGCCGCCTACACGGGGGGTGACCCGGGCCAACAGGTGGGCGCCCATCATCACCACCAACACCACCTCCTCCAACCTCCGCCCCCCGACTCCGGCTCCTACAAACCGGGGGCCCCCAGGGCCAGGACCCGGGCTCAGGCCACGGTGCTGCAGAGAGGGGAGAAGCCGAGAAAGAGCTGCGGCAGCGGAGGAGGCGGCGTCGCGTCCGGCCGCTGCCCGGGCGCCAGGACCGGCTCCTCGGTCGCCGCCAGGTCCCAGCGGCAGCTGTCGGCCGGCGGCGAGGCTGCTTCGGACGGGGAGCGGGTGGCGAGAGCGGGGAGCCTGGCCGCGCTCCACCCGGCGGCCATCCCGCCGGCTCAGCAGCCGCTCAAGAGGAAAGGTTACTGCCCGCCGCCGCCCGTCCCGGCCAAGCGGCAGCATCAACAGGCGGCGGCGGCGGCGAAGGGGAGCGAGAGGAGGGCGGACGCCCAGGAGCGCCCGTCACCGGCTCCCGGGGCGGAGAGCCAGGCGGGGGCCCCGGCTGAGGCCGAGGAGGAGGCCCAGCGGGGCCCGGGCTGCGGAGGGCCCGCAGCAGCGCGATGCCCGGGGAAAGAAGCGACGCCGCCCGTCGCCGCGGCCGTTGCCCTCCGGGTCCCAGGGAAGACCAAGATCCTACCCCCGAGGAAAGGGCGAGGCCTGAAGCTGGAGGCCATCGTACAGAAAATCACCTCACCCAACTCCAAGTCCGGGGTGTTCGCCTGCAGCAACTACTCGGACGGCGGCGGCGGCGGCTGCGGCGGCGGCAGCAGCGCCTGTCTGACACTGGACCAGATCCTGGCGCTGAAGGAAGCCTCGGGCGACGAGGCGGGTGTCAGGATGGCGCCGGGCGACGCTCCGGACAACGACACCGTCTTGTCAAAGGCCGAGGCCTCCAAAGCCGCCGCCGCCGCCGCCATTGATATCGTCGACCACGACGACGACGACGATGATGACGACGACGACGACGTCGGCGGCGGCGGCGTCGTCGACTCTCCGAGCAAAAAAGGCGCCAAAAGAGTGAGCGAGGAGAGCGCGCGGGGCGGCGCCAGACCAACGGCCGCTCAGGAGGAGGCGCGCGGGAAGGTGTCGGCTCCTCACGAAGGAGCGGCCGCTGAGAGCGACGGCGGTCGGGGTGTGACCGCGGAACCCGGCGGCGGCGATTCTCCGCCGTTCGTTCCCGCTCCCCCGGCGGCGGCGGCGGCGGCGTCGTCGTCATCTGATGCCGCTGCTTCGGAGCCGCCGCCTCGCGAGGAGGACGACGCCATGAGGAGGACGGTGCCCGCCAAATGTTTGAGGCAGCCGACGAAGCGTGGCGGCGGACACGCCCCGGTCCCGGCTCCGGCCAAGGCCCCGGGCCCGGCGAAGAAGGAAGGGAGAGGCAAGGCGGGCAAGAAGGCGGGCGGCAAAGCCAAGGCCTCGGCCGGAGGAAGGCGCCGGAGGAAGCACCTGAAGGGGAGGAAGAGCAGCGCCAAGGCGGCTCGGAGGCGGAAAGCTCCGGCCAAGAGGAGCGCGGCGCCGCTGGTGGAGACGAAAGAGCCCGAAATCCGGCTCAAATACGTCTCGTACAAGGTGCCGAGGCCCGAGAGCAGAGCCCAACCCTTCTCGCCTTACGTCCACGTCCAGCAGAGCGGCGGCGGCGGCGCCGGTGGCGGCGGCTGCGTGTCCTCCTCGGTCTGCGCCATCATCAACACCCTGTCCGAGCAGCAGTCGCGGCTGCAGAAGGTGAAGAAGAAAAGGGCCTCGTGTCCTCGCCTCTCGGCGGCGTCGCTCAGCAAAGCGCTGCCCGCCTCCTCGGCCATGCTGCCGGGCCCCGTGGTGCTGGAGGCGGCCACGCGGGGCCACCTGCTGTGCTGCCTGTGCGGCCGACCCAAGAACCACCGGCAGCTCGGCGACCTGTTCGGCCCTTATTACCCCGAGGACTACACGCCACCCGCTACCAAGAGCCATCACCTGAGGGCGAGGCAGGAGGCCAGGAGCGGCGGCGGCGGCGGCGGGAACGGGGGCCCCGAGGCGGCGGGCTCCGTCCAAACCAAGTCCGCCGACTGGGAGAGCGAGAGGAGCGCGGGGACGGACCCGCCGCCCCCGCCCCCGCCGCCGGTCCCACCGACGACGACGACGCCGCCGCCGCGGTTGGAGAAGGCCGGCGAGGCCGAGGACCCGCACGCCGCCGCCGTCAGGACCAGCTCCAGGGAGAAGTGCAAGCGGCTGAGCTGCTACTGCTGCGCCCGGCTGCAGGAAGACGCCGAGGTGAAGAAGGTGAAGAGGAGGCCCGGCGCCGAGGACGAGGGGCAGCCGCCAGAGCTGCCCCTGGACCCCAACGAGCGCTGGGTGCACGGAGCCTGTGCCGTGTGGACCAGCGGCATCTACCTGGCCGCCGGCAAACTGTACGGCCTGCGGGAGGCGATGGAGATGGCCAGCGAAATGGTAAGAAGGACACGGCCTGCGATTGATTGGCGGGGGTTGGGGTGGGGTGGGGGTTGGGGTGGGGGTGGGGGTTGGGGTGGGGTGGGGGGGGGAGAGGTGTTGGGGGGTAAATTCAGAACGGATCTGCGGAACCTCTGCCCGAGTTGGTAACCGTACCCGCTGCCACCACAACCACTTGCCCCTCGCGCAGGCTAGCGCCCCAGAGCGCCCGAGAGTACGGTGTGTGGTTCGGGATAGGGCATGGAGAGTGCCCCTGCCCGGATGGCGGCGGAAGGCCCGAGCTGGATGGGCTTGGGTCTTCTTTCGTTTAGAACTTCCTCCGTTCGGGCGCCTGGCACCAGAACTGCTCATGGCAGCGGCGCCCCGACCCGCGCTTACTCGTGCCAAGAACCACTCCAAGCAGTGGCAGTTTTAGCAAGTTAGACTCCCAACAGTTACCCCCCCAACGCACAATCTGAGCTCTTCCCAATGCCTTGGCTCTTGACATGGTTGGCAATGGAATCTATGTCGTGCTAAGGTGCTATATGTCAAACGCAAGGATTATTATTATTATAACATTTTCAAGACATCCCAAAGCGCTTCACAGAATATACTTTAAAGTGAGTTGACTATATGCGCACTCTGCGGTGCCCAAGCCTTGGCTTCTGCCAATCTGAGCGTAATACTTTCAAGGATTAAGTAAAACAGTATGCATTCCTCCAGAGAGCGTGCATTCCATTCAACAAGTTATCTCTGTAGGTGGGATGCATGGAATTCTCAGTTTGGTTTGGATACTCTTAAGCACGGTGATGGGTTTCTGAATGTGTCAAGACAGTTGGTTGACTGAAAAAAAAGTTTATTTACAAATACACAGTCACTGCACTTAACAGTAATCGCTGTGAAGCATTCAGAGAGATTTTGATGCTACGTGCACTGAATGAAATCCAGGGATTATTATTTTTATAGTAATGGGGATAAGCAGTGAATAGGCTGTTGGCAGTGAGAGATTGATGACTTGCATTCATGTAGTGGTTTGCAAGGGCATCAGTTGTGAAATTGAGTTACTGTCTAAAGGACATTACGCAATTCGTTCAGTCAAGCTGCCAAAAAAAGCAGGCGCCTTGGTTGTGGATGGATGTTGTTGGGATTGTGTCGTTGTAAAGGATGTGCGATTCTGCTTTGACCAACAGGTAAATTGGTCGTTCACCTTTTGACTGTTTGTGGAACTTACTGTGCCTAATCCGTTGTTGTGTTTGTCTATAAGTGCACAGTCACTACACTAAACTGCACTCGCGTGCATCCCTGTTACGCGGCTGAGTGAACAGCGAGATGACTGGTAACTTGTAAACCATAGGCAAATCGTCTGTAATCCAAGACGAGAATGAAGGCGTGGACACGTTCTGATGCAGTTTGTGAGACACGGCCTAACTGCCAGTGTGCTCCAAAGTGGACGAGGACAGCACTAAACCATTTGTTCCTTAAGAGTGGACAACACTGGGGCTTCACTTCCCGGCCCTGACATCTGCTTGACAATTATTCAGGCAAACTGGCATCGTGGCATCACTGTTCACCTCATGGCTGTTATCGGGACCTGTCTGATATGCCAAGTGGCTGCTGCGGTGGCGTACAATATACAGTCCCTTCACTCAAGAGCAATTCTCCGGGAAGCACTAAGACATTTTGGATTATTTATCAATCTATTTCTCACCACAACAAACTTGATAAATCTTGTTGATTTCAGTAGGGTCAAATGCTCTCCCTATACCAACTTTGACGGAGGCTAAGACTTCAGCCAACTGATTCTTCCTGTTTAATATGCCAATAACTTGCTCACAGTTCTTCCATCTTATTAAAAACCGGCTCAAGCCCTTAATGAATTTGAATTCAAACCTATTTTTTCCCCTCAAACACAATGGTGAAGACATCTTTGCCTTTACCGCTTCATTAAACCCCAGCAGTGCTGGGCGTTGAGGATGATGTACTTTCTCTCTTTATCGCTCCTGGAGCATCCAGTGCTTTGTGCTTTGCTCCTTATGGAGCTGGAGATTTCTCCCCTCCCCGCGCTGCATTCCCGGAGAGGAGATGCAGGAGCTGTTTCATTAATTTCCAGGAACTCGTCCAAATCCTTCCTGAGTCTTTTAATAAATTGCTCTTTCCATCAACACAAATTCATTAAAGTGTCACTTCAGTGAGTCTCCTGATTCTTGATTAACTGTCTGAGAAATGGATAGGAGGGAGGAAATAGAGGAGGTGAGAGTGTGAGCAGAAAGGATGACGTCTCTGTCTTGGCGTCCGTCCTACCTGTAGGGAGCTCTGGGGAAATGAATTAGAAAACCTTATAATTGGTGCCCACGTGGAGAGGACTGGAGTCAGCGATGGAGTCTTTCTGCTGTCCCAAGGGCTGTGCTTACCTGTCTTCTTTACTCCTGTTCGACAGTTTGAGATGCTTTTGGGATGAGAAAATCTCCAAGACTGCGCTTTGCTGGCCGGCTGTCTTGTCCCCTGCCTTTTAATAATAACACTTTTATTTGAAACAGCGTCGTTCACGTCTGGAGGACATCTAAAACGCTTCACGGGATTCACTGTAGTGAGAGTGTATTTTTGTGGACGAACACAGCAGCCAATTATTGCATACCGATAACCCGCAACAGCCATTAAGTGAATGACCGATTATATCTGGCCAGGACAACCACAGAACTCACTTCTCTCATATAGTGGCCCTGGGATGTTTAAATGTCTGCCTAAATAGGTAAATGAGAATTCAGTTCAGCACCTTATCTGAAGCATGGCAGCTCCAGCAATGCAGTGTTCCCCAAGCACTGTATTGGTGTACCAACCTGTGAGTTTAAAGTCTCGACATGGGGCCTGAGTCCATGAGTTTCTGACTCGGTGGTCAGAGTGATACTGACCAAGCCAGGCTGACATCAAGTTTGTCGGATGAGATTGAACCAAATAATAATATAATAATCCTTGCTTTGATATACGCTTTTCATGTCTTCTAGATGTCTCAAAGAGCTTCACAGAGTATACAACAACAACAAGATTTCATTTATAGAGCGCCTTTCACGTCGGGAGGATGTCCCAAGGCGCTGGACAGTTGGGTCAGGACCCGAGTAAATTGAGTAGTCCCGTCTCTATGTTCAGGGGGATGTTAAAGATCCTGCTGTATGTTTCGAAAAGATAGGAGTTTCTCGTGGTGTCTGGGCTATATATATCTGGTCATTCACTACATGGATGTTTGCGGTGCTTTGCTGGTGCAAATGGCTGTCATGTTTACCTACATATGGTCACTAAACTTGACAATAAATGTGGGGAAGCACTTTGTGATGTTTCAACGTGATGATATGCAACAAAAAGTTGTTTCTTGTTTCCTGGCGATCCTGCCGGTAGAGAAAGGGTTAATGGAGACGAGTCTGAAATCCTCCTGGTTTACTGCCCTGAACATATTCTCTGCTGTGTCCTCCTTCCTTCCCTCCCTCCCTACCTCTGCAGAGATGCTGTAAGTGCGAACAGAGCGGAGCCACTCTCGGCTGCTACAACAAAGGCTGCCTTCAGAAATATCACTATATCTGTGCCATGGAGTCAGGTAAGGAGGGATTGCCGTAGCGCTCAGTGTATTCACAGCCACTGGCAGGTGCAGCGCACCGTACAATTAGACTTTTGTGGTTTCTACTTCACAAGCAGAGACTTCATATTGCTGCTGTGATTTTTTAAAAATTTTAATCTGTTGTTCAAACGTTTGAGAGATCACGTACAAATATTCATCCCCGAACACACCAAGAATCCGTCTGCCGTCAGTGAGAAAAACATCTCGATGGAGGCTTGGGACAGAATGGGGTTGGGGGGGGGGGTGGATGAGCAGTGAGGGGAAATTCCTACCTTCAGATCGAATCTGATGCAGAGCCTGAGAAAGACAAGGGAGGGGGTGGAATCGTCACTCAATGTGCGACAGAATGTGTGGATGTTTGTTGTCCCAACAGGTTCTGAATCGTTTGTCCTTCTGTCATCCAATTTTAATCAATGGGTGTGTGTGAGTCAGAGTGCTATTTATGTTTCACTTTATCATCCTGTCTATTCATTCTATAAGGTTCTCTTCCTCCTCGCATCCCCAGATGTACCACTGGCTGCGAGAGTTTGGGCCTATAATCTGCCCCCCGAGTCACGCCCAATTACCCCCCCCCCCCCCGTGACCAGCCTGGGAGGGGTGTGACTCAGTGTGTTGAACATGATAGCACGTTCACATAGAGCTGCACAGTGCCACCGCTTTCTATTGTGTAATTCCTCAGCAATCCTCTCACATCCTCTTTCCTACCTCTTGTCTCCCCCCCCACCCCCCCTGCAGGTTGCCAATTAAGCGAAGAGAATTTTTCAATGAAATGCTCAAAGCACAAGGTAGGAGAGAAGCATGTTCTGGGCTCTATCTCTTTCAACAGCAGCAACAACACTGGATATTATCTAATATAGTAATGTGTTTGAGGCCCCAACATGTGATACATAGAACACTACTTATTACACATTCAATTATAACTATCTGCTGTATATTGCATAATAGCACATTACTGGGTAAAACATTCTGATATTATAACACATCATAAAATGCTCTATATTTTATACCAAATCTGTTACTGCGTATAATGCTGCTGTATATTATACAATAGCACTCGATGTGTTCCTGAAGTTTAAAGTTTTACTTGTGACACATTAAGCCATTGGTATTTGTGTTTTCTTTTTCAGGGGGCACCAGCGAAGACTCTATAACAGGAGGAGAAGTCCGCTGCCAAGATAACAAAGGGGGTGAAATGCAAACCACAACCAACGATCAACGGATTAGATCATGTCAACAGATGGGAGGATCTGATGCCAAGAAGCATTGATCTGTAACCACAACCTCGGATTGTGCTGAGTCCTGGTGAATATACTTTCCCCACGGAAACACAATTCCTTTTTTTCTGAGGGGACAGGGTCTGGCGGGGGCGGGAGGGAGGGGCAATCAAACAACAAGCTGCCTGTGTCAAGATGATTCCAGATTGTCAAAACCATGGATTGTCTTAATGTAAACTGTGTAGATAATTTTATCAGGTGGGTCAGTGACCAGAATGTCACGGATTGTGGAAGATTGTACCAAATTGGAGAATGAAGGTGTTTTGATTTTAAAAAGTAAAAGAAAAAAAAAGGACAAATCAGGAGTAAGCAGATGCTGTCTAACATGTCTTGGATGGAATGAACACACTGAAATAAGAGATTTAACTGAATGCCTTGCCATTGGTTTCCTGAACCATGTTACAGGAACTTTTGGCACTGTACAGACAAAGCATTTATATAGCGCCCTTCGGGGGTGGTGGGCGGAGGAGCGTCTTGGAGCACTGAACGATGGCAGAGTTTGATGGCAAACAGAGTCCTCGCTGCCTCATTATGTTTGCACAGGGGAGGCTGAGTGAGTAATTAACAAGGAGGGGCTTCAGGGGACACAGAGCAAGGCCGGGATGCACCGAGTATTCTGTTTTAACACTCAGAGCAGTTTGCTGGAATTAAAGCTTGTTTTGGGGGCAAAATTATTCCCCCCCCTCCCCGTGGAGCAATTTTGCAGATATTGGAGAGTGGGGGTGGGGTGTATCATTTGTACTGCTGTCTGCGCACCGGAGTGCATTGAGGTTAGTACTTGAAACCCACTGGGACCAGAGTGTGGGAATCGTGAGACAAACACCCACCCACCTGAGCGAGACATACTTCAAGCTTTTTCTTTCAATGTGTAATGTAATGTAATGTACATGTCTCTGTAATGCAATGCAATTTTTAGGAATAAAAAGTTGAAGAAAGCAGAGGTCATTTTCAGGGTAATTTGTGTGTTTCACCCACAAAATATACAGTCAATTCACTTTCCCAACTCTTTGAAGCGCTTTGAGACATCTCGAGGATGTGATAATGCACTATGTCAAATACAAAGTTTATTATTATCATAATTTAAGATTCTGGGCACTCTGAAACAATGCATAAAAATAGAGTAAATGGAGGACAAAAACAGTTGCCGTTTATGCAGCACCTTTCACGTAGGATAGTGTCAGATTTCTAATTCAGACATTTGTTTGCAAACATGAAAAACTTGTTTAAAAAGGACAGAACAAAAACCTGAAGTTAGGTGTTTTTGTTTTTTTCATAATTCTTGAGTTATTTTAATCATATAAAAGTATATTGCACAGAATAGGTCAGATGCGATTTATTATCATTGATGCGGTCTCCGATGCAGTATTAAAACAGATGCTAGGCTTCCAGCAAGAGAGAGAGACACACACACACGAATGCTTTTAAATTCTATAAAAATGAATCGGCTGCATCCCAATGTTTTTTTTTCTTTTAAAAAAATTATAAATATTTTATGTACAATTTGAGTTTTTAAAAACTATGAAAATACTTTTGACGCAAGTTGTCACTTTTGATGTGTGGGGCTTCATGCTTCACTCGCTATAGTCCAGCACTGGGTGGGGTAGGAGGGCAGTGGGTGGGGGGGATTGTAGAGGACGTGGAATTGTGTGTGTAAATGAGTGTGCATGCGGGGGGTCTCTTCAGCTCGTGGTGACAGTGGTGCTGCTGCCCAGTTTCATGATCATTTGCTGGCAGTCGTGAAGGGTGCGTTTGTCTCCAATCTTTTCCAGGGTCCGGGCAGCCTCGGACAGCATTCCCACCCGCTGGCCCGGAGCCGACAGGAAGCTGGGAGGCAGGTAGCGACAGGCCAGGAGGAGGGCTTCGGCATGTTCCCGCTGCCCCGGGTGGGTCTCGCCCTCGTCTGTCAAGCACAACGAGACACCGCCCGTGAAACGTGTGCAGAGCCAGTGGCCACCGAAGGCCAAGCAGCCTGCAGCCCCCAGGCTTTACATGGCCCCCCTCCCTCAGGGCAGCCTCGTCTCTTATCAAACATCGATCCGAAAGTCCATTGTTTCTCTAAACTTTCCCTCTTCCTCACATCCTCAAATCAGTGTTTCTCACACTAAAACGTTTCATCTCCCCACCCCCCACTTTTACAGCCGGGGTATTTTTGCACTGGTTCAAAAGTTTCAGGGTTCTTTCCCCCCCCCCACCACCTTGCCCTTCACCCCTCTTGACTGCAACCCCCTCACTGCCCAGTGTCTTGGCACGTCCTCACAATGTGAAAGGTGCTGTATGAATGCCATTTGTTGTTGTTAGTGGGTGTTTAGGTCAGGGTAACCCCCTCCCCGTTTTGAGCTCAACAACAAAACAGCTAAGCCTGGATCTACGATCGATGTTCTCCTCAGCAACTCTGTTGACACCCGCGCTGATCGTGCAGTGTACAAGTGAGCCTTTATGCAAAATCTGTGAACATATACTAAATACTAAAAGCACCTTCCTCCCAAGTGGAATGTTTTGTGCACAGGATTTTTAGATGCTGGGCCTTGAATCTTTACCCACACTAAGGAAGCTGAAGGCTAAATGCTGCCTGAACAAACCGCGTGACTCACTACTTTTGGGGAGTGGGGCTGGGACCCTCCTACGTAGACTGCGGTCCAGCAGCTGGTGAGTGCGGGTGGGGCTGGCTCCTGCCATCAGTCTCGCCGTCGCTTCGTGCAGAAACACCTGAAACAATGAACAGAGGAGGGGGAGCTGGAGGTCATCAGCTGAGTTACTGTTTGAGGCTCGAATCTCTGGGGAGCTGGAATAATTAACTTAACAAGCGAAGGTCTGCAGATGCGAACAGCATCCGAACATCAGCCCCTGGTGCTGCAGACTGTTGCTTTAATACACAGCACCAGCTGAAATGCTACCAGAAGCAGTTAAACATCAATAACAGCAGCAACAAACTATATTTACTCAGCGCCTTTCACGTCAGGAGGACCTCCCAAGGCACTGGACAGTCAGGGATTTGAACTCGAGCTGGGGGTTGGGATCAGGAGGGCAGGGAGGGTAACGATAGGAGGTTGACCGAAGGAGCGGTCGAAGAGTCGTGAGACGGGTCTTGAAGGAGACATGGGGAAAACAAACTTTAAAGGTGAAATTAAGACGTGACTCACCCTTCGCAGAGCGGGTCTGAAAGTCTGTGATAGTTTTCGCAGGCTGCTGAGGTCCTGCTGGAAGCCTCGGAGCTCTAACAGCGACGCCTGGGGAGCACCAAGCCTGGACTGGCTCCCGCTGATCTGCTGCTGCCAGACGGTGGTTCTGGTCACCAGCAGGAGGTCACAGAGCAGGAGTTGGACGGCCTGAGGCAAAGAGGAAGCAACGCGTGAGTGAGGGAACGTGTGATGTCAGAAGCCACGCACAGAGAGAAAAAACAACAGGAAACAAAGGGGAGAGGATAGTGGATATAAGTGAAACCCTCGCTCCCTACTCAGGTGTGGAGTGTCTGTCTGGTAGTCGAGGGAGGAGATAAACAAGCACCAAATCAAATGCCTCCCCAGCGAGCTGTGATCTCGCAGCGTGATTCACTCGGCGTCATATCTTAGCCGCTCAGCGGTGTGGAGAGGGAGGGTGGGGGCTGCCTCTGTATTGCATTCCAGATACATTGCACAACATCAAAGACACATGCAATGCAACTACAATGCACTACAGCCACAGCCTTGGTGATTCATTGGGCCAGGAGGTGCACAGGTGGCACTGTTGGCCAGTCCCGTGGTTCTGAGTGACTGCGTTAGCACCTTGACAGCTGGAAACTATTGTCGGGGGGGGGAAAAAAACGGAAATAAAATGAAGAAACAAAAACAGAAGTCGCTGAGACCACTCAGCAGGTCAGGCAACTTCTAATAAAACCAAGAAGTTGTATTATAGCCGTAGGACCAGTCTCGAGGCTGTGATAGAATAGCTAGGGATCAGATCTCAGCAGCTTCTCTTGGAATTGCTGCAGGTTTCTTCAGGCGAGGGGAACAGATGCTAAATGCTAACCGTGAGTCACTAATGGTCGGGGGCCACGGTGCTCGCAACCTCACACAAACATGCAACTGATTTCCAACAGCTGTGAAGGACAACAGGACAGAGATTCACACCTGCTGGTAAAGTCATCGACCGCCTCTACTCTTCACCCCCCCACTCATAATGTAAATCTTCTTTTCACGGGGAGGGTGTAGTACAGAGGCAGCCCCCACCCTCCCACTAGTTGCAAAGTGAATCAGCTTTACCCAGTTAAGGCAGAGGAGAGATTGCTGCAATTGGTCTCACTGTCACTGGGCCACGGAGAGAGGGATATTGTAAGGCAGACGGGGCTGTGCATCATGTCAGACACACTGCACCATTGCACTTTTCAATCGTCCACTTTACGGTTTTTGCACAGAAATGAGGAGGCTGAAGGGGAGGGGAAATGTCACGTCCCTGTTCTGAACTGCACTGAGCTCCGAGCTCAGCTCCTCAGCTTTCACAGCACTCGCTCGCTGCTAATTAGCTGAAATGTCAGAAGCGCATCTGATTTAAAAGGGCCCAATCATCAGACTCCAATCATCGTCACACTCCTCGCTACTTTAGACAGATGTTTCCCAATGAGATTCAATCGCCTCCATCCCCAACATCCTCTCTCCATCTGTGTTACATAAAACGGAATCTCATTACTGCGCTGGGGAAACTCTCCTGGGAAGGTGGAAGAAAATTTAAAATGCAATGCATTTGAGACATTAGGGATAAGTACCTTCTAATCCAAGTGCTTCCTCCCACACAGATGTTCCTTAACTCTTTCTTACCTAAACCCAGCGCTACACAGGAATTCGAGCTCCTGAAATGTCCAACAGCCGAGGGTTATATTGTTTTAAATGTAGGAAGAAATAATCAAAGTATAACTAATAAAAAACACTATCCGGGCACGTTGGACTGGGAGCAACAGGAGCCCCCAAGCCATTTGGTCTTAGCCCTACAATCGTTGTCTGATTTAGGAGCTCACTTGAATCTTGCAAAATTCTTAAATTCAACCTCTATTTTTGAACAGAGTGTTTTCATTGCAATTTTTATAAAGTCTATCCTGACAATGCTTCGCTGTCCAGCCCGTGGACCCTTTCCGTCTTAAAATTTGAGGTCCCAGCGAATTCTAAAAATGCAGTCTTTTTAACTTGGAAGTTGGTTTTCCGCAGTTCTTTAAAAAAAACTTCAAAATTTTAAAAATTCTAATTGATGGATTTCCCCACAATTCAGCGCCAATTTAAAATTTGAAGACAAATTGACCTCAGGCGGCAGGCTGAGACCAGGTGGGATTTCAGATCGTACCTTGTCAATGCTGCTTCTGACGTGAGGGGCTGTGTTGAGGCTGTCTCGCAGACACCCACTGGCTTTCTCGCAGTGCACCTGGCTCACCTGGCTGCCATCCAGCAGGGCCCGCACGGCCTTGAAGGCAAAGAGAGCTGCCCTCGGCAACGAGCTCCTGAAATGACAGGAAGGTTTCACAATCAGGGAATGTTTTGACAGGAGCCAGATGTCTGATGTGTGGACGGGTCTGGGCTGCTATACAAACCCTGTCCCTCAACCAACTGTGATTATATGTTCTGTGAAGCGCTTTGAGACGTCTCGAAGGTGTCAGAAGGCGCTATATCAAATGCAATTATTATTATTACTATTGTTCTCAACAACAACTTGCATTCATATAGCACCCTTCACACGTGATAGCATTTCAGTGCTTAGTCTCAAGCAGAAACAATAGAAAGTGATGCAAACACATCTAAAATCGTGCACTATCGTAAAGCAGCCGATGACAGACGTAATATGACAGACGTCATTTTGACAACTGTTCCGACTCGTGCCGCGAGTCCATACTGGTGGGGACCGGGGCTCAGGGGATGGCTTGCACTGACCTGCTGCAGTGCTGTCAACTGCCACTAGAGGGAACCGCCCAACAGTTAGAGCAGTGTTAGAGCTCCGCCTAGAGGCAGAGAGCCAGTCCTGCAGTATTGCATCAACTCGGTTGCTTCAGTAAAGTTGTGCTCATGATATTGCCCGGGGCCATCTTTACGCTTCTCCCCTTCATCTGAGATGTTAAATCTGTCACTCACCCACAATTAGAAGTCATCTATATCTAATTACCTGATGGTCACCCATCATAATCAGCCTCTTTGCCCCCGCTGTCTGGAACTGCATCCCTCCCTCACCTCTTTCATGGTCCATCTTAAGTCCATCTGCTTCGACCTCGCTTTCAGACATCTTTCCCTTTCCCACCCCTAGCTCGGGTGCCAAGTCAGGACTGACAAGCTCTTGGGGATGTCCTCCCGATGTGAAACGTAATTGTATTACATTGATGTATGAAGACCTTGGTCAGGTCACCCCTTACTTAGCCTTTTCTGCTGTAAGTTCTGTGGAACCAACCCTCCTGATCTTGTAACATCTTGATATCCCACCCCTGGATATTTCAGTGGACAGAATCCCACAGTAAATATCCCTGGCTTTTGTTGATTCATTCTCAGGATGGTATATGGGTATATCAGGTTGTGTCACTTACTCATCCGCATGCAGGACCTTGGGCATGGATTCCACTACTGGATAGAGACGTTCTGCTGCCTCATCGTCTCCTTGCAACCAATTGATGGCAACGATAATCATGGAAGCCCACCACTTAGCAACCGGATCTGTGCCTGGGCGGGGGGGGGGAGAACAGGCAAAGCACAGTGAGTGTTAAATCGCAACTAGTGGGGAGGGAAGGGGTGCCTTATGTCATGTTCTCAAACTCACCAGGGAGCAACAGGGGGGAGCAAAGAGGAAAGCAGTGGGAGCTACATCAGCAGTGAATTCTGTTACTGGAGGGTGTAGTTCCAGTGAGTGGAATTCTCATTTTCTTATAAAAATACTCAGACGCACTAAATATTTTTTTATTTCTTTTCTGTGCCTCTGCTCCTGGTCCACAGTATCCTCTCCCTGGGCTGTGGTTCCCGTGGGCACTGGTTGCCATCCGCTCCCACCCTACCCAAGTGACTGATGCTTACGTGTGAGTCTTGGCAGCGATGGCAGTGCCACTCGACTGTAGAGGGCGGCTCAGCCGAGCCTGACCTCCTCTCGCCCGGCTGCCACACACACACGCATGCACGCACACAAACACACACACACACACACACAATCACTAGGGGGTGCTGGAGAGGGTTGAGGTTTTACACTCCCTTACCCTGGGAATGCCAAGGCAATTTAGCCTCCCCACACAGCCCTGGATTCAAGCCAGCGATTCTAACCACTGCACCATCAGGCCTGCCCTTACAGCTTATTTTCATACTAAAGATCTGGTCTGACATGAATGTGAAGGAGTGCTGCTGTCGAGTTCTCGTTTAGAGAGTTACAACATGGCGGTGACTTGGCTGACCTGTGACGGCTGCCACGCTGGAGCCGAGGGCAAAGGTCTGGGTGGTCACTCTGGCAGCGTCAGAACAGCCGTTCAGTAGCTGCAAGTACTCCAGAGCGTCGGAGAATTCCCTGGGAGGAGAGGGAGAAAAGTCAGCAGCGATTCACTCTTGCCAGAAATCTCATCAAAACTCAAGATATTTCTTGTAATGGATACACTCTGCATTGTCACAACATACACACTCATATGCTGTAAAACTGTATACATTGTATATTATACTCATATACTCTTAACACCGTATCTACTTTGTATACCATAGAGATTCGCATCCCCATGTAAAACTATTAAGACTCATTAAAACAACAATAATCTGCATTTACACAGCGCCCCTCAAGCAGGGTAGCGTCTAAGAGCCCTGGACAGTGGTGGAGCATGATGCTAAGACGGAGGGGTAGGAGGTGACTGTAAGTACAGTCAACGAGGAAGGTCTTCAGGCGCAATCTGAAGATAGAGGGAAGGAAGGATGGGGCAAGGCATATTGAGCGAGTGTTCCAGAGTTTCAGGGCATAGTGGCTGAAAGTGTGGCCACCGATGGTGGAGTAGAGGGCATGAGGGACAGGCAGGTAATATATATGAATGAGACACTGGAGCTGAATGCCTACCCTCCTTCCCTTGCTGAGCGCTTGCTGCTCTCTGGTTTAGCCATGCAGTATAAGGCCTTCTCCAGCAGATGCTCACGGAAGGCCTGTGTCACTTGAGCCAAAGGATCAACTGTTAAAAAAAAGTTTATGTTTAATTTACATTTTTTTAAAAAACACATCTCGTGTCAAAGAGAATAATAATAATCCTTGCCACAAATATCATGTCTTCGAGACGTTTCAAAGTGCTTCACAGAATATACTGTAGAGTGAATTGACTATACATTTTGTGGGCTAAACGTGGCAGCTAATTGCACACAGCAGTGTCCCACAAATTGTCATGAATTGAGTGACCAAATTATTATTATTTGATTTTGAAGGGATTATTGTCCCTCCGCCAATCGATCGATAACTGGGTTCCTACTTACTGCTAGAAAAACATAGGCGTGTGGATTATGGAAACTTGCCCAACATTTCGCCCTCCCAGGAATTGAACCCAGGTTCTCTCGCTCGCAAGGTGAGCGCTCAAACCACTAAGCTACAGGACTCCACACGGTCATTTTCTGACTTAGTGAATGGCTGAAAAAGCCAATGCTCACCCGTGTTGCCCAGCATGCTGTAGGTGCTGTCTCTGGGGGCACTCTTCACGCTCCAGTCTCCGTCCACAAAGAACCTGTGTCCCAGTGGGTGGCAAAGCCAGTGCAATGTGGGCAGCACAGTGCCGCTGTGAGACAGGCAGATCTGTCTGGTGCTGCTCAGGAAGAAGCGCTGCGATCGAACAGAGAAAACAGGGAGGCAGAGAATGAAACCTATCTGTCCTTTCCTCTGGTTGCATCATTTCTTTCTTTTTTGAAATCATACTTTCTCCCGCAGCTTGGTTTATAAACAGAAGAAACAACCTGATATAGTTTGGGGAGAACAGGCAGGTGCAAGACCCACTTTGTAACTGCAGTCTGCAAACAGCATCAGTGTCCCGAAGTGGGGAAACCTTGGTTGCTCCATCAAAGTGGAGTGCACAGCGGCAACTCCTCCCTCTCCTTCCCCCTCCCCCACAACAAGCGTCCAGATCTGCTGCAGCCTGTAACGGGACGCTAATGAGCTGTTTTTTTCCTTTCCGTCACAGGAATGTTTTGAGATAGGTGTAAATATGTATTCTATATATATACACACATACACACACATACACACACACACACACATACATACACATACACACACAGGGTGACCGAAAAGTCTTCTTTTTCAGCTACTCTATTTTCTAGAAAAAAATCATAATTTCTACAAGATTTATTAGACATAGTAATAGTATCACAACTTTTTGGTCACCCTGTAGAATATTTTGTTTTAAAAAAAAATTAGAGCTGAGCAATGGTACAATGGGTGCTGGTGCAGTGGGCGTTGGTGCAGTGGGTGATAGTGGGTGCTGGTGGGCGATGGTGCAATGGGTGCTGGTGGGCGATGGTGCAGTGGGCGCTGGTGGGCGATGGTGCAGTGGGCGCTGGTGGGCAATGGTGGGCGCTGATGCAGTGGGTGCTGGTGGGCGATGGTGCAGTGGGTGCTGGTGAGCAATGGTGCAGTGGGTGATAGTGGGCAATGGTAGGTGATGGTGGCCGATGGTAGATGGTGCAGTGGGTGATGGTGGGAGATGAAGAGAAGCTGCTGTACTCACAGTCATGAAGTGGAACCTCCTGTTCAGGCTGGCCTTGATACGAATGGCCGCTGCGACGTACATCTCAGCCACAGTTGCCATGGAGACGGCCTCGCCAGCACACTCGGCCAGGTTCACCGAGCTCAGCGCCATGTTAATGGCCGACAGGTGGCTTCCACCCAGCTTACCTAGGGTTCGAGGTAAATATAACCTTCCTCAAGGGATGAAGGAAAACCTCAGCCAGATTCATTCCCGCCCCCCACCAGCCCCACACAAGCATCACTCTGTACCTCCTAACAGCAGTAAAGAGCAGACATGGTACATCTCTAAATAAAGAGGTACAAGAGATCACAGCGCTAAAGCACACTCAAATGCTGTTAAACTGGAACTGTGCAGATTGTAAAGGGTGGTATCTGAGTGATTGGAGCGCGGTGCTGATCACGAACGCTCAGAGCCGCAGGGTGGGGTGTGAGTTCAATCCCTCCCCGCTTGGAGAGGTTCCAACCCCAGCCTGTTGCAACCCCACTCCCCTCCCTACAGCCAGGCCAGAGCCCGTGGGAGCAGAGACTGGGAGGAAAGCCAAGGGATCCATGGCCCTCGTTTAAAAAAGTCAATTAGCAGGTATGGATCTGATGGCCTATTGCTTTGTCATGTAACAGTAATGGGCTGCAGTGAGCAGTGAGGCGAACCAGCTGTCACAGACAATCCCTTCTCGTTCACTCCTCCCAGCAACTGAGTGGCTTTGCTTGTCAGGACGATTCCCTCAGTGAGTGGCAGCAGACACTAATCCTGTGCAACATGCCATTTGCTTTGGTCGCTGCCCATGCAACGGTAATACTAAATAAGTCTGCTAAATGGTTTCTATTTGGCCTGTGAGCATTCCCTCCCTCTTTCCCACTCTCCCTCGCTCGCCTCCCCCTCCCTCCCTCACTTTCCCTCCCTCGTTGATACCCTCCCTCCCTCCCCCTCCCTCATTCATACACTCCCTCCCTCCTCCTCCCTCCCTCGTTCATACCCTCCCTCACTCACCAGTCAGGTGAAGCTGATGCAGCTTGTGATAGACCAGGGCTGCGTCGCGAGCGCTCTTCCCGACGTCCTTCGTCAGCTCACTATCCCGCCAGAAGCCCCCCGCCTGCGCCGCCAGCCAGCGGCCCACCCACAGCCGCTGTAGCACGTGCCGGACCAGATTCCACATCAGGCTGCAGGCGAGGTCCAGCTTGGAGGTGGGGAGGGGCCGGCCCAGGGCTTCCAAACAGGTCCAAAGGTTCTGGGACGCTTGAGCAAAATCACCCTGAAAACAAATCAAACACAAAAATGTCAGCTGTGTTGCTTTTGCTCTCTCCCCCTCCTCCCTCCACCCACCACACACCAAATTTCACTAGATATTCACAAGAACCCTGCAGGCTTGACATTTAACCCAGATGAACTGACAATGTGATGTGGAACATAAGGACAGCACAAAGAAGCAGTGGAGCAGCACTAACCAGGCGGTAAGAGACAGTAAAACACTGCTGATAACCCTGCATCGCAGATCCCAGGATATACACTGTTGTTCTGTCCAATTAGGTACAGGAATTCCCTGCTAAACCGTTCTAAGTAAAAGATCTAAAAGATTACTTTCATCAGCGCATTCAGTGTTTTAGGAATTTAATAAATTACACATTTCCTAATCGGAGATCTGTTAATAAACACCTCAATTCAGACTCCAATTTTATTGTTCATTTTAAACCCCACCAGACTGAATGGGATATTTCTATCCTAAGATCTTATGTTAAGTTCCTCGTTGACGAATTTCCTTCTTTCCGATTCCCTCGAGCAACCCTTCAACTGGGGAGAGGGGTGGGGGGGCGGAATCATCCTCAGTTTGAAAAAAAATCCAGCCCAGAACTAACATCGATTTCAAGATCCTCACACTCGTTTTCAAATCCCTTCATGCCCTGGCACCTCCCTACCTCTCCAACCTGCTTATCCTTCAACCCACTACCCAATGCCTCCGCTCGGCTGGCTCCAGCCTCCTACATGTCCCTTGTCCCTCCGTTCCACCATCGGTATCCGCGCTTTCAGCCACTATGCCCCGAAACTCTGGAACACTCTTCCTCTATTCCTCCGTCTTGCCCTTTCCTTCCCCATCTTCAGATTATGCCTGAAGACCTTCCTCTTCGACCGTGCCTACTGTCACCTCCCCCGGCTCAGTGTTGTACTCCGTCACAGTCAAGTGCTCTGGGACCTATCCTGTGTGAGGGACACTATATAAATGCTGCTGTTGTTGATCACCTAGTTGTAGGGATGGGGAGGGGAATGATTCCAGAACAAGCTCTAGGAGAAGGTGATGAATGAAGAAATCCTTACTCTGGCCAGATCCAGATCAGCCTGTTTGCGGTGTCTCCAGAACAGGACTGACGACTCCGAGTGCAGCCGGGTCACAGGCTCGCCATAGACGAAAATCTTAATGATTACGCCCAGGACAATGATTCCATTGAGGAGCCAGAGGGTTAGTGTGGGCCAGAAGCAGGCCAGCCAACCAGATGTGTCCACTGGAAATAGAAGGACAATGTTAACAGCTGTATCCAGTACGATGGCCTCAGTGCCAGGATATTTATTCAGTCAATTTCAGCCCAATTTCCCCACCAAAAAAGATCAGTGCCACTTAGATACCAGTGCTGCATGAGGCAAAGATCTCTGATTGAATCCAATTGCTATTCTTTTCATTTCCCCCTGCTCTGGTCCAAATCCCTGACTGTCCAGTGCCTCGGGATGTTCTCCTGACGTGAAAGGCGCTATGTAAATGTGATTTTGTTTGGTATACCTTCTGCAGAAACTCCCAACATACTCCTGCCGGCGCCATGGTACGGCCCGCGCTCCAGGGAGCTGCTGCTGTCTGACCGGCCAATCAGCGATGCCAGTGGGTTGAAGGATAGGCACAGGAAGACAAAGGTACAAAGTACCATCCTGGAGCGATCAAGCATGCCAATGCTGCTGGATGATGCCAGCTCTTGTTTGACAAACACCTGAATAGGAGTGAAAATGACATAATAATAATCTTTGCATTTGATACAGTGGCTTACCATGACGTTGAGATGTCTCAAAGCGCTTCACAATATATTGTAAAGTGAATTGACTGTGTATTTTGTGGGCGAAATGCAGCAGCCAAAATTGCACACAGCAGTGTCCCACAAACAGTTGTGGATTGAGTGACCAAATTATTATTAAAATAAATGTTTATTAAAAATTTCAAGAAAGCAGAGCAACCTTCAGTGAGAGCACGGATCGCTACCTTGGCATCCTCAAACATTGGGCTCTCCGGCTCCGAGTCACTGCTGCTCAGCGAGAAGGGGCTGCTTTGAGGTGAGGAGCCAGCGTCTGAAGGTGGAGGACTCAATATGTCGGACTCCAGTTTGAATCCATCCATCTTCCTATCCATACTTATCCCATTGGAAGCCACAATGTCTTTCAGAGACTCTGAAACAGACACAAGCACATCATTACTGTGAGGTAAAACAATGAACATGGCGCAGCGTGGGGCATTGTACCACAAATAGTTTGGTGCAAAAAGACTTTCAATTTTACAATGAAACATTGCTAACATTAGGTTCTCTGTTACCCGGGTCCACGTCAGTGTGAGACTTAAAATCAGTCCGTAAATTCTCAACAAATCCCGATTCGGATCCCCTGACTTCAAATAGCTGCGCTGTATGATGAGCTCGCCAGGTATCTCGGACGGACATTCAGACTCACGATTTTTCTGTACTGCCATCCTCAGCGCCGTGTTCTCGTGTTTCAGCTTCTGGTTGCTATGTTGCAAGAAGCGGATATAATCGACAGCCTTCCTCAGGATTGCTGACTTGTTCAACTAGCACCACACACAGCCAAGGAAGAAAACAAGCAGCACTTTAAATAACCCACTTGTACTTTAAATTGGGTGTCTGAAATGCCAAGTTTCTAACTTAGTTCCTTCCTGAGGAATCTCTTTAGAATTGCCATCGACTCACTGCTCAGTTTGCTCTGAACAGAACAGCTTTAGAACAGAATTTCTCTGACGTACATCCGATTATCGGAAGGCACTTCCTATTTGTACAACTATGAGGGAACCGTGTTGGAACTCCCTTTATTTAAACCCCGAACGGCTTCCAAATGAAGAATTTTCAGGAATTTTCTGCAGTCTTATTAAACTTTTAGACAATAGCTTTGATGGAGTTTCTGGCCTCTGCATGGCTTTGCCTGAGTGCCCAGCTACCACTGGGGAATTAAAAATCAGGGGAAAGACAATGCGTGATATGGGATGGGAGCAGAAGTGGAGTCCTGAGCAGCAGAGATTAAGCAGGACCTGGCAGCAAGAGGCAAAGAAACCTTGTATTAGTGTGTGACGTCCTGCAGAAATGAAGCCAGGTATTCAGGAAGGTAGTCAATAACTGAGACTGCACTGAAATCTGCTACCTTTAAGGAAAATCACCTTCTGGTGTTGACATGTAACCTAGGCTAGGATTGGTACCTTGGATTCAGTGCCCACAATAAGTTCTTTGAGCTCCACAATCTTGTCATTGATTGACGACCTGTAGCGCTTCTCGATAGCGTTATGAGCCGTGCGTTTCTCCCCCTTGTTTGGGGCGTTAGAAGGTTTGCCGTTGGTTGGCATGCGATTGATAGGCAGTTTATCCGTGTCCACCATCACTGTTGTCAAAATGGTATTCCCACTGACCAGAGTCTGCAAAAACAGTGTTAAAAACTCAGGATGTGAGAATAGTTTTGACACTAAATTTGTCTGACTCCGTTTGTTAGAGCGTTTGCCTCTGGTTAGAAGTTCTACATGGTGACAATGAGCTCACAGACCAGGAGCTCAGAAAGGACTTTGAGGCAAGAAAAAGTTCCATCTCTTTGAGCGTGCTCCAAAACGTCAAGATATATACTGATCAATACAGAAACTGGGACTCAGGAACGACCAAAAAAACAGCAAGGATAATTAACTGAAGGTGAGTGAAGTCTAAGTGAAGATTTTAGATAATCATGAAACATAAAAGTTTTATAACACTCACATGTAGCCCAGGTTTGACTCAACCCCAAGAAATGGGAAGCTTAAATCCCGAAAGGGTGAATGAAAGACAATAATCTTGTTTCAACAGTTGGGATGAATGTAACCTGCCCAAGCTTGACTTAGGCCGTTTATGGCATTGTCTAATCAGTAAGTCACTTACAAGCAGCCACTTATCCGCCACTTTACCTAACTAGATTGTATCAGTCAATGAGTACGAATCAATAGAACCAAATCATACAGTATATCCTGTGAAGCTCTTTGAGAGGTCTCAATGATGTGATAAGGCGCTATAATAATAATAATTCTTGCATTTAATATAGCTCCCTATCATGTCGTCGAGATGTCTCAAAGCGCTTCACGGAATATACTGTAAAGTGAATCGACTGTATATTTTGTGGGCGAAACACAGAAGCCAATTCCGTACAGCAGTGTTCCACAAACAGTTGTGGATTGAAGTGACCAATTTTTCTTTTGTGAAGGAATTATCATCCCCGGAAAAGCGATCTACCAATCGACTAACAACCAACCGGGTTCTTACTTACTGCTAGGTAAACAGAGGCGTGTGGAATAAGGAAGCTCGCCCAACATTTCGCCCTGACCAAGAATCGTGCCCAGGTCTCTCGCTTGCGAGGCGAGTGCTCTAACCACTGAGCTGTAGGACTCCACAATACCAAAATGCTAATGATTATTATATCCGGTAACTTGGCACCACATACCGGGGCGCTGGTGGCCAGGGTGGAGAGGGTAGGAGTCTTCACTGCTGTTACCATGGTGCTTCCGTCTGGCTTCAATGCTGTCAGCAGCAGTGAATCAGCCTTAATGAACTGAGGCTGAAAGAGGACCTGCAGGAACACACAGACAGAAGTGTCACAACGTTGTATTTCCACTCAGTCCAGTGGCAGCTTCCCTCCTCTGTCTTTTTTGCACTCCTGGCGAGGGTCTAGGAGTCTTAGACTGCATGAGAGTAAGCAAGAGAAACTGGAAGCTCGTAACCCTTTTAACAACCACAAAATTACATTTGTATAGCGCCTTCATGTCAGGAGGACATCCCAAGGCACTGGCTTCATTGTGTTGATCACGAACAGTTTGTAAGAATTGGTCATTGAACAGTTTAGAGGTTAATTTTGGTTCATGGAAAATGCTGTAAAAACCTGAGCTGGAGTTGATTCTAACCCGCAGCTCAGGTGCAAACCCTTGACTGTCCAGCACCTTGGGATATCCTTTTAACATTAAAGGCGCTGTATAAATGCAACTTGTTGTTGGTGTTATATAAAAATTCCATTCTGCAGTCCAACAGGTGAATGACAGCCAGCTTTGGATTTAACACCTGAAATCCACTGTTTATTTCACTGATTTTCAACCTAGGTGTCTGAGCTTCTTACACAATATTCCTTTTCAGCATTTTCAGTAATAGACAGAAAATAAACTGTGGTCCTTCCCCCAAGGCTGGGCAATGGGCCAGTGTGACCTGAAGCCAACCCTGCTGGCTCACTATCTGCAGTTGAACACTGCACCTCGAAAACCAAAGACTAACTCCATATTATAACAAGAGTAATGGGATGTCAGCCTGTGAAACTCACAGGAACAGGAGTAACCCCCGAGCCTGTTCCGCCATTTTATAAGATCATGGTTGATGTGTACCTCAACTCCAATTACCCGCCCTTGCCCCATATCCCTTGATACCCTTACTTAACAAATATCTATCTACCTCAGTCTTGAAAATTTGAATGGATCCAGTATCCACAGCCTTTTAAAACTCAACTAGCTGGTTATTATGATTATCATTAGCCAAAGCTAAACTGTCACTGAGGTGAAATCACAGTTCTGCCTTCCCCAGTGGCGAAATCACTTACCGGAACCTGATGGATCTGTGCTGGAATAGTGGGAGTTGTGCAGGTCGATGCAGGAGCCAGGAGCTGCTGTGTGGGCAGTGTCTGGGCCTGAACCGCCATGGGCTGCAACTGCTGAGGAGCCACCAGGTCCTGGAGTTGCTGTGGTGCCATTCCCTGTTGTAACACTGAAAAGAGCAAAGACCAATGTCAGTTCAAGTCTACCTTACTGCACTGACTGAATGGGAAAGTGCTTTAGTGCAAATTTGAATCATAAACTTCTCAAGGTCCAGGAGTTTGACAGTGATAACTCAGTCCTCTCATTCTAATTTGCCCCAGGAGGAGACAGGCAACTACGTCCTTCACTGCTAATGATTGTCCTTCCTACACCTTTGAATTCAAGCTCACTAACTGCTTCAACACCTTGCCCCACTCTACCTGTGCAATTTCCTCCAGTCCTTCAGCCACTCTTCCCCTGCTCTCTGGAACTTGCTCCCCAAAATCCCAACCAAATTTTTTTTTCACCAGCCGCAGAACGATTCCTACCCACGTCTCACCTTTGTTCATAACTCTGATCCACCCTCACAGCATCGGAACCTGTTTGTCTAAGATGTGGCATGCCCTGATTAGTGAAATGGCAATCCTAATCTCATTACTGCACGTCTCACCTTGGCCTTTTGTAATCAATGCTCGATTTGTCTTGTTTAAATCTTGTTGAGGAAACATGGCACAAATCACCCAATCACCGGTTTGGCAATCAATCGCCGTCCTCGTCACCGTGGTGTATTTTAGATAGCATTGAAAGTGAGGTGGGACAGAAAAGCACACAGGTCCATATGAAAAGGTAGGATTGTTTTAATGGATAAAATTTGGCATTTTTCAACGTTTAATGCAATAAGGTGCTCATTGTTCAAACAAATAATCTGTTGTCCTCTGAACTAGCACAAGTGTGTGTGACCTTCAAATCCATTTATCTTCTTGCTCCACCCTAGATCTATAATCTCCTCCACCTCCAATCTCTTGTCCGTACCCTCCACTGCTCCAACTCAAGCCTAATGTTCATTCCTAACCCCTCCAGTTGCACCAATTAGTGGCTGAGTTCCCTGCTCTCTGGAACTCTCTCCCAAATCCTTGCCACTCTCTCTCTCTTCCCACCTTCAAAACTCCTAAAAATGTTTTGCAACTTCAACCACCATCCTCAGCACCTCTCCCTCCGCCCCACCCCACCCCACCGCTGTCTCTGTGAAGCACGCTCAGAATGTTGCTGCATGCTGTTGAACAATGAAGATTTACCTGTAAATGTATTTGTGTTCTGGTAGTTCAGCAACGGTTGCTGCTGAGTGAACTGTGGCTGTGGGGAGACTGTAAAGCTTGGAGACATCATGATGGCCTTTTGTGTACCTAGTTGCATGGGGCTCCCTTCCTGCTTGACCTGCTGTGAGGGAAACTGTAGGGGCTGCGGTAAGACCTGTTGATGTTGCTGCTGGTGAGGAGGTGGCTGGAACATTTTCACAGAGGCTGGCGACTTGTTACCACTCCCCAAGATGCTGTCCAGGGACAGGTTCAGCGAGCTCTGGTTAGACAGGGAAGCCGAACTGCTGTCCTGCAGTGGGGTGCTCGCACCAAAAGGACTATCAAACAAACCAGGGAACTCGCCATCCTGGTTGTTAATCAGCTGCAGCATATCTGTAAAGCAAACAAAATTATGAATTACAGCCGCACAAAAGGTAACAAATACGAAGTAGCACGTTGAGGGGATTCATAGAATCTTACAGCACAGAAAGAGGCCATTCGGCCCATCATGCCTGTGCCGGCTCTTTGAGAGAGCTATCCAATTCGTCCCTCCCCCTCCTTCTCCATAGGCTTGCAAATTTTTTTCTTTTCAAGTATCCATCCAATTTGGGTTGTAACGTCTCAAAACAATCTTTTTTTGCTTAAAAAACTGTAGTGAATTGACTGTATACGAAATGAACGTTCACTGCAAAAAGGAGTGACATGGCTTATGTTTTCATTGCCGAACAATACATTGGAAAAGAAAAATAGAAAGAGAGATGTGCCGTTTGCTTCTACACCTCACTCACTATGTTAGACTGGTTACAGTATCCACACTCTGAGTAGTAACGATGAAGATTATTGTTGACTCCAAAATTTATTGTTGTTGTACAGTTTTGATAACTGAACCCCAACCAGTGTAATACAGATGTGCTGGATTACAGTAGTACATGATTTTATGATGCAATTTAGTTCAGAGATTTGCATTTAATTCTTTTTGGTTTGATGCATGTTCCTTTTTTTAAATAGTTAAATTACTTTAAATGTTTGCGCAATTGACTGCCGCGTTTTGCCCACAAATTTACAGTATATTCTGTGAAGCAGTTTGAGATGTCGCAACTACATGAAAGGTGCTATATCAAATCCAATAATTATTATTAATCATAGAATTATTATTACAGTATAAGTAGTGACAACTTTAGCCCCTGCCTGGAAAAGAACAGGGAGGTGCTAAAAACACATATCTCCCTGCAAAGCTGTCAGAGGACTAAAATAAATGACAACGATCTCCCACATGTCTAAAGAAGTTTAAAAAAAACTGTACTGTGCAGAAGGTTTTTTTTAAACAAAATCTACTCTAAATTTGTGATTAAAATTTTGCGGCTGTTGCTACACAACAGATCTATCTATCTCACTGAAGTTAAGGATAAATCAACGTTACCACTGGCCCGAGATACTTTGTTCGCCAACAAATACACAGTCACTACACTTTACAGCAAACCCTGTGAAGCTCTAAAAGACGTCCTCACGATTTGAAAGGCGCTATATCAAAGGCATGGATTATTATATCAGGTAATTGGTGGTCCCTTTTAGTTCAGGCTTATATTATAGCAATTTTATTTGGCCACAAAATACAGTTGATTCACTTTATAGTACAGCCTATGAAGCATTTTGAGAGGTCTCACCGATAATAATAATAATAATCCTTGCATTTGTATAGCGCTTTTCACGTCGGGAGGACGTCCCAAAGCGCTTCACAGAACACACTGTAAAGTGAATTGACTGTATATTTGTGGGCGAACGCGGCAGCCAATTGCACACAGCAATGTCCCACAAACTGTCGTGGGTTGAAAATGACCAATTTATTATTGTTTTGGGTTTTGGAGGGATTATTATTAGGCTCTGTGTGGAGTAAGGAAACTTGCCCAAGGTTTCGCCCTCTGCCTGGAATTGAACTCAGGTCTCTCGCTTGCAAAGCGAGTGCTCTAACCACTGAGCTACAGGACTCCATGTGATAAGGCACTATATCAAATGCAAGGAATATTATTATTATTTAATATTCACTTACTGGAAACCGGCTGCACGTAAAAGACACAAACATTCCTTTAATGCATATGCATCTATTGAATTTAATTTAAAATAAAAGTTCCATTTCTGTCTAGCTCAGAGTCACGTTTGTTTATCGTCAGAAATCACAGCAACCCGAGGGAAAAAAAGTTTGCACGTAAGTAAATAAATTTTAGTCCTTAGAATATTGCAAAGTTATGCTGAAAGGGTAAAGTAAAATAAAACTTTTTTTTTTGCAAAGCAATTCACTTTAAATACCTATCCCCTTGCCTTCTGGTTAAAGCATATTATTCTAATGCGGAGGTTACTACAGGTCATTCTTGCAAAGCTTTTCAGTAAAATCATTACCTTCAAACGTGCAGTCCATGATTTCTGTGTGAACTTCACATAAGACTTACAAGAATTTAACCATAGCTAAATTTTCGCTGATGCACTTTTACAGCACATGTGCTAAACCTTAACTAGCCAGCGAGCAGAAGGCTGCTCTGGTTTTCTTCTCTCCTCTGCTTAACTCCCCCCCCACCGTGGAAAAAAAATCCACTGACTGTATTCAAATCGAGGGGCGGATTTTTTAATCATTTTTTTTCCTCCATGAGGTGATCCAGTTCAGCCAATCGCTAGAGCTCCCAGTCCCTCGCTATGTTGTCCTCCCCCCACTCAGACACGACAGAAAGGATTCGTTTGACAGTCTGCACTTCCAGGGCACTGATTAATTCAGAAAGGTGAATAACCAGAGGTTACTCCAGGGCGTTTGCTCCAAATCCACCCACTTGCAGGCACATCGCAATCCTTTACAAGCTTACATGTTGGTGCTTACTTTAATCAAAATAAAAATCGCTACAAACTCATGACATAAAAAAAATCCCATTGCAGAAAAAAAATATTTGACTTTACCATTTAAGATGAGACATTCCCAGTCATTTAAAAATACTCAAAAATACACCAAATCATTTTTTAAAAAAGAGTCGAGATTTTTTTTAAAAAACAAAGTATCGTATAAAAGCAACTTTTATATATAAAAGCCCCTTGCTTCATGCAGCAAAACAATATCTCCCGCAACACTGTAAACGTCTAAAAGTAGCTGGGCGTGGAGATGAACTTGAGATTTCCCTTTGCAGGAGGAGGCAATAACCGCTAGTAACCCTGGTGTGTCGTCAGAGCCGGAAAAAACTAACTAAACACAACTCAGCAGCAACTGTGGACATGCAGTGAGGCATCGTGCCAGACACCAGGCAAACACGCCACACTTTTAGCAAATAGATATATGCATACATTCAGAAAATCTTGCATGTTTGTACATCTCTTATTCGATTTCATCCCTAAAGTGTAACTTATAATATATTATATTTTGATATGTTTTCAAATATATGGTCAATTCACTTTACAGTATATCCTGCAAAGCATTCTGAGACGTCTCAAAGACGTGATAAGGCACTATATCAAATGCAAAGATTATTATTATATAAAGTATAACTTTGTTATTATTTAAATAAATTCAGTTATTTTTTAAAACAGACACACACAAACACATGTTCTTAATTTTGACCCATGAAAAGAAGTGGTTTAATTTCAATCAAACATCTAATGAAAATGACTTGTAGAGAAAGAAATCAATCTCTTTTAATAAAAGGAATAATTATTTTCTGCCGATTTTTAAAAATAATAGCTGACAGCTTCGCCTCGCCTCCTTATCCAGGAGTGCATGAATAACTCTTCATGATTGCTTCCCAATCTTTAGACAAACATATCATATATTAATATGAATGAAAGACTGTGACAAGCCACATTATACCAAGAAATACTGACAAACAGGTGGCACACCAATAACTTATAAATGTAATCGTAGTTTATTATTAATTTAAATCTAAAATAAACTAATTTACACAACAGATCCCATAACTTGACTGATTATACAATGTTCGAGCAAACAAACACGCAACTATAAATATTAGAAGGTAACAAAAATAGCCGCTAGTGTAGCTTTTGGGCACCACATCCACAATGTTTGCTATCTGTTCTCTATCTGCCTTGTGATGGTGTGCCCTCCAGGTGCTGCCCATGCAGTCTCTGCTGTTTAATAAATGGGGAAGATGCATTTCATCCAGAAATAAAAGGTAAGACAATTCATAATCATTCAGGGATTTATTCTGATTTATGGATATGAGGCTCTGCTTACGATTGCCCAGGAAAACTGTATAATAAATACCAGCCAATGCCCAGGATTGCCATGTTTCCAATGCCAATATGGCCAGCTGAATTTGCTCCAAGGTGACATATTTGGCAACAGAATGTCAGGATCAAGCCCAATCGTCAGCCCTCCGTGGCCATCTCAGAAGCCAAGAACCAGGGTACTCCAAGGCACTGCTGAAGACTTGGAAGGGCAGGATTGGGAAGGGCAGCACTGGGGGCTGAGACTCTTCCCACTCAGCTCCCTTTAACCCAGCAAGCCAAAGTCCTAACGTGTAGGGTGGTCCCAGCTGGACAAGCAGCAGGAAAGCTTGCCAGGCAGTGCTCTCAATGGCAAGCTATGTGGTGTTAGCTGCTTAGGTTCCAGCAGTTACGCTCTGGGGTCCCCAAGGCCTTGGCTCTTACCAACCTGCGCCTAATATTTTCTCTCTTGGGGGGACGCAGGATCCTAAGGGAGAGAGAGAGTGCACGTTCCATTCCAATAAATGTGTCTGGAATTTCCATTGTGTAGGCGGATGCAAGGAATTCTCAGTCTGGTTTGGAAGAGCTGAAGCTTGATCATGAGTTTCCGCATTTGTCAGACACACACACAAAAAAAAATTGCCATTTGCTGCCAATAACCAAACTGTCAATACTCAAACAGTCAATGACCAGGTTGTCAATGCCATTCCTTCCAATGCCATTCCCCGCCAATGCCATCCCTGCAAATGCCATTCCTCCCAATGCCAACCCTGCCAATGCCATCAATCCCAATGCCTTCCCTGCCAATGCCATCCTTCCCAATGCCACCCCCCGCCGATGCCATCCTTTCCGATGCCACCCCCCGCCGATGCCACCCCCCGCCGATGCCACCCCCGCCGATGCCACCCCCCGCCGATGCACATCAACTCACCATCGATGTCGCTGAGCAGCGCGTTGTCGATCTCGCCGCTGTCGGTCAGTGACGGGTCTAACTGGTCCAGGGACGAGTCATCGTCGAAGCCGCCGGCGGCCGGAGCGGCGTTATTCATGGCTGTAAAGTCGATACACAGCCAACAACACGCGGCCGCCACCGCCCGCGGGAGCAACAAACTTTATCACAAGAGCAAACACCAACCAACTCCCCGGCGGTGTTTACGTCGCACTGTCGGCCCAGCGCCCGCCCGCCCCGCGAGCCTACACCAACCGTCAATCACCCGCCGCCGATACCTAACTCGCTAGCGGAAATGGCGGCGCCCGATGATTGGCGGGCGCTTCGGGCCAATGGGGAGCGGAGGGCGGTGGGCGTTGACGAGCTCGCAGCCAATCAGCGACTGGACGGCTCAAGTTTGGTTGAGAGGGCGGAAGGCGGGGCGGGTTGCGCGCGTGCGACTGGAACCAGCGCGGGCGGCCAATCAGCGCGCGGGCTCCGGCGTGGGGTGATCGGTCGTCATGGTTCCAGCCTCGGCCATTACATCATGTGGTTAGCAGGCAGCCCAGCACGGCATTCCGCTAGGAGGGCGGGCGCAGTTTTCTTTCTCCCCCCCCCCTTCCCCACCTCGTCTTCTCGCAACATTAAATCCTTGCATTTTTGCATTTAATTTGTCTCATAGTCTTACCTCACATCCCCATTAGCTCACAGGCTCGGCTGACACTCCAGGAGTGTGCTGGGGGGCAGTGGAGGGAAGGAATGGGTGGGGGGTGGGGGGGGAATGATGGTGGGAAATGGGGGGCGGGGAAGGAAAGACCTTTGTTGGGTGAGATGTCCTTCCGCTGAGATGGTAAATCAAGGGGACCGCCCGCCTGGGCAGGTAGACATTAAAGACCCGGTGAGGCAATGGGAAATGAGAAGGGTGTCTGTCTTCTGCCAATGTCCTGACTGACAATCCTCCAGATCATTGCTGCGCCCACATTGCTTGCTACGTTTGCCTACAAAATACACAGTCACTTCACAAACCTTGTGAGGCGCTTTGAGATGTTCTCGACACTGTAGATCCAACGCAAGAATCAATGTGATGTCAATCACCTGAAATTGCACTCCTCTGTGAGGCCATTGTCATTGAGCATTGTAAATTCTGAAATTCAGCCTGAAATTGGCAGCAAAGTTTGAGAAATGTGAAGGCCTCGACTTCCAAACTCTTGACTGAATTTTTAAGAATTTTCCAGAATTCTGCACAATCTTAAATTTTGAGACATGACGATCTTAGCGACCAAGTGTATGTGGAATAAAAATCCTTGCATTTGATATTGTGCCTAATCATGTCTTTTGATACGTCTTAAAGCACTTCACAAAATACACTGTAAAGTGCATATTTTGTGGACGAAAAGTGGCACTAGTGTTATTTTTAAAATTACGATTTTCTGAAATAGGAATAGTATCGGTCTCAGATTTCTCTTAACAGCAGTGCACTATAGGTAAACAAGAGGTTTGCTAATCTCTTGAAGAGATTGCATCATTTAATCTGGGTTCGGAAATAACCTCCCGAGTGTAAAATTAGTTAGTGATTCACAGGCTCCCAGTGTACAAATATAGACGCAGCAGTTTACCTCTGGAGTTATAAGTGTAATAGGTATTCCCAATTGCACTAACTGATCCTCACAAGAACAGATAGTTTGTAGCGATTAGACAAGACTAAGAAGCCAAAAGGTTCAATTAAAAAATAATTAACTTGGAATTCATACAAACATGTTTCCATGAAACATTCCACCACAGAACCGAGACTTCTCAATCATGCCAAAATAGTTTAGACAAGATTTGTTAATTTTTTTTTAAATCCTTTCTGTAGGCTAACTCAGGCTAGGGCACAAATCCCCAGGTACCAGCTCCACAGTTTGTTGCCTACGTTTCGATTATTCCATGTGTCAGCCAAGACAATAAACAATATAATCGTTGAATTTGACATAGCCACTTGTCACGTCGTCAATGTCTCACATTACTTCACAGGATTATTTGCTGAAAAGCATAGGGATTATGTATTTTGCATGTAGCAGTCAATTTACACATAGCAATGTCCCACAAACAACCAGGAAGTGAATAACCAACTTTATTTGAGGAATTGTCAGCCAACTCGTTCTATATTTTGCTCTATTACTGGGATAGTTTGTTCAATTTGTGTGAAAGTACTCTTCCCCAAAAGGCACCACTAAATGTTTGCTGATGTGTAGTTCGACAGAGCCACTCATTCTCTGGCCCTTCACCCTCGTGATCATTCTTTATGAGAGGAATTTGCTTGGAGCGGACTGGAGCATCATATCAAAGCCAGAATCTTGTCCTTACCTGAAGTCCACAAACGTGCATTTTTCAGTAGTATTCAGGAACAGGAAGCTGTATTGATGCCACCCCATCTTTGAATATCAGTCAAAGCTGGGATCTGAACTGGAAGCATCGAGTTGAGAACACAACGGTTTAGGATCGTAGCTTCAAAACTATGTCACTTTTAAGCAATCACAAATGTACACTGGTTCAAAACGCTGATACATAGGTAGTGTTTATTCATAATATTACATGCAAGGGTCAAACACTACGGTTGAAGCAGTAGTGACAGTTCAGTACAAACCATACATTCATTCCATCCTTAGTCACTGGCATAATTCACAAGTCTGCAGTTACACAAGATGAATGAAATGCCAGTGTACAGCCTAGCGTACATGAACTGCATCTACTGCTCTTGTATGTGAAAATGAACCCAAAAGCTAAAAAGGTTCATAAATAAATATTAAACCGTGCTTCTGCATAACTGGCTACTAACATACAGGCTTTCACTTGTACTGCTTACAGGTTATGTGTAGTGTTAATGTCGCTGAAAAAGTCGTACTGTTAAGCTGCATAATTTTGAGTTGGTCATCTGCATTTCAAGCCTTTGTTACAACAAATATCAATCTTTTCAAGGACCCAATCCTGTATTTTGAATCGAGTAGTCAATGATCATCGCAAGATTCTGACGCAATCTGTACTTGTACCTGACCAAATCCATCACAGATTCAGCTGAAATAAATGTTGCTGGATATTTACTACCTGTACCTGAACTAGATAAATCTTAATTAAGTTCTGCTATTTTCACTTAGTAAAAACAAGGATTGACAATTTAAAAGAACGCTTTTTAAAAATAAAATTCCTGCTCGTATTTTCCCCTCACCCCACCCATAGCAGTGTGATAAAGTGCTGCTTAATATGTCACACTAATTTATATCATCATTTCTGATCGCACAGAAGCAACCAACAGGAGCCCGAGTGCACCCACCACATCTGGAGTTATTCTAGTATGTTGAACTAGTTTATACAAGTTTTGGCAGAGTGAGAGAGAAAAAAAAACTTGTTTTTAGAATTTAGTTTAAAATTTAAAGTTGCTTTCTTTAAAAACAAAAAACGCTGGGGACTTTAAATACAATTTTTTTTTAAAAAAGATTAGTTTTGAAAGCACTTTAAAAACGAGGTCAAGAGTGACTGAAGCAGCTGTCTTCAGTGCAACCCTGCCCATTCAGAATAGTCACACACTGTATAATAACAATCCTTGCATTTGCTATAGCACCTTATCACGTCTTCCGAGACATCTCAAAGCGCTTCACAGACTATACAGTAAAGTGAATTGACTGCATTTTGTGGGCGAAACACAGTAGCCGATTGAGTAACCACATTATTATTTATTTATTTTTGAAGGGATTATTCTGTATACAGAAGGTTCTAACTTGTAAATCTGATATATGCCTTTTAACAAAAAAAATAAAAACTGAAGGTCCACAATTTCAGCATATCTATTTCGGAGATGCCTTCCCAACTGACTGGCAATGTGCAGGCAAACCCTGAGCCCAAATATATAGTTTGAACAGCTTTCAAAGTGGATGAAAACTCTAATTCTAGTCTCTGCAAACTACTTTTTTTTAAAAAAATTGATCGATTCAGTAGAAGAATACAGCAGCAGGTATTTCCGCATGAATGGCTGCTGTGCTTTAGCTCCTGGACCCTTCTAAACTATTTCCTGCATTAAATATAAAGACGATTATTTACAGTTTATTTTCTTATAAAATTGACAGTTTGTTTATCTGATGAAGCAGCAAGCGCAAGTTCAGAATTTTTCAATAAAAAGGACTTCAAATTTGGCAGTATCATGTGAAGCAACTATTTGGAAGAATGTCTTTAGACTGAAAGAAAATGTAAGATAAAAGACTTCAACCCAATCTGCTGCATGAGTCAATAACACACAGGCACAATGGACAAAAGTTTCTAACCCTGTGATACCAAGTCCCTGTCATGTTGCAGTTCTTAAAGGTTATAAACTTTGAACTATAAATCTGACTGCAGACAGCAAGGCTCAATTTGCACACTTCCATAAATGCAATTAGGAAGACATCAGCAAAATCCTTATGCCCCATATTTACAATGTTTATCCCACATTATCAGTTTGCTGAAGTAAGACATAAATATCCAGACTTAATAAAAGATCCAACTAACATCATTAACAGTTATTTCCAATGCGAGCAATCCTTATATTTAAGGAGGCTTAATGGTAGCTGAGAATTTACAAGCAGATGAATGTACCAACTCAAAAGCTATGTATCCCAACAGAGAGGATTGTAAAAAGGAAAACATCTCATTTCATATATAGCCTATTTTGTTTCCAAATTCACAGGTTGGCTTTGGAAACATACTATTGCACTATTATAAAGACTTGTATAAGTGGAACCTTGGATATGTACCCTCGTTTCTCAGATGCACGTCCTTTAACCGTGGTTCAGGAATCGGGAGGACGACCTTTTTAAAGCACTGGTGGTGTGCAAATGGCAACACTTCAGGAGGATACAAGTAAGAGTGCGACAACATGTAAACGTTTAACAGCATGGTAACTGCACTTGTTTGCTGAGGTTACTAATAATACTACAAGGTCAATAGTACGTTACATATCCTTAAGATGACCAGAGAAGTATTAGTTATTAACACCATTGATTAAAGCTACAAAATATTGTTTCACATCAGATTACCCTATTGATAGAAATATTACATCGTAACTTGCATTGTTGCTAAATGCATGTGCACGTCACTTTTTGTGAACATCAACACATCTGGCAGATTACCAATTACATACTGTATATACTACTCGACCTACATGTTTTCTGCGTAGCTAAGTATTCATTTTGTTACTGGGTAATGGAAGAAGTTATTTTTATAGTGACTCCATCGAACTATACATTGTCTGAGCAATTTCCAAATACCTTTACCATTGAACCTTTCAGACAGATTGGAGGGAGCAATGCTTCTCCAAGACTATATTTTTAAAAATTCACACTTAGATTTCCACTTCATTTCCCCATTTTTTTCTGCAAACGACATTTTATGGGAAGCAACGATACGCAGGGAAGGAAACACACAACTGCGACACAGCTATTCATCGACGGTGAGCGAACAGATTGAAGAGACGCCACACTTCATTTCAATGGGAGAAACGTTATTCAAACTGTATCTGTCAGTAAAGTTAACATTCCCCACATTTAGCTCCAAGAGACATGCCTATTGTACCTTTCTCTCAATCCAGTAGCTCTGGACTATACTCTCACAACTATACTTCCTTCCGCTTTCTTAAGTTTGTTCCTTCTCCACAAGTTGTGCCACAAAAAGGTAAATGGAGAGTAATGAAAAAAAGTGATCGGGAAGTCTGCAGTCTGACCAAACTTTTAGAACTGTAGGTTCGGGGTGGGGGGTGGTGTATAGGGAATCAGCCCAAACCAAGGTGACCTGAATTCTTGTGAAAAGATATTTATATTAGAAGTACCACCAATAATCTTTGCATTTGATATAGCAAAATGGGATAAGATTATTTAACCTAGATCAAATATTCCACCAATACTCACTGCGAGAAATTCACACTTGGCAGCATCATTCAAGCAACAGTCAAATCTTTGAATGGTAGAAATGACATAAATGTGAGTTCCGTTCATGTAACCTGAAAAGGAAATAGTAACAGAAATTCCACTCCCATCCTAAAACACCCTCAATGGGCAAGTCACATGTCGGGCATTCACTGGTTATGTAGTCCTATGTCAGGAAATGGTTCATTTTCTAGTCAAACCCTGCTTCCTAAGTGGTTTCTCTGTTTTTTCCCCACCATATACTTGCCGCCATTGATAAGTACTTTCCAGCAGTATCTTCACTGCTCATAACATAGGACACTTTAGTAAAGCCATTATCACCTGCAACACTCCAGCACAGTAGAGCTTAAAAACACAAACACACAGCGTGGGACAATCTGGTTCAGCATTTTCTCACTCTCTTGGCTACTTCACAAAACTAATCTCTCAGTTAGTGCATTTTTCCCAGTGCATCTTTGTGTTATGGTTACAGGAACAGAATAGCTTTGTACAATCAACTATAGATTAGAATAAACTTTAGAATTCCACTAATGTTCTCTCAACAACTTTCATACTACCTATTGCACTGTACTGTACAAGTCGCTAAGTCCCCACAGCACTGACGTTTGGACAGAGCAACTAGGAAGTTTACTGAGGAGATATTTTTTTTAAAAAAGACATGCTTGTTGAAAATTTTACAGTTTAAAAGTGAGCAGTTTCTATTAATGCCAAAATAACCAGTTGTTCGATCTTCCCTTTGGGATCTGATACCCCCACAGGATCAGGTAATACCTCATACAATCTCCTAGGTGAAATAAGTTGGCAAATGGAAAGCTAATGCTTCAGGATAGTATGTATCTAAACTCAGAGGTAAGTGGATCTAAACCACTGTATAACTTTGAACTGTGTAGAACATGTTGCAAGGATAGTTGAAGGTACACACAATACTCAATAATGTAGAAATCATTAAACCTATTGGTTGTGGGGTGAAGGGGAGACCGAAAGGATTTGTTGAGTTTGTAACAGAGGAATGCACACAAAATAAGGCTGTTTTTGAATGATAGGAGCAAAGAACTAAGAGTGTCCTCAGCTGGGCACTGAGGATAAACTCTAGCAGACTGTACAGCATCACTCTGCCCAATACAAGGGACCCACACGCACATGTACACGACACGCTGATTATTTACAGAGCAAAGAGGGCATCCTCAGAGCGATCCGGTTTCTTGCGGTTTGCAGCGGGCACTGTGGGGGGAGTGGAGTTGCCCAAGGGAGGGGTCGGCAGGTTTGGGACTCTTTCTGCAGCTTTTGCCCTTTCTTCCAAAAATTTATCGAACTCTGCAATTCAAGACAAAGAAAAAAATTAAAGTTATGGAACCTCAGCTCACTTTTAAGATCTACTTTGTCTCCGGCAGAGGCAGCTTTGCAAGGCAACTGTTAGGAGTGGAGCATAACTCACTGAGACTTGCCATTTTGTTTGGGAAAATATATCATCTTTACTAGCCTTTCCCCCAATGGCACAGAGGAGCTCATTAACTCACCCCACACAGAAACCACTGAAACAAGGGATGCCACATATATCATCATCACTGCGCCCTGCTCAACATCATTATTTACCATATACAACAGACACAAGTCTATCAGGTTGTAGTAATATCTGGTGACACGTTGGACTGATTAAGTGGGCTGTAAAGATGAGGAAATCATCCTTAAGAAAAAAAGGAATCTGATATTAGAAAAGTAATAGCAGAGTTACAACATTTACAGCGATTTATACTTTCTGATGCAGGATTTTGATGACGAGCAGAGGGTCAACTTATTCATCATTAACAAAGAAAAACAACCGCTTGCTTCTTAAAAGTTGTACAAGCAATGAGCTCACCTTCACTCGTAACTCCTTCTTCTGTGTCATCTCCCTTCTGAAATTTAATGTTTAAAAAAAGAGTTACCACAGCAGATCTGCCCTCACTTGTGCTTCTTGGCTAGCCTACCAACAACATTCAAAACAGATTTACGTTTCCTTACCTTGAACGAAACAGCTAAACACACAGAATCAGTTTTAAAAATAACAAATCCTTAGAAATTTGTCTTGCGTCTCTTCTGACATTTTAAGCGATGTTGCCCACACAATTTTTGACCAACCAGATCACAATTACCAGACAGCAAGTAAAGTCAGCAACCTCCAACTCATTACCAACGTGTTTCACGTCAAACACTAAACGTTACAGACTCACACAAAGGGCTTGAAAACCAGAAGTCACAGCTGAAATGTGGATACATTTTCAAATTAAAAATAACACATTCAGGTGTTTACAGCAGCAAATCTGAGAGGAACAGAAAGGGAGTCATTTTCCAAGAACTGCAACAATCAACAACAGTGAGAAAGAATCTTTATAGGAAAACTCTGCGATGGATTGCCGAGAACCAGCCACATAGAGCAAAGGGAACACTGGCCCACACGCTCAATTGAAAACCGGTGCAGGAAGCAACACGCTAGCTGCCTCCAGGGCACCAGAGCTGCCAAATGTTATTAGCAAAATCATTCAACAGAATGCACTGTATAAACATCATTGAGCTGCAGGTTTTGGATCTCAACAACAACTTGTATTTATATAGCGCCCCTCCTGCGGGTTAGCTTCCTAGAGTGCTTGACAGTGGCGGAGCATGACACCGAGCTAGGGGGAGGCACAATCGAAGAGGAAGGTCTTGAGGCATGATCTGAAGATGGGAAGGAAGGGGCAAGGTGGAGGGTTAGAGGAAGAGTGTTCAAATCTCAATCAGATGGAAGAAAAAAAACATGCATCTGTGATCCACCTTCAATCTGGAAATGCTGTACTGACATATCAAGCATTTCACCCACTTGCCACTTGGCTGATAATATCCTACAGAGTCATATGAACATCACTCTTATATCCAAGGCAGCATATGATAAGCAGTCACCCAAGTGAATGCAAGTTATCACACGACAACCATAAAACCCACACGCCATCAGCTTGCATTCGAGCACTGTTAAATGCAAGAATTGTTACTATTAGTATTACTGTAAATCTGACGAGCAAAGTCATGCACTTTTTGCATACAGGATAAACATGTACGCCAGCACAATCCTGCTTTTTTTGACATGCTACATTGTACAGGAAAGGGAACTGGAATGGGAAGCAACATTTACAAAACACAGATTGTCAGAACTATGTCACAGGCAGCTACACAAATCTTCTGCACTGAGAAGCTAAAAAGAAGCCTGATGCCGATATTTCAATTACACTTAATAAACACTTGCTCACAACTGGTTCCTGAATAAGAGTATTTATTAGACAACAGTATAGGACAGGCGATAAGACGATGATTCAGAATAGACGCAGAAAAAACACTTTGCGGTTTGAATTCCTTTGTTCAATTCTGCTTAAGTTCCATTTGAAAACTGACACATTATTTAATTTAAATAGATAAATGTTGCTGATTTCAGTCCATGAATGCATAATTCAGTAGCAGGCTCTGTAAAAGGTGGATAGAAATAGAGCTGGGAAGCACTCAATTTACACCTCTAGGTGTCTCTACTTAATGTTGCGATTTATAAAGATTCATTCTAGTTGCTAAGAAAAAAGAAACAGCATACAGAGTAAATGTGTCCTGCAGGATTTCTGTGGTCAGTACGGTCATCAATTCATTTAGCAAACAACAAACCTACAACAGAATGGATTGTAAATCAGTTTCAAAGCATTGCATATTTTTAGTCAATGTATTTTTGTTAAGAGATCCAGTGGTGGGTGGGGGGGAGAGAGGGAGAAGAGAAAGTGGGGATTTAATACAAGCATTTTTCACAATATGTACCGACAACTTTTAAGACTTTTTCTTTTATTCCATTGAAGTACAAAATGGGAGAAAATTCAATCAAACACAAAAAGCAGCCAGAAATCAAAGCAGTAAAAAGAAAGAACCCTCACCACATCAGTGCTGAGCCATTCCTCAATGTCATCCATGAGAGACGACTGTGTGACCGGAATCTACACAGCGGTGGGCAAACCAAACCAGGCAACCCAAAATACAACAAGAACACAAAGTAAAAGAGGAAAAACATAAAATGGGAATGCAAAAATTAAAGAGGACAACAACACTGTTCATCACATACAAGTAGAAACTAGCACAGGAGTAACAGGGTCAATCCCCAAACCACACCAATGATCTGACCATGGAGATGAAGCAGAAATAACCACCAGACATTCTGGTGACAACTTTAGAAGGGACAAAAGCAGGAGGTTACAGTGTGCAAAAGCATTTGGGGCTATGCTACTAAAAGGCTCTTCCTATGAGGGAAGGGTGCATGGCACACTGGAGTTGTCATTTACACTGTGTTAAGAGTATAAAATGTCCATTTGTACGGTTAACACAGCAAGTTCCCAACCTCAGAGTTACTCTTTAGTGAGCACAAGATGGAGAGGCAAGTTATGTTCCTCTCAGAGTCGAGACTTTTGTTTTTGGATTAAGTACTAAATCTCCACATGTGAGATCAGAAGAACTGACAGCAAGGTGGGTGGGTCAAGAGGTTCTATATGGTTCCCGGTCTAAGATGCAGCCGTAAACAATCATTCCAGAGGCCATAATACCTCTGGAATGAACTCCTGTACACAAGTTACTTGTGGAGAGACTTTCTCAATAAAAAAAACTACCCACTAGAAAAAAATATCCCAAACCATTTAGAAGTAATATGATCACAGGATTGATTTGAATGAAACAGATTCTTTGGCCCATCTGATCTTATTCCTCTAACCAAACCTCCCATCACAGCATCAAGCTGTTCTTAAACAAGTCCAGGGTCCTGTCCTCAACCACACTTCCCTGTAACCTGTTCCAGTTATTAATTACTGCCTTGGATAAAGAAAGACTTCCTGGTGTCTGTCCTGAAATTGCCCTTTGCAACTCTAAACCTGTGGCCTCTTGTTCTACTGTGCATCCTAAAGTAATGTTCTGGATTTAGTTTTTCAATCCACCCACACAGCTTATTCATCCCTGAAGTAATAAGAGAATGTAAAATCTCCAATCTCCATTATTTTAGCTACAATGGTTCTTTATCTAACGTTTAAACGAGGTTCAGGATTAATGAGGCTTTTAAGGGGAAAACACAAGAGCAATAAAGAAACCATGATCTTTTTAATTACATGATCTCAGATTCACTAACATGCAAACCAAATTGCTTCACCCCAAAATCCATCACAGTCATTTGAAAAAATAACTTGAAAAAAATATTTGTTGAACAAATCAACTGGTGGAAGGTGACATTTTCACACAAGGTTTGGGACATTTTGAGCAAATTTGGTGGAGCCCACAAAGTTCACCTGATGCATCCAAAGGCAGCAAAACAGCACCAGATGGAGGATGACTCAAAGGTAAAAACTTTTGATGGGGAAATTTTGCTAAAGAGTTGGCACAGAGAGTTCAAGGGATTTATTCAGAATCACGTTTCGATGCTAAAAACCAAAATTGGAACCTCGGGGGTGGCATGAAGAGGAATGGGAAGTGAGAACAGATAAATGGTCCTCACATAAAGCTCACTTACAAGGAAATCTGGCTGACTTATCTACTCCATGCCCAGGATACTGAGGTCAATATTGCAGCAACGCTGCTGCATAGGCTTACTCACAGACCAGTGATTGAATCTAATACCTTCCTAGTCGGTATGGCTCAGTTTTACCAACCGAAGCAGTGGGAGGGCTCTTTAAAACTAATTTAATAAAACTGCTATGTCCGAATATCTAATGCCTAATCTTAGAAAAATAACAGTTTCCTCAAGGCATAAGCCTCCACACAACCACCATCAAGTGCGAGATGAGACAAAACTTTTCTATAAATAATATCATATTATTATTGCCTTATAATGATCATATATCCATCCATTCAACTCAGTTTACTAGCAGCTGAAGGATTCTTTACTGTCCTCAATGCTGGGGTCTGACCAAGCTCATCACCAAAGTGACTGTCGCAGTGTAACCTTAGTCAGTGCTAGGAATTAAATTCCTAACCATATCAGCCACAATGGGTACTCTAACCAGATCAGAATATGCACTTACAATGAAGCAGCAGCCATGTTATTTATAAAGTGTCACAGGGCTTTAAATGAGACTCCATCCAATAATGTGGATTGAACTTTTTTGTTGCAATGTGAACAAGTGTGATTTACACTATCCCTCAAAAGTGGGGGATATTTACAGGATATTTACAGAATGCAGCATCTGTTGTACAGAGAATTAGGAGTCAGGCAAGTATCAGATTCATTGTAAAACATCCACAGTACAATATATGCACGGCCCTGATATGCTGATCATTTTGGAGAAGAAAACACATCATTTTAAAATATTTAACTGTGACAATCACATCACAATTGATATTGTGAACGGGAATGAGATGAGAGCAGAAAGGTAATAATAGCTGAACAAGCCCATAATGAAAACATTTGAGGGCAAATTTTAATTGCACAGCATTGAAGGGGGAAGAGAGAAATATTGTAAATAAACAGATTTTTTAAAAAATTAAGAAAAGTACAAAGTTAATTATTCTGTAAAATTCTGATTTTTAAATATTTTAACTCAGTTACAGCCTTTTCTGCTTCTATGTTAGACGGCGAATAGGCTTAATACGGTTAATAATTACTATGTTAAAAGGGAAGAATCACAAGGTATTACAATGCAAACTGGACAGTAAGAGATCAATCACACTTTGCCAATCCAATCAAAGCTTTGAATACCCAACCTTTATACAAACAAACACAGAGCACCCTGCACAGGTCAGTCACAGGCTCCACTTCACATTACTGCTGAGAAGTCAAAAGCGCAGGGATAGAGATTTTTTTTTGGCTAGTCTTAATCAGCAAGTACAGTTGACTTGAACTATCTTCCCCAAATATTTGTACAATACATATCAGATAAAAGCAGGAAGTAGAGGTTCCTATCTGGTACTTTATGCCCTATGAATATCGCAAGCGCCAACTGCTGTCGTTATACTGTAGTTTGACAAGTTAGGGTCAGTGTGTGAGAGGAGCAGATTGGAGCTCAGGACAACGCTGCAATTGATAACGGAGGAATCAGTGCTCATTGTAGCCTCTGAAAAGTTCAAAGGCAAAAAAAGTGTAGAACTGCAGTGCAGTGCAAATCATCTGATTAAATGGCAAAACTCTTATCTAGGGTATGGTGTCAAGACTGGCTTGTTACTGTCCAGTGTGCCATGTTGCATGACGAAGGGTTTGACAGGGAGGGGAAGTTCTTTCTCTAAATGTAGCAGGTTACAGCGGATCAATTTGGTGAAAGCTCACCATTCCTTGCGTCATGAGCCACTGGTCTATAGGCTCGAGGTCTGAGTTGCCAGGTTTAATGCTCTGCTGCATCAGTTACACAACATTCCCACAGGCCCAGCAGTAAACAGCAGAACAAAAGTCAAGAAAGGAAAAAGACAGGTTAAAGTGGGGGAGGGGAAAAAAACCTTTATACAAGATCACCTTAGTACACATTCATCACAGCTTGCTGTAAGATGCTGAGGAGTCCAATTCATTATTTTTTAAAAAATTGAAATTCCGGCATAGAAATGCAGCTGCACTCCTCAAAGAGTTATGATTGAATTAGTTTGAAACTTTCATCATCGTCTGAACTTCCTCAGAACAAGACTGAGCCATGAAGATTGGTCGTCCTTTCAGGTATACTACACGACATCCAGACACAATCATAAGGTAAAATATTCAGTGCAAAAAAAAATGATATTCAGAACTCAAACTGCTGTTCTGTATTGTATGCACTTCTTCATTCACAGACTGTGAATTCCCATCATGAATTGGTGTTTTTTTTGTTCCATTCAATGTCAGGTTTTGGAAAGAGATGTTAACTCTTTGAAGTCTGGACATCCTGGTTTGCCAAATTGATAAAAGCAAACAAACCTTTTAGCTGTTGTTGACAAGAATAAAACATATTCCTGCAGCAAACAACCTTCATAAACAAAAAGAAAATCGCTGAACATAGACAAACTAACTACTGTGCTAACAGCAGCAGAAGGGTGTGCAATAGTCCACATAAATTACTGCACAGGGTTAAAGTTGGGTTTAACTAAACTCCAACAGCAGTCAGTAAATTGGGTAAAAGGACGGTCATTTAACATTTCTTCATGCAACACACAAGCATGTAAGAGGCAATTAGTATTAATACAATATACAAAAACAATCACTAATATATAAGGTAAAGAGCTACACGTACAAGAAACACAATTATTTTTAGAAGTAGTATTTTTGCTTACAATTGCTTAGGGATTCTAGATTTATGAACGGCATTCCAGAACAATGAAGAGATTAGATTATATGCATCATCATTCAGATGCCGAAATCCGTTTGGCATGAAATCGCTGACCTAGCTCCCCAAACAGATTGTTAATTCAACACCATTCCATGGACTGAATAATGCAACCATTGGGAATAATTCCCAAGAAAAGCTGTTACTGCTTATATCTTAGTTTTTTTTAAAAAAAGACTGTATTTGGAGCATTCAATCTAGCAGTTTTCCTTGTGTGAAGTGATCCCAAAGTGCTACTCAGATTTTTCAGGGCATATTCGACAAACTTTCTATTTCACAGCAAGACTAAATAGCAGATCACCTTTTAAGTCAAAACTCAGTTTAACAACATATGTATTAGCCAAAGTGAAATGTAAATCCAATTAAAGATATAAGACAAAAGTACCAAAACACTGAGCAATCACAGCTGAAATGAAATCGTCCTGCAACAACTTTAAGTCTACGTGCATATATTTATCTGGAAAGACTCTTAAAAGCCCACCCCAACTCCCAATCCAAAGTAGGCAGTCATATGAATGGTGTCACAATGGGATTTCTTGTTGCTCAGAGATTACTGCTCCAAGTGAGTTAAGTAATCCACATAAGATGAAAAAACACCTGATCTCTCGGGAACCAAAGGTAGATTGGAGGCAGTCCTGTTCTTGTTTATAGAGCAGGACTGACAACATCTGTAAAGGTGATCAGTCACCAGCTCCCTTCTAGACTGGGAGAGGGCATGGAAAGAAAACACTGTAGGTATATGATATTCAAAAAGACTAGATACTAACCTAGATTTAAAAGCAGATTGAATGATGTGAATAAAGCAATTGCTGGTACTGTAGCAGTTTCAGGACTGCTGATTAATCTGGAAATATCCTACACAGTTAGTTTTAGTAGCATTCAACACACAAATTAACATACAGCGAAACGCACCAGCACATTCTGAAAGCACAAAAAAGTTGTCAGCTCCCATTTATTTATTTCTGCCTCCTCGACCTTTGCTTTTATTTTCACCTGCAACCACGAAGGAGGTACAATTCTGCTAATTTGGCAGTTCAGTGCTACACACTGAATCAGGACACTAAATACCAAAACTGTTTAAAACTGGGGGGGTCCAACTGGTATTCCGCGATCCGGTTTCATTCCCCACCCCCCATTTCATCTGACTCACCCGTTCCCTCCATAACCCGTAAATGTTATGTTTCTGGAAGGGAAACACAAAAATATTGCTTTGCGGCCCGTGGACATTTCTCAAATAGGGCAACCAGCCCACAGTAGGCAAAAGGTTGGACCACCCTGGGTTAAAGCACTGTTAGAACCCACTTACTGAAAGAACAGTACAATTCAATTAAATATGGCTTTAAAAAAATGCTTACCACGGCTGCATTATTTTGCTGAACATCAAGGGTGGGTGCAAGGCCTCCCCCCAGAGCTTGTGGTTCCTCGTACGTTACCCTATAAGCAAAAAAAAATACTTTGCAAACATATACAGCCTGCTTTTCAATAATAATAATCCTTGAATTTGATATAGCGTCTTATCACGTCTTCGAAACGTCTCAAAGCTCTTCACAGAAAATGCACACATCTCAGATATCTCATAATGATAATAATAAGACATGATTTGAAATTATTCTTCAGAGACAATTTATTCAGCTGTTACTCACCTTTTGCGCTGATCAGCAAGGGAACTGCTTCTCGTCTGCGCAAACATATCAAAATTTGCCATGTCTCGATCGCTTGGATTGCAATTGGGCAAAGAGCTCAGGGTCCCGCTAACACTCTCTTTACCCATGTCTGAGAAAAATAGAAACACAATAAAATATTGTTGAACGGATCACAGCCAATACTGTACCTGGCATGCACTGTCTGAAAGGGGGGTGGAAACAGATTTAATAACAACTTTCAAAAGGGAATTAGATAGGTACTTGAAAATGAAAAATTTGACGAGTTATGTGGAAAGAGCGGGTAGAAGGACTAAATGGATAGCTCTTTCAAAGAGCTGGCATAGGCACAATGGGCAGAATGGCCTCATTGTATGCTGTAATATTCTATGTTTCTATGATTCTAAATCAGAAGATTAGCCCTGCACACAGCATGGAGGAGCCAGGGGAGATGACAATCAACACCTGGTTAGTCAGTATCAAATGATAACAATCCTTACATTTGATATAGAGCCTCATCACGTCTTCAAGACATGTCAAAGCGCTTCACAGAATATACTGTAAAATGAACTGACTATATTTGGTGGGCGAAATGAGGCAGCCAATTGCGCATAGCAGTATCCCACAAACAGTCATGGATTGAGTGAGCAATTTATTGACAGTACTTAACCTTTTATGTTTAAAACTCAGAGCAACACTTAACTAGTCTCAGCTGAGCAGGGGAGGTCATGGTTAAAGAAGTCTTTCCCTTACCTAGTCCAGCAAGCTGTGAGGACAGAGAGGAGGCAGTGGTATTTGCAACCATTGGGCTTACAACTGCAGGAGACCCTGGGCCCAAGTCTATTAGATTATCTGTGTCCGTGACTTCATCTAATACCTGATAACAAAATAAGAGCAGACAGCTTAAAAAACTGTCATTTGTAAACTGTGACAGCATTGTAAACAACAACTTGTATTTACACAGTACCCCTCAGGCAGGGTAGTGTCCCAGAACACTTAAGAGTGACAGAGCACGATGCCAAGCCAGTGGAGGAGGGTAGGCACAGTCGAAGGGTAAAATCTTCAGGCGCAATCTGAAGATAGGAAACGAAGAGGCAAGGCAGAGGGATAGAGGAAGAGTGTTCCAGAGTTTTGAGGCGTACTGGCTGAAAGCGCAGAATGTATGTGAACATGTACATTCCTAGATAATTCTGACTACAACTAGGTCAGGTAATCACAGCCACCTATCGCGGTGAACATTAATTCAAGCATCCCGAGAAAAAAACAATATTCAAATTTCAGCCTCAAATGTTTCAGCTCACGGCTGAGACATCAGGAGAAACTCTTGTCAAACAGTGGCATGAGACCTTTAATGTCCACCTGAAAAGTCAGACCGAAGCTCAGTCCAAGTCTCATCTGATAGACGGCACTTCTGACAAGACCCACCCCCAACACTCCACTGGAGCTTCAGCCTTTGAGCCAATGTGGGTCTTGAACCCACAACTTTCTAACGCCTAGGTGAGGGTGCTATCAAACAAGTCAAGCGGCCACACTGAGCTGATGCAGCCTGAGTCCAGATTTATGTTTTTTTAAATTAAGTTAAAAAACATACAAGTGATCACTTACCCCATTATCTGTGCTCTGAGTCACACGTCCTGATCTGTACCTTTCAAATCTTCAAAGAGAATACAAGTCAAAAAACTTATTTAGGGTGTTTACAGACTGATACAGAATGGTGAAATATGGATACAGCTATAACAACAAGTTTGTTCCAATGATAAACTTCTGACCAGTGGCTCCTGGGGTTCCACTTGCAATTCAGGTGTGCTTTCAAATGTTTCTGCAACCGTCAAAACATAGTTTGAGGGGCTTCGCTGGGATGGATATCTAGTACTAGGTAGAGACATGCAGCACATTTCTCTTTGGGATTGACTATCACATAGAAGACAGGAAATAAGTTTTGTCCAATAAACTAAGCTGTGGAACAACTTGCTCACCTTTCGTACCGAAGGAAGACATTGTTCAGGTCGTCGTTAACGTGCAACAGTTCCTCTGTGATCTCCTCGCTGGACACGCTGGACAGAAGCTCTACAATCCTTGCCTGCATTGCTCGACACGTTTGATTCAGTTCCTGCATTAAATATTAAATGTGTTAAAGAGTTATTTGAGGCAAATTAATGAATTTTGCCCTCTTGAAATACTCGCACGTGATATTTCGCTTTCATCGAGGCAAAGAATGGTGGGGCCTGGGCCTAATACCATTATTAGGGTCAAGCCCTCTGATTAGGTACCACACAGTCACTAAAGCATCCCTTAAACCATCTCAACTCCAACACCAGAACAGAATACTACACTATTGTGAGTGTTTTATTTCCTATAGCACACATCCTCATAAATTTTAAACAACCTACCTGAAATTTACTTAACAAGACCCTGAAAGGAAATGTATTTTTATCCTCTTAGATCTGAAACTCAAATCCCCAGTGTGGAAGAAAAGTGGTTGAATCGGCTTAGTGTTACATCAAAAATTTAACTCATTAAAAGTCAGTTTGTAGTTGCTTCATGCCACTTTGTGCTTGATAAATTGTGCATCCAATTCCAATACAGAAAAACATTTAACAATAATCCTTGCATCTGATACAGCAGCAACAAAATTATATTTATAGAGCGCCTTTCACATTGGGGGGACGTCCCAGGGCGCTGGACAGTGAGGGGTCGGGATCCGAGCATGGGGAAGGGGTGGGGTCGGGGTGAGGAAAGGCAGAGAGGTGGGAGGCTGACTGAAGGCATGATCAAAGAGAAGGGTCTTGAGACTGGCCTTGAAGGAGGCAAAGGAGGAAGAGAGGCAAAGGGACTGTGGGATAGAGTTCCAGAGTGTGGGGGCAGAGAGGTTGATACAACTACAATGCAAGAATTATCTCTTTGACGGCGCTCCCTTTCAGTAATCCCCTGACCCTCATCAATTCAGGTACCCAGACAGTTGTGTAAAGCGCTTTAAGATATCCCAGCATGAAAGGCACAAAATAAATGTAAATTGTTTCTTATTGTAACAACCAAAACCTCTCAAACCACTTCACAGGTAATTGCTGGCAAATGTTGCAATTGACAGATAAACTACTCCAAAATCATAATTTGTTTACTTAAAAAAACTATGTAATCCTAAAGCTCATCTATTTGGATCCCTGTTGGATTATGCTTTGTTAGAATGAAGCACAAGTACTCCCGGCAAAAGGACTTTGAAACACACGTCTCACAGCTGATCTTTAAGCTTTTCTCACCTGGAGTAACTCGAAGTCTGACTGATCTTCCTGCCCTGGAACCATTTCAGTCAGCATCTCCGACATAACCTTTGTGTTTCCCCGCACAACGTCCAGTTCGCAGCGCAACCTGGCAATCTGCCACACAAATGGCTCAACTTAAAACAAATGGCAGCCTGGTTATTACCTCGCATAAGATACATTACAAACTGACCAATAAATAGTCAGGGCTTTTTTTAAAAAAAGAATAATAAAGATGTTAGTCAACAATTGTTTTGCAACAGGTTGATCATAACAATAAAAAACTACTAGAAACTTGTTCATTGAGCCTACTGGTCAGTTTGACTTGTGTGGCTAGGGCTTAAGGGGACTCGGAGTCTGCATGGTGAGGAGGACACGGTGGCCATCTTTGAAGCTGGAGCGGAGGCTGCACGATGAGGGAGAGATGCAGCCATCTTTGATGTTGGCAAGGAGACTGTGCCCATCTTATAGGAGACCAATCACTCAGCCTCCCTACCCCCAAGAATATTTTCATCCGCAATCAATTGTTTGGCTGACTCATACAGTGCCTTTTGAAAGAATTATTACCATCTATAGGGCATCACACTTTGAAGCAATCGTGCCACAAGTAGCTTGTGGTAATTTAAGTAGAAACAGAAAAAGTTAAGCCACTTTAGAGACAGATAGTATTAAAATTCTTCTGATTGTCGTCCATTACAAATAGATTCCAAGATTTCCCATTTCAGGAACAAAAAGGTCAGACTTTACCCATGGACTTCTGCATGTTTAAGCTGGAAATCAGGAACCAGCAGAAAGCGCAAGTGAGAAAAAAGTACATTCTTAATTGTATCTTTTTCTGTGCAGTGTAACCAACGTCTAATAAAAGCTTTAAAATTGCCAGAATGAGTGGAAATGTGCTACAGTTCGGCATCTCCTAGCTCTCTGCACCTGTTCAGTATTTGGAGTGATCGGTCCAGTTACGTGCACAGACGGAAAGCCGTGGGCTGCTGAATACACATTCAGTGAAGATGGCGCAGACGGGAAAGAGTTTGCAGAAGCCGGTCTCTGCAGAGACTGAGGTGTGGCTTTGTTCATTGCAGTATCAAGGTTTGGAATACTCTACAATATAAAAATAAACAAAAGATTATATGTAACCCCTATATCCAAATAACACCAGCAAAAGCTCAAAGTTGACTTCATTAGCTTCTTCCAGTGGACATTAAAACTGATTTTGCAGTTTGCAGCAAAGCAACAGAGAATTTATTGTTATACTAAAATATTGCCCAACACTATTGTAGGTCAACAGAGATAGTCTCAGCATCAGGAACTAAGACTGAAGTCTGGAATGAGTGTGAATCCTAATCTTTCACTTACTGCACTGCACCATCACTGAGATATATAGAATTGTAGAATCTTACAACACAGGAGGCCAATCGGGCCATCGGGCCTGTGCCAGCTCTTTGAGAGAGCTATCCAACTAGTCCCACTCACCTGCATAGTCCTACAAATTTTTCTTTTTTTAAGAACCTATCTAATTCCCTTTTAAGAGTTATCAAATCTGCTTCCACCACCCTTTCAGGCAGTGCATTCCAGATAATTATAATAATTCTTGGGTTTAATATAGCGCCATATCACGTCTTTGAGACATCTCAAAGCGCTTCAGAATATACTGTAAAGTGAATTGAAGGTATATTTTGTGGGCGAAACACGGCTGCCAATTATGTACAGCAGTGTCTCACAAACAGTCGCGGATTGAGTGACCAATTTATTATTGGGGTTTTTTTCAAGGAATTATTACCTCCAGAAAATCAATCCGCCAATCGACTAATAACCAGCATCCTACATACTGCTAGGTAAACAAAGGAGCGTGGAGTAAGGAAACTTGCCCAACATTTCACCCTGCCTGGGAATCAAACCCAGATCTCTCGCTTGTGAGGCGAGTGCTCTATCCATTGAGCTACAGGACTCGAACAATACTATTTTATACTTGTATGTTAAAATTTACTGTAAGTGATGTGACAGTTATCAGCAATAATTAAAATATCGCTGAAAAGTCTAAATCAAATCTGTATTTAGCCCGACTACTACTAAGAGCAACAAACCCCCCACCCAACTTCAGTACAATGGTATGGGCCCGAAGTTGTTTGAGTTCTGCCCAACCAGCATCTTGTTTTCACGTCCACAATCATCGTCTTGCTTTCCTGCTGGAGACGCCAGAGTAACTCAAATAAATTGTGTGGATGGTAATTACTGCATACTGCATGCTTTTCAAAAGTCACTGAAATTCCATAAGACATCACATGCAAGAACAATTTTCATCATAAGAATATTCAGCGACCAACCTCATAGGAACGGAACAGATATTTGCTTTGCCACTACAGCTTATACAAAATTGGTGAAAACGATTTCCCACCTTATTTTAAAATAACTAAATTGAAAAAAAAACTTACTGCAATTCAAATTACAAGGCTCTCTCAGATCGATAGTTATCAATGAAGTGAAAATTCGTAGAATCTATTCCGATGACACCATGTACATTGCTGAAATAAAATGTTCTGTTTACTCGTGTTTAACCCAAGCCCAACCTTACCTCTCTGGCCTTTACCCCAGTACTTGTCATTTTGACAATAAACAGACAATGTGCATTCATAACATCTCAAGGCTGTGTGGCAACAGTGTGAATCCTTACACCCTCCCAAAGTTCATTACAGCTTTAATGGCTTTGCGTACAGCTCTATTACATCTAAGATTCTGAAAGAAGATACCTATTCAATCTCCCACAGCCAATTGAGATACTCAATGCTTGAATTCGAAAGGTCAGAACATTCTCTCTCCAAATTCGATAGGATTCGGTATTAGTAACATCTCGTGGTAGAATATCACTAACGGCAACTACATCAAGCTAAATTTGGTAAACTTGGATTGAGTCCAGTGTTCAACTGGAATGCCAACATTTAGATCTGAACTCATCATGGGAAATTACAGGGGTTGTTCAAAGTGTAATTTATTCTGTACAATGACTCAATGTGCAGCATCAATGCCAAACAAAAATAAGCATAACAACAGTCTGGCACGATTATCTCACAAGTTACAATAATCAATGACACTAAGATGGGAAGAGGTTATCCCTAACTGAAACAAACATGGATATCCAGAGACCACACTGGCGTGTAAACAGCGATGTCGTTCTCAGCTACATCATCAGCGAATACAAAAGCAACACTAGTTACTGCATTTCCCTAATCAGAGACCCTGAACTTTTAAGACTTTTAAACATATTTGACCACGACCAATCTGAAGGTAAATCCTCACCACAGGTAGAAGGACAACCATCTCTACTCTTGTACACACAAAAGCAAGTTAGAAATTATTCCTGTGACATCTGTGAATGTCTAGTCCAGGATTCTGAAGGGGGGGGGAGGAGAAGAGATTTTAGTTAATATCAAGTTAATTGGATGTTGACTGGGAAACATTGACAGCTGTAGAATAAGCAAGATCTTAAACCTGATGTGCTATACATACAGCATACAAGAAGCTCACTACTCGGAAGCCTTCAGCTAACAACACTGCAACTGGTTAAGGCTTACTCTCTGTGGTGTATGTATTGGAGACAGTGCTTCCAGATCTGCCATTGGGAACTCCATCCCTTTTCTCTTTAATTCTTCATAAATATGAACTACTCCAGTCAAATCTGGGCTACTCCTGAAAGCATCAGCCCAAGCCTAGGAGCGAAAACACCAAGCAATGCATCAGAATCGTTCCAGTTAAAACCAAACAGTCACATAATTTCCTAGAAAATTTGTTATCTGGTAGAAGGTTTTGGTCCTAGTAGAAGGAACAAAACTAAAAGCCCTTGGAATACTTTCAAAACTAATGCAATGTTAGAACATTACTGCCCTCAATTAACCCTTTAGACTACTGAAGAAGAGGTCCATTTCCCTGAATGGCCAAGTATCTAACTGTTATAAGGAGATATTGGAAGCGCTCCTGGTGCCTCTCAATCACCCCTATTCCCAAGCTTTGAATCATTTTAATAAAAATAATTCACTTTGTATAATACATTGAAGCTTCCCTTGGGTTAAACATACCTGTATCAATCCAAGCACTTTATCCTGCACAATTGCTGGTGGATTATTCTTAGGCAAGACAATTTTCACCAATACACCATCAATAAAGTCACGACTGGCTACAAGGACATGGAAACGATGACCGCAGTTCTTAATGCATGTCTCCAGAACCTAGTTGTGTTAGAGAAATAAATGAACACATTATTTCTTCAACAATTGGAGTTCAGCTTCATCCAATGCTTTCCAGCAAGTTAACTTGGGGGTGAATGTATGAAAGTTCGGTAAATTCTTCCCACTCAAAGCACACTGGATGTAAATTCCAGATCACATCTACAGTTACACATCTGCTTGCAGCAAATTGGTCATTATCATTGGTTATTGAATCCTCACAGTTACAATGTTAGACCATAAAGGATTATTATAAAGTAACTTTCACAAACTACATACAATTTCAGCCTTAGAAAGAAGCATCTCAGAGAGGTCCTTATAGAGATTAAACCTGATCTTCAATGGGATGGAGAAAGTAATTCTACTGTTAGATATGCCAAAATAGCAGGACAAGGTCAGGAGTGTGAAGAGCAATTGATGGGACACAGGAGTAATCAATAGGTGAAATGGGTTTCCAGAAACAATGGTGCACAATTTATACAATAATCTTTGCATTTGACATCTTTGAGACATGGATTGAGTGACTTTTTTTAGGGGATTATTATTGATATTAGAGGTAATACAGAGAATTTCTTTAAAAAATGCTAGTTTTTTCAGGATGGCTAAGAATTAGAGACCTGGAAAATGCCAGCTTTGTACTCACTGTTAAAGCAAGCATCACTTCCCGGTAGTTCTTGTTCCCACTCAGTCTTTTTTTAAGGGCCCGAATTGCATCCTTTGGCCTACAAAAAGAGAAGCAAAGGAGAATAAGATTGGACAGTTCACCAAAACAGCTTAGAGCATGATATGGATTTTGGCAGCAAAAGATAAAAGACTTAAAAAAATGACAAGCAATGGATGTAAAGTCCTCAGCTCTTACCACCAGTAAATGCGTTAGTGTCCTCCAGTGGCAGAAAATGAGTACTACAGAGCATAACAATCAGTATATACAGCCTTTCATGTCAGGATGACTGAAAGCTCTTCACAGGATATGCTGATGAGCGATTGTGTTTTGTGCGCAAACATATAGAGTAAACAAGTATAAAACCACAACCACATCCATATCTGTAAATTAGGATCAAGTTGTACTCTGGGTTTGGATAGCTGTGTGTTTTACAGTAATAACAATTTTCATTTATACAGCTCCCTTCATGCGGGGCAGCATCTCGGAGTGCTTTTCACTGGTTATCCTGGCAGTTTGTGGACATTGCTGCAGTTGCCTATAAATACATAATCATTACCCTTAACCTCTGTGAAGCACTTTGAAACATTGACATATATGCTATATGTCAAGGATTAATAATTAGCTACATTGTAAAATTGACATATTGCCAAGTGCCAAATTGCCACATCTGCAAACAACAAAAAAACAGCCTAATGCCTTATTAGTGAGGTATCAAAGGCACCTTCAAACCTCCCTGCAGTTGAGCGCATCCTTGTTTTAATCTTACCCTTCTTCAGTCTCATTAATAATATCACATATCTCCATATTCAGAGTCCAGTCTTCCGCCTGCAGGGATCCGTCTGTGGCTCGCTCTATTAAGAAAATAAATAGTTAAATTTGGAAATTCTTAAGAAGAGCACCCTTTCAACAACAGTGTTAGAACACTTGGACCATTCCCACCCCCATCCACAAACAGACCCCACCCCACGACATATGACTTTCAGTGTGCGTCCTAAAAACAAGCGCTCTGCATCCTTTTTCAAAACATCTACACTGTTAGCAGTTGCAAAGTAATCGCTTCAAATTTGAGAACCACAGTTGATGGCAGTGTTTTCATAATAGTAATGCTTGTCTTTAATATAGTGCCTTATCACATCATGGAGACGTCTCAAGCGCTTTACAGTATATACCGTAAAGTGGATTGTGTATTTTGTGGGCAAAACGCGACAGCCGATTGTGCACAGCAGTGTCCCACAAACAGCCATGGAGTGAGTGATCAATTTTACCCTTGGGGATTACTGGTCAAGACATCAGGAAAGAGAAACTCCCTTCTCTTTTTGAAACAGTGCCATGGGTTCTTTACCATGGGTCCTCAGTTTAACATCTCATCTGAAGGACGTTTAAAATAGTTAATTGAGTCACCGAGCCACTGTATGTATCTAGCTCAGGCCTAGCAATCACAAAGGCATAGGATTTAAGTAGGAGTGTTGGATTGTAAAACTTAAATACTGTAACCAAACTATTATGAAACATAATCATTATATTCAAACATTAGAATTATATATACGTTGATTAGTTTGACAGCCCTCAGCTTCATTCAATTCACATTTGGAGAACACATACTATGTTTTGTTCAATAACGAAGGGCTAGTTATCTGAGATACCTGCTGCCCTTCCTTATTTAGTCTGCAATAATCAATCATAATTACTACCTCTGATAGCTTTAGCTTTCCTGAATCACGCACAATTCCCCAATCCCGTTGCTCGGTTAGAGCACTCACCTCGCAAGCGAGAAACCTAGTTTTGATTCCCGACAGGGCAAAACGTTGAGTAAGTTTCCTTACTCCACACACATGCCTCTGTTTACTAAGCAGTAAGTAGGAACCTGCTTTTTAGTCGATTGTCAGATCACTTTTCCGGGGTTGACAACCCCTTCNAAAAAAAGAAAAATTGGTCACTCAATTCACAACTGTTTGTGGGACACTGCTATGTGCAATTGGCTGTCACGTTTCACCTACAAAATATACAGTCACTACACTTTACAGTGTATTCTGTGAAGTGCTTTAAGAAGTCTTGAAGATGCTATATCAAATGCAAGATTTATTTGTTATTATTTTTAAATGATTCTGGGTAAGGGATTTAATAATTATCAAATTATCAAAAAAAACAAATAGCTTGGTCATTCATTCCACAACCACTTGTGGGACACTGCTATGCGTAATTGGCTGCTGTGTTTTGCTCACAAAATATACAGTCAATTCACTTTACAGTATATTCTGTGAAGTGCTTTGAGATGTCTCAAAGACGTGATAAGCCACGATATCAGATGCAAGGCTTAGTATTATTATTATTATTGTGTCAGAAAAGTAATTTTACCTCCATTCCAAAACACATTCTCTTAGGTCCTTCTCTCAATTTGCAGCAAGTGTTACAGTATGTTTGAAGCATTCTCGATTCAACAGCGTGGTTCTCACCTTAAACAAGACCAGCCACTGAGAACCACAGACAATTTAAAAAGAGCTGGGAACCACCGATAAAAGAAGAAATGCTTCCCAAAGGTCATCTATGGGAATAGGTGTTCCGGATTTCACACCTATCTGTTTTAAATTGGTACAGTTACATGTTGGCAACGACAACTTGTAACAGTGCCAATGCAAAATATATTTTTCAGTTGGGCCTTTTATATTCCATCATTAATTAAGACTCAATTAAACCCCACAGCTGTGCTGAAGTCACTCCATAATTAAAACCTTCTTCATCTCACGAGTTAACTGACTTACTTGCACCAAATAAGCTCTCCCAAGATAAAAGGTACAAGTTTAAGCTAATAATAATAATCCTTGCAATTGATATAGCATCCTATCAAGTCTTCGAGATCTCTCGAAGCGCTTCACAGAATATACTTTAAATTGAATTGACTGTATACTTTGTGGGCAAAACTCGGTAGCGAATTGTGCACAGCAGTGTTCCACAAACAGTCATGGATTTAAGTGACCAATTTTTTATTTATTTTCTTTGAAGGAATTATTACCCCCGGAAACGTGATCTGCTAATCGACTAACAACCAACCGGGTTCCTACTTACTGCTAGGTAACAGAGGCTTGTGGAGTAAGGAAACTTACCTAACATTTCTCCCTGCCAGGAATCGAACCCAGGTCTCTCGCTTGCGAGGCGAGTGCTCTAACCACCAAACTACCGGACTCTATGTCACATCACCTCTATTTACATGAGACAGAAAGGACAGAGCGCAGCCAACTCTTCTATCCTCACAACATTGGTAAGATTTGGTTATTCCGATTCTATCTAACAGAAATAGCAAGCATCCTTATTGATCTCCCGAGGAGGGCTAACTGATCTAAACTGAACTGAACACAGTCAGTTCCCTACGCCAACTCAGGCTCAATCAGCTGTGTAAAGCCCTTTGGGATGTCCACCCAATGTGAAATGTACTACATAAATGTAAATTGGATTGGATTGTATATTGCATTTCAGGCCTGCTGTAAGACAGCAAATTACTAATGAATAAAATACTAATCATGAAAGGGGAAAAAATGGATCCCACAGCAGGAGGATGGGTAGGTGGTGTTTGTAGCCATTCCAAATGACTGAATATTCTATGAATTACAAATATTTCATTAGATTTAAATAAAAAAACATGGAACTATTTCTAGTTGCATGTATATTAGGCAGATTTCACAATAAGGGCTCACAACCCACACTGAACAATCCTCCTCCGAGTTGGGATTTCATGAAAGCCACAAATATAGTACAGTATTGTTACTGAAATAGCCTTCTCAAAGAAGAGAATCATAAAAACTATTCACTAGTTAACCAAACTGATACTTTTTGCAGATAAATTACGCTGCATTTTAGTCTTGATTGCATACATGATCCCTCATGTATGCAGCAAAGGAATAGAGGAATATGGTAAAGGGAATTGGATAGGGTGGCACCACATGTGGAATATGAACTCCAACCAGCACAGACTAATTGGCCAAGTGGCTTGTATCCTCGCTGTAATGTAATTCTATGAATCAAAACTGCATCAAATCGATACTAAAGATGAAATATAAAAGCCTGGTAAAAAGCCTTTCCTCCTCCCCTCAAACATCTGTGCAAAGAATTCTGAAGCTTAGTTTCATTGGGTGCATGTCATGCAACCCCACAGAAATCATAATGCACAACTTAATGTACAAAGTACAGCCTCCGTGGAAAATCCCTTTATGTAATAATAAACAATATTATTAGCTAAAGCAATAATAATGATATAGCACTTAATCACATCTTTGAGGCGTCTCAAAGCGCTTCACAGAACATACTGTAAAGGGAATTGACTGTATGTTTTGTGGGCAAAATACAACAGCCAATTGTGCACAGCAGTATCCCACAAAGAGTCATGGATTGAGTGACCAAATAATATTTTTTTCTGAAGGGATTATTACCCATGGAAAAGAGATCCGTCAATTGACTAACAACCAGGACAGTGCCCCCTCCCCACTCACACAGGGAGACTCCTAGACCTGGCCCACAACTCCCGGTCCACACACCAATCACAGGAGCCCAGACAATAACTTTGGTGATTCATGTTAAAAAATTGCAAGACAAATGAACTTTGTATTTTTTGGCCCATGTTTACTCCAACAGTGAGCTGGTTTCAACACCAACCAGAATTTAAAGAGGACTTTCCAATGACGACCTACAACAGCCAATCACTCCCCAAAATATAAGACTTATTTTCATACCTCCCTCCTTCGCTCACACCCACACAACCACATTCTATGCCAATCCAGCCACGGAGGTGTAAAGCTGTGTCCTCCTTCAATGGCTCCCAGCACCCATTTCCCATTTCCACCCCTCCCCGGAAGCCAAGCTGCAAAGTTCTCAGCCTCTCCGAATGCCAGCCAGTTTCACTGAGAGGCTGGGAGGTAAAAGGGGTATAATAATAATAATCCTTGCATTTGATATAGCGCTTTTCACGTCTTCTACACGTCTCAAAGAGCTTCACAGAATATACTGTAAAGTGAATTAACTGTATATTTGTGGGCGAAACGCGGCAGCCAATTGCGCACAGCAATGTCCCACAAACAGTAGTGGATTGAAGTGACCAATTTATTATTTTTTTCTCTCTTGAGGGATTATTATCAGGCGTGTGGAGTAAGGAAGCTTGCCCAAAGTTTCACCCTGCCGGGAATCAAACCCAGGTCTCTTGCTTGTGAGGCGAGTGCTCTAACCACTGAGCTACAGGACTCCTGATCTGGATCTGGAATACATTGCCTGAAAGGGTGATGGAAGCCGATTCGATAACAACTTTTAAGAGAGAAGTAGATAATTATTTGCATAATAATAATAATCCTTGCATTTGATATAGTGCACTATCATGTAGTTGAGTCGTCTCAAAGTGTTTCATAGAATATACTGTAAAGTAATGACTGTATTATGTGGGCGAAATGCGTAAGGCCGACACTGGAGTAATAATATTTCTGTCGTTTGCTCGGAGCATCAAAGTCAGACAGCCCGCGTCACAGCCGACAAGAAACTGCCAGCAAAACCTGAAATGGGCCACCAGTCTCAGCTCTGCTATCAGCACAGCAATGAGCCTGGTCTTTAGACAGACTGAGCCTGAAAGTCAGTCCACAGTACGCTGACACCGTTATACAGCTAGCGGAGCTACAATACTGTACTTCAAATTCTCACAGAATTTATGGTTAAAGATTTGCATAGCATTGTTTGCATCAGGCAACAAAAACATCAGTATTGGTCCAGGCAGAGAGAGGCCAGCAATGGCACTGTCATGGGCTTTGATGTCCTCCAAAGGGCAAGAGAGTGTACATTCTATTCCAACAATCTATCTCTGGGGTTTCCATACGTAGGTGGAATGCATGGAATTCGCAACTTGGTTTGGAGACTCTTAAACACGGTGATGGGTTCCCACGTATGTCAGACACCTATCCAGCTGCCCCCCAAAAAGTCATGTGAATGCACTCCACACTCACCCCTCACCCAGTCTCCTTAAAATGTTAATGGATGCGGGGAAAAGTATCCACCTAACCTCTCACTGCTGATTATTATGCAGTAACCACTGCTGAATAGGTGCATACTTTGACACCAAAAGAAATCTGGGTTGGGTTTGGCAGGAATGCAATAAGTCCTGTAGCTCAGTGGTTAGATCACTCGCCTCGCAAGCGAGAGGGCCTGGGTTCGATTCCTGGGCAGGCCAAAACTTTAGGCAAGTTTCCTTACTCCAGAAGCCTTTGTTTACCTCGCAGTAAGTAGGAACCCGGTTGTCAGTCGATTGCCAGATCGCTTTTCCAGGGTAATAATCCCTTCAAAATATATAAATTAAATTCACTTTACAGTATATTACGTGAGACTACTCGAAGACATGATAAGGCCCTATATCAAATGCAAGGATTATTATTATTATTATTATAGTAGTACAGCTTTGGAAAGATAAAGATATTCACTTCCAACATGCAATGGTCAACTGGAAGCATAGGGTTTTCTATCGTGCAGCAAAACTCCTATAAAAGGTTAAAAAAAAACTAAAAATTAGAATTATTGCCTTTCTTTCTGACACAAGTCCTATTTAAGCATTTTTTTGAATCCCCTAAAAAACATGAACATACGTTTGTGTCCACATTTCCTCAAAACATTTGGTTCCGCCATGTCTTCTGGAGTTGTGGCACATCCCAGGTTTGTCCGCAGCGAGGGACACTTTTTCGACACAGTACGGAGGGAGGTGGTGGAGGAAAGACCACTGTACTGTATTTATTTCATTTGTACTCATTGAATCTCCTTTGGTAAATAAGGTTGGCACTTATAAAGAGATATTTCACGAAACTACAGAAGTGGGTACAAGTACCTTTCAATCTAATTTCACTTTATTTGCGGATAATAATCCTTGCATTTGATATAGCCTTATCACATCATGAAGACGTCTCAAAGCACTTCACAGGAAATAATGTACCGTGGAGTGACTGTGTAGTTTGCAAGTAAAACACAACCGCCAGTTGCACATAGCAATGTCTCACAAACAGCCCTGGAGTGTGTGACCAATTTTATCTTGAGGGATTCTTGTCCAGGATACCGGGAGAAACTCCCTTCTCTTTTAGAATAGTGGCCAGGGGTGGGATCTTTAAACATCCACCTGAGTCAGGTCAGGATTACTCAAGACTGGGAGTGAACACATCTGTGGCATGTTGCAATTTCTGGCTCGGCTTAAAACATTACAGGAAGCACTGTGTTTTAACCAGATTCAACTGCGCTGCTTCAGTCTTCACGACGGCCAAACAATCATTCAGCGAAGTGCGTCAAGAAAAACAAACACAGACACACACACACACATACAGAGCTAAAGCAAAGCAACTAGTTGAGGGGGGGGGGGGGGGGGGTGAATGATGCTACAGTTCAACCTGGTGTCAGGAGCTGCCAACATCCGACAAGAGCCAAAGAAGGCGTGTGTGTGTGTCTGTGTGTGTGTGTGTGTGTGGGAGGGAGAATGGATGCTTCCAGTCCTCAGCCCTTCTGTCCATGATTCTCTCGCAAAGGCCGTGTGGTGCAGCGTTTATAACAATAACAACAAATGGAAGAAGGTGGTGGGTGGGGGGAGGGGGAGGGAGGGAAAGCAGAATAAAATCACTGCCGGGGCCTTTCGCATTGGTGTGACAATTGCGAAGGAAGATAAATGAAATGCTAGTAACTTTAAAATATAGATATATATACGTGTATATTATGTACACGCGTACATTGTACCTGAAAAGATAAACTTAGGCCGAGAACTGCCTCGCACTCACACTCGCTCACCCGAGAAAAGAGAGTGCGAGAGTCGCAAAATAATTGGTGCCAACCGCTCAAAAACGATGTAAATAATGATGATTATGGCCTTTATTATTATCGTTTAAAAAACTAACGATACATGAAAAAAAAAGGGAGATTCGAGATAGGGGGGGGAACTAGAGCGAGGAAATGGAAGTGTCAAAGGGACTGACTGACTGACTGACTGACGGACGGACGGACTCCGGGCAGCGCCTCGCGCCGCCCGCGAAGAGAGATCGTTATTTTTTAAAACGCAAATAAATTCAAAAAAAAATAACGGCCAACCGTGTTCTGCAGAGAGGGCGCGCGCGAGAGAGAGAGAGGGGGAGAGAGAGAGAGAAAAAAAAGAGAGGACGGAGGAAAGGTTTAATGGTGCCGGCGCTCACCTATGCACTGCCCCACAGGAGTGCTGTACGGGTTCCCGATGAAGAACTCCATCTTCGCTCCTGTCCTTGCCCGACAACAACCCGCCCCGCGCGCGCGCGCGCGCAAAGCACGTACCGCACGCAGAGCACGCACGCACGGCACGCACGTCAGGTCGCGCGCTTCCCGTCCATCAACGGCCCAGACATTTAAATGCGTTTGTACGTTTGTAGCCCAAAAGTCGCCCGATAATCAGACGTCGCCCCCGCCTAACCCAGAGGTTGAAGTCCTGCAGCTCAGCGGTCAGCAGTCAGAGCGCTCGCCTCGCAAACTCAGAGGACCCTGGGTTCGATTCCCGGGCAGGGCAAAACTTTGGGCACGTTTCCTTACTCTCTCCACACACTCCACACACAGGCCTCTAATTTACCCATCAGTGAGTAGGAAACCTGGTTGTCAAGGCTATTGCCGGATCGCTTCCCCGGGGTGGTGGTGGTGCTGTAATAATCCCTTCAAAACTCTAGTAATAATAAAATCGGTCACTTCAATCCACGGCCGTTTGTGGGGACGCTGCTGTGCGCAAATGGCTGCCGCGTTTCGCCCACACAATACGCGGCCGCTGCACTTTACAGTGGATTCTGTGAAGCGCTTTGAGACGCCTCGGTGGCGTGATAAGGCGCTGTGTCAAATGCAAGGATTATACATTTATTATGTTAGAGGTAGCAGCAGAGTGGCCCGACTTAGGGGTTAAGTCCTTTTTAAAACTGTGAGAAAAGGTCTTCAAAGCAGGAGGTTGGGAGGGGGGGAGGGGGAGTGAGGGGGATAAGTATTGCAGATTTAAATGTTTTTTAAAAGATTAGGCACCACCAGCCCCAAAACATTTTTTCTCCATACAACAGTTCAACAAAAACCGCCCAATTGGGCGTGAACCCGCCCAGTCTGGCACCATTGGTTGGAGGTAGAGGGTGGGCGGGTGAGAGTACGACAAACGTGCCTACGAACCTTTCCAATTGGCTCCTCTTCTTGACGGGCACCGGCCTTCCGCGGCCTCCATTGGTCCGCTCATGCATCAATCAAAATCAATCAACCAACCCATCCGCCGCCCGTGCGCCGCCTATCAAATGAGTCCGTTGGCCTTAACGTTGTTTTTTTTAAAAGAAAATACCACAAATCAAGGATATACGACCCATTTTACTCCCGGAACCGCAGTACCAAGACCAAGGATGTCTTGTTTCGGCTCTTTTGTGTGAATTAGGGTTGCAAAAAGGTTTTTCTTTTTTTTATATGAAAAAAAAGCGCGGATGGTTATTTGAAGACATGGGAGGTGCTGCGGCGGTTCGGGGGGGGTGGAGCGATGCTGTCACGTGATCGTTGCCTTAGCAACGGGAGTGAAGCCGAGCCCAGGAGCGGAGGTGTCTCCGGTCACTTGTTTCTTCAGTCAGAAAAAGATATTTAAGTGGGTAAGTTCTTCAATTCATCTGAAATACAAGAATGTTTTTAATCCCAACCCCCCCCCCCCCACAACAACTTGGATTTATATCACAATAATCCTCGCATTTAACACGCCGCCTCCTCGCGCTGTCGAGACGTCTCAAAGCACTCCGCAGAATAACGGTGATAATAATCCTTGCATTTGATGTAGCGCTTTTCACTTCTTCCGGACGTCTCAAGGCGCTTCACGGAGTAGACTGGAAAGCGTGGCGACTGTGTATTTTGTGGGCGAAACGCCTACAGCCAATCGCGCACGGCAGCGTCCGCGCAAACAGTCGGGGATTGAGCGATCACGTTTATTTTGTTTTGGAGGGGGTTATCACCCCCCCCCACCCCCCCCACCCCGGAAAGCGATCCGTCCATCGACTAACAACTTACTGCTACTGCTAGGTAAGCAGAGGGGTGGTGGAGTAAGAAAACTTGCCCAAGATTTTGTCCTGTTCGGGAATCGAACCTGGCTCCTCTCTCCAGCGAGGCGAGCACGCTAATCACTACAGGACTCCACTCCATTTATATAGCGCCATCCCCCCCCCCACCCCACTCCACAGAGGGGAATGTCATGGAGCGACAGTCCAACGTCGTAAAAGAAAACTAAAGGGGAAGATTGCAAATCCCGCCGGGTCCTCACTCTGTCCTAACCATCGCCCACAAAGTACACACTGTCGCAACATTTTATAGTAAAATCGTGTCAGGCGCTTTGAGACGTCCACCTATATCAACCGAGAGATTCCGGTTCAATTCCAGGCAGGTTATTTTTGTAACCTCCATCTTGGAGTCCCTTCACCTTATAATAATAATAATCCTTGCATTTGATATAGCGTTTTTCACGTCTTCTCGACGTCTCAAAGCGCTTGACACGATTTTACTATAAAATGTTCACAGTATCTTCACAGATACTGTAAAGTGAATTGACTGTATATTTGTGGGCGAATGCAGCAGCCAATTGCGCACAGCAATGTCCCACAATCAGTCGTGGATTGAAAATGACCAATTTATTATTGTTTTGTTTTTGGAGGGATTATTATTAGGCTCTGTGTGGAGTAAGGAAACTTGCCCAAGGTTTCGCCCTGTCTGGAATTGAACCCAGGTGTCTCGCTTGCAAGGCGAGTGCTCTAACCACTGAGCTACAGGACTCCACACCTCGTTCAAGGTCTGACCTACCCCTTTGACCAAGCTTTAAATCATTTTTCTCCCCCCCTTTCCCCACACCCTCAGCTCCCAGCCCCAGCTCAGTGCCCACGCAGTCCTTTTGGGCTTTCCTCCCAACCTGAAAAGTGCTGTATAAATGTAAATTTGTATTTATGAAGATTTACATAGATTGTACGGCACATAAACAGGCCATTCCCTTTCCTTACTATATATATATCTAGCTTCCTCTTAAATAGTATCTATACTATCTGAATGTATCTATTATTGTTTTTACGTGTTGTGATTGACCCCCCAAAACATTTTTGCTTTCCAAGTGAACGCAACCATTCAAAATGAGTCAATGGTATAACTCACTGGTGCCCAATATCATAGATGAAAACATGCTCAACCTAGCAGTGGTGGAGCAGGGTCCAACTGGAAAAGCAGGAGAAATAGCCAAAGAGGAGGGGATTGACTTTAAAGATGTAAAACACCTTCAGCTGGATTTCAGAAGTAAGATTTATGACTAGTTTGGTAACCTTTTAACATTTCAAATGTCACCTTGTTTCTGATACATATAGATTTTGTGAAGTAAATTAATAATAATGCTTGCATTTGGTAGCACCTTATCACGTCTTCAAGATGTCTCAAAGCACTTCCCAGAATATATTGTAAAGTGAATTGACTGTATATTTTGTGGTCGAAACGCAGCAGCCAATTTATTAATTTTTTTTTAATGGTAAAATTGCTCTGCCAATCGACTAACAATTGGGTGCCTATTTACTGTTGGGTGAACAGAGGCGTGTGGTGTAAGTAAACTTGCCTAACTTTTCACCCTGCCCTCTCGCTTGCGAGGCGAGTGCTCTAACAACAACAACAACAAATTACATTTGTATATTTCTAACCACTAAGCTACAGGACTCCATTGAGCATTTCAATCATCTCTGTACTGATTTTGTTGCAGAAAAATTGGCATTGAAATATTAATGTAGAAGCTCCAATATTGTGTATGCTTTTAGATATCCTGAAGATTGATAACCTATGGCAGTTTAAAACCCTAACGAAACTCCAGATGGACAATAATATCATTGAAAAAATTGAGGGACTGGAGACACTTATCAATCTGGTGTGGCTGGGTGAGTACTGAAGTATTGGAATGATAGAATGTTAGCAGTACAGAAGGAAATCCAACTGGAGCTGTTTATTTTCTTACGTTCCAATCTTAATTTTCCCTGCTCTTTCCAGAATACATATGTTTTGTCTTTAACATATATTCTCTCTCTGACACACTCACCATCCCCAGCACCATGTGTGGGTCGGTGACTTAATAAGCTATTAAGCTTATTAATTTATTTATTAGTTTAATGGTGCGTGAGAGCCTTTCTGGATTCTTCTATTCCTCTCCTTCCTGTTGGATACTCCTTTGACAATAAATTGGCAATAAACAAAAGGGAATATATGAAGAAGGGCAGGGAGTGCAATAGGAAACTGGGAGAAGGATAATGTGTGTGGTTTAGAGTGATGGATTTATGAGTGTTGGATTGACAAATAAAGAAGCTTATTAACACACCCTTGATTTGGATCAAGTTATTTACACTTCCCATCAGAAAGCACAGGGCTTTTTTAATGGGCTTCCAAAGGTGCTGCATGAGATTGTGAACTCACTGAGTGGGGAATAGAAATAAATCTAAAACTACTAAAACCGGTTAGAGCTTCATAGATGATTGAGAGGGTTCCTATTAGAGGGGTTTAAAATTATGAAAGGATTCGGTAAGGTGGACATTAAGAAGGTATAATCCACTTCTTGGTGAGTCCACAACAAGGGGGCAGCAATATAAATAATAAACCTTGCATTCAATATACAGTGGAATCCGGTTAAACCAAACCCGTTGGGTATGGCAGTTTTGTCCAGTCTAAGGAATGTCCGAGATTAGCTGAAATACCAATCCGGCCTGCATTCCTCCAAACGTGAATGATGCCAACCTGCCATAAACCTGTCACATGTTTTGATTTTGTGTTTTAGATTTATCCTTCAATAATATTGAAATTATTGAAGGACTAGATGGATTGATTAATCTGGAAGATCTAACTTTGTACAACAACAGAATTTCTCATATTGAAAACATGGATTCGTTAGCAAATCTGCAAATATTCTCTATTGGCAATAATCATCTCAATCAGCTGGAAAATGTAAGTTTTTCAATTCAATGCCTTCATTCTTCTTCCTCTTCCAGTCTCTCTAGATACATTCTTCTCATTTGTAGCGGTTGTTTATGTATGGCATAGGTCATAACACCATTCTACTTTTGGCACAAATTACATAGATACTCTACTTGCGAAGGTTTCAACACCTACGCACATTAAACCTGGATGGGAATTCATTGTGCGAAGATGAACGCTATAAAATCTACATTGCTGCTTACCTCCCAAACCTGGTGTACCTGGACTTCAGGTTGATCGATAAAAACATTGTAAGTTTCAAAGTGGTGGTCCAGATGTAAAAACATTATTGTTAAAAGACATTGCCGCATACAGCAGAAGATTTGTATGTTTTGGAACTCTGGAGCACTCTCCTTCATTCACTCCACCTTGCCACCTCATTCCCCATGTTCAGGTCGCGCCTGAAGATCTTCCTCTTTGAACGTACTTACCGTTCCCGCCCTCTGGCTCGGCGTTGTGCTCCACCATTGATAAGCACTCTGAAACGCTATCCTGAGTGAGGGGCGCTATATAAATGCAAATTGTTGTTTGTTCTTGCTTGGAAAGTTTGCAATGATTCAATGCGCTTTTGATTTTGCCTCTGGCAAATCCAGGGAGTACCACCTTCTTCTCAGGGATGGGCAATAAACCCTGGGCCAGCCAGCCAGCATTCCCCAGAGCACAAGATGAGAAAAAAAAGAATAAAAATAATGCTTTTATTCAGATTGGTGCATTGGCACAGTGAGTCTGAGAGACATTGCGCTGTGTGGTAGAGTAGTGGATGGGCATTGTGTGGTGAGGATCCTCGACTCACGGGGTTCTATGAATCAAGTAAGAACCCATACAAAGGCTAGACGCAAAAGATAGGGATAGAGGGGAGACTACAAACAGCACTACATTACATTATTATGCAAAGGGTAGAGGAAATCTGGAATTCTCTCCTCCAAAAGACTGTGGATGCTAGATCCTTCCAAATTTTCAAGTTTGAAGTGGATAGATATTTGTTAGGTCAGGGTATCAAGGGATATGGGGCAAAGGCTGGTATTTGGTTTTCAGGTAATATAATAATAATACAGATCAACCATGATTTAATAAAATGGCAGAACAGGCTCGAGGCCTGAATGGTCTCCTCCTGTTCCTACGATCCTGCATATATATATATTACCAGTCTTGGCAGAGCGCTAAAAGCAAACTGTATGAGCACTCTGTACCAAGCATGGTTCAGAGACTGTCAGGAAAACGGAAAGGAAGAAAATGTTTTCCTTTTAAATGACTGAAGAATGCTTTTCTGTTAAAGAGGGAAATAGGTTTACGTACGTATCACTACCCTATTGAAGAATTGATCCACAACGAGAAAACAGAGTTTATGAAGCTTGAAGCAACGAGGCTTAAGGATGAAGAGTTAGCTTTACACAAGGTACAACAACTTAACTGATTTCTTATTTCATAAATTAAATAATGCAATATTCAATCAAATATTCACTACATGTACATGTTCGTAAGTGGCCAGTCCATTGTAAAGGTTCTTTTTTAAAAAAAAACAAGTGTAGTGATCTCCTGTGGAGTTCTGTATCTCAGTGGTTAGAGCACTCGCCTCCCAAGTGAGAGGATGTGAGCTTGATTCCCGGGCAGGGTGAAACGTTAGGCAAGCTTCCTTACTCCACACATATGCTTCTGTTTACCTAAAAAGTAAGTAGAAATCTGGTTATTAGTCAATTGGCAGGTCGCTTTTCCAGGGGTTCAAAAAAAATAATAATTTGATCACTTTAATCCAAGACTGTTTGTGGGACACTGCTGTGAGTAATTAGCTGCCGCGTTTCGCCCACAAAATATATTATCAATTCACTTTACAGGTTATTCTGTGAAGCGCTTTGAGACGTCTCGAAAACATGATAATGCGCTGTATCAAATGCAAGGATTATTATTATCATTATTACAGCTGAGATCAGCTGACACAGTAGACAGCATTGATCAGATACACTGAACCATCAGTGGTGATTTCTTTTACTAACATCTGGGTTTCCCTAAGGCTGCCTACGTGGAGTACCTCAATGGATCCAATCTCTTCGACAGCATGTTTGCAGAAGACGTTGAAGCAGAAAAGCTTGGACATCTCCCTGGATTGGCCGAATTTGTAGAGACATATCCTTTTATAAACAAATATATGTTAGATATGCTTTGAATGTGTTGCAATTCTGCTAATTAAGCAACTCACTAGACTGGAAAGAATGGGACAGATACTACTTCCTCTAAAGTCTACCTTTCTACCACAGATCCGTTCTCTAACCAGGACCGATTTTTTCCACCTCCGTCACATTGCCCATCTCCGTCCATACCTCACAACCAATGTAGCTGAAATCCTCGTCCACGCCTTTGTCACTTCCCGGCTGACCTATTCCAATGCCCTCCTCGCTGGTCTCCTCAGCTCCACTATACTCAAAATCTAATTAAATCAAAACTCGCCGCCCGGATTCTCACCCACACAAAACACCGTACCCCCATCACACCAGTCCTTGCTAGGCTCTCATGGGCTCCCAATCACCGAATGGATCGATTTCAAGATCTTCTCACTCGTTTTCAAATCCCTTCATGTCCTCGCACCTCCCTACCTCTCTGACCTACTTAACCCCCACTCCACCACCCGGTGTCTCCACTTGTCCGCCTCCAGCCTCCTGTTTGTTCCCGGTGACCGTACCTTCAGCAAAACTCTAGAACTCTCTCCCTCAATCTCTTTGCCTGGCCCCTTCCCTCCACATGTTCAAATCCCATCTAAATACCTTCCTTTTTAATTGTGTTTTCCCCATTCCCTGTAGTTTATTCCTTTTTAGATCTATCTAAATTTCCCTTTTGAAAGCTAATAATGAAGGGGCTGACAAGTTGCATTGAGAAAACATTAACCTAAATGTCATGAGGAAAATACATCATCTTGAACCAGCTGTCCTTGACCACATCGCCACATACAAGGCTGAATTTACTGAGATTTGCATAAAGATCTTTCATTACGGGCTCCGCGGGTATGAAACCCGGGAAAAAGAGGTCAAACAGTTCCTTGAATGTCTTCAAGAAGCCATCGAGGACAACCAGAACATTGGAGTGGAAATTATAAAGGACTTTGAGGAAAAGAGCAAAGAGGTAGGAAGCAGACATGTTTAAAAAAGTCATTGAATAAAAAATGTTTGTTCTCAAGTGTTTGCTGGATGTCATTTAGACACCTTTGGTTTATGTCTTCTCGTGAAATTCCATTGACAGTCACTAGGAGCAGGGAGTCATCCCACTTGGCTCCTGTTAATCCTGCAAGCCAAAGCCCTAACGGGTAGGGTGGTCCTAGCTGGACAAGCAGCGGGAAAGCTTGCCAGTCAGCAATATCAATGGCAAGCTATGTGGTTTTAGCTGGTTAGACTCCCATCAATTATCCCAACGCACATTCTGGGGTCCCCAAGCCTTGGCTGTTGCCAACCTGCGCCTAATACTTCCCGGAATTAGATAGGCAGGATGCGTCCCTCCAGGGAGAGAGAGAGCACATTCCATTCCAACAATCTATCTCTGGGATTTCCATGTGTAGGTGGGATGCCTGGAATTCTCAGCGTGGTTTGGATACTCTTAAGCAACGGTGATAAGTTTCCCCATATGTCAGACACACAGCTGGTTCCCAAAACACTTGCAGTCAGGTTCACGGATTTCCTGAATGATGATATCTCTAGTACATACTCACAACAAATGTTTTTAATCAAGTAAAGTATAAAGTAAAGTTTAATCAAGTAAAGTATATAAAGTATAGAGAATGTTACTGATCTGGGACGCACCCAAAAGTTCAAATGTCCACTGGAACGCCAATGTGATCTGGAGTTTCTTCAGGTTACGATGAAGAAATTATTTGTTACTCAGAATTCTTATGTCCTTGTACAAAAGGACACCTGGTATGCTCTGAAGCAGAGTGCATCCACATACAGAGATATTTGCTGACCACTATTTTCCTCATGCAGTTTATAAGTGAACAACAGCATATTGTTGAAGCCAGTCTTCTCGAAATTCATGTCGACAATTTTAGGATAGCCCTAAAAAAGCTGTGGAACACACTCATGAACTTGGAAATGCAACTGGTTGACCAGCTAGAGGTAAGACGCATCGAGATGACAGTATTTGTCTGGAAGGATTTGCCATAGGTTTAATGGTGGAGCAAGCTCAAGGGGCTGAATGGCCTCCTTCTCTTCCTAAATTCCTTCAATAGCAGATAGATCCTGGATCTTGGCAACTAAATCTCCCATTAATACAAACTTTTTAAAGCCATAGCGACTTGTCTGCTTCCTCCGCTCAGGGGCTCCGGCCTGCTCCACATCCCCTGCCCAGCCTGTCCATCATCGCCAATCAGGCCTTCATCTTCTCTGTCCCCACCCTTTGGAATGCCATCCCACAGTCCCTTCGCCTTGCTCCCTCCCTTGTCTCCTTCAAGGCGCGTCTCAAAACCCTCCTCTTTGCCCGCGCCTTCGCTCACGCTCCTAACCCTACGCTCCCTGCCCTCCACTACTCCTGATCCCAATGCTCCTGACTGTCCAGCGCCTTGAGATGTCCTCCCAACGTGAAAGGCACTATACAAAGGTAATTTGTTGTTGTTTTCCTGGTGTCATTCATAGAATAGAGTTCTAGTTAGTGCAGAGTTCATTCTTTCCTGAAGGATGAATTCAATTGAATTCTATAATTCTGCACAATATCTTTTCACTCTTAATGTGCACCAGCCACTAATAAGATGTTTTTTTTTGTGCCAATTAAAAAAAACACATGGTTTTGCTGAGACGAGTGTGGATGGGATGAACTTGCTGGATTCCTGAAAATTAACATGGGACTCGCCATTCATTGCTAATGTCATTTTGTGTGCATTTTTTTTATTTAGTAGAGGTAAAAGCTGTCCAAATCTATACTAATAAAGATGAAATGTCTGTCTGTCTGTGTGTCCGCCAAGAATGCAATAACCGATTGACATAGAGACATGATTTATACCTCATTGGAAAGGTCTTGCATGGAGGAGTGTCATGGGCATATATTTTTCGGGGATCTCCTATCGTTGATCAGCTATATTTACAAAAATGCTTTAATTGAGCCCCCAAATATATGCATGGAATCTGCAACAAAGTAGCAACAGAGAGATACCCTTTGAGAGATACATCTATACCAATATATTCTGCAACAAAGTCGCGACAGAGAAGAGCTATGACCTACAAGCTCATCATACATGTATGCACTCCAACAAGCAGTCCTCCCAATAAGAAGTCCTCCCGAAAGGAGTCCTCCCACAGGAGTCCTCCCAGCTGAGTACAGACAAAGACAAACTGTTTTGTCTGTGTGTCAATCTACATTCCATATTGGATCCTTTGGTTGCAAGCTAAGCTGCAACGGGTACAGCTAGTGTAATATAAATATAATTTGTTGAGAGAGGCAATGAATACAGATAATATTTGTATTTCAGCAGCTGTTGGTACTATTATTACTATGACACTTTTTCTGTTTTATTCTGCAGGAAACAATTAAAGATTTTGAACGAAATATTTCAGAAATGGTTTCAACTTACATTGAAAATGTGCAGGCTCTATATCCTTTGTGATAAATGATTCTAGTGGATGAGACTAATCTTACAAATATCTATCTTCTTTCATATATATATACATTAATAAAACGACAATGTCAGTCTGTACTTCAAGAAGGCTCTCAATAACCGATTGACATAGAGACATGATTTATACCTCATCAGAAAGGTCAGCCTGGGAGTGATATGGGCATATTTGTTTTCAGGTATCTCCTATGGTTCATGAGTTATTTTCAGTTTTGCGTTTTTCACTGTAGGTACACCTGGTAGCCGCCGAGTCAAGGTGGCCCTGTAGCATTGTACGTTGTGCTCCTTAGCCAACCTTCTGCCTCCCTCCCCTCCAACTGTGCGTGCTGCTTATACTTCTCAGGAAGCTGAAATTGTGGGTGCAAGCTTGACTCCTGTTGCTGGTGGCATAGGAGTACCAATGTAAGGACTGTAGAGAAAGGAAAGAGTTAACACAGAAGAGTCATTCTGTGTGAAATACTGGATGCAGCTGTGCCATTGAGGCGACATTATTGTTGATTAATAAAGGAGAAAAATTTGATTGAAACCATTACTGGCCAAATAATTGTCTAGCAAGGAATCCGATACCACTCAGCTTGCCACAAAACGAATGGCAGTGCACTTAAGTTACCAATTCCTTAATCAGATCACAATAGCTCAGTGCCGAGATCTGGAGAATCATTATCACGAGAACGTTTTGGAAATCGCCGTGAGCACATATGAAAAAATGGTCAAGAACGAAGTGGAGGAGGAAATGCCGGATGAATTAAGAACAGTAAGACAGAGAGAGAAGCCATCTTAACCACTAGCTTCACATTTGCAGTTGTAGATTTCTTGTTGCCCTAATTCGGTCCCTGTAACAAGTGGCATTCTTAGAAAATAATAATAATAGTAATTCTTGCATTTGATATAGTGCCTTATCACGTCTTTGAGATGTCTCAAAGCGCTTCACAGGATATACTGTAAAGTGGAGTGACTGTATTTTATGGGCGAAACATGGCAGTCAGTTGCGCACAGCAGTGTCCCACAAACAGTGGTGGATTGAGTGACCAAACTACTGTTATTTTTTTAGTGAGGTTTAGAGTATTTTTTTTCCTTCATTCTTTTCCCCCTGTTTAAAAGTCCACATTCTATGCACTATTCCTTTACTGCTATTGTTGTGGTGGGGGTGGGCGAGGGATCATATGATTAAATAGATTTCCATCATTGCAGTACAACAAATGATGACCAAGAACATTTTATTACTAGAGATAACACTGCAAGGAACAGTCTTAACTGATTAAGCTCCACCAACTTATACAATGTGTTTTGCTTTCCTCTTATCCAGCTTTTTGTGATAAGGACACAATTGTCAATGCAGTGAATGCGTCACATGACATGCATCTGCTTAAGATTGATAATCGAGAAGATGAATTGGTTACAAGGTCGAATGGCTGGACCACTGCTATGATGGATAAGGTAAGCACCAGACAACAACTTGCATTTATATAGAGCCCCTTATGCAGGGTAGCATCCCAGAGAGCTTAACATTGGCAGAGCATGACACCGAGCTGGGGGAAGGGGGGAGGTGACCGTAGGTGCGGTTGAAGAGTAAAGCCTTCAGGTGAAATCTGAAGATAGAAGAGGCAAGGCAGAAGGACAGAGGAAGAGTGTTCTCAGGGTTTCAGGGCACAGTAGCTGTAAGCGCAGCCACCGATGGTGGAAAGCACAAGGGACGTGCAGGAGGCTGGAGCCAGTCGAGCGGAGACAGCGGGTAGTGGGGAGTAAGCAAGTCGGAGAAGTAGGGAGGTGCCAGGGCATCAAGGGATTCGAAAACAAGTGTGAGTATCTTGAAATCGATCCATTTGGCGAGAGTTTTGGATCAGCTGAATTTTGTAAATGGTGGAGGCGGGGCGACCAGCGAGGAGGGCATTTGAAAAGTCAAATGTGTAGAGGATTTACTGTACTGAAAGAGTAGGCACAGAATTTAAAGTTGAGGGGCTCTTGGTTCTTGTAGCTCAGTTTTTGAAGACTAGAAGATTCTGGGTTTGAATCTCACTGGGTCCATTCAGCCTTCACTCATTTGAGGTAGATAAAATGAGTAACGTCCATAAATATTCTCTTTTTAAATGGGGCCTCCCTTGGATTAAATAGGCTAAAAGACAACATGAGCAAGTCTGCGGTAATCTGGGGCTTTAGTGTTTGTGATATCAGCAGTCAGCATTTTTAGTGAACAAAGTGCCTGATTTGCTCACTGCTCCCTCCACTCTGTATTCAAACCCTCCCCGGTTAGGTTTATCACCTGGCCCACAGCACAGAGACAGTGGTCGTCAAAATAACAAATGACATCCTCTCCTGTCTGTGACCAGGGCTCCCTCTGCCTCTTCGTTCTCCTGGAACTCTCTGCCCCGTCAACTTGCTATATAAATGCAAACTGTGTTGTTGAGAATTGAGCTCTTTCACTAAGGTGTGGCTTAATCAAGTACCGGTTTGATGGGAAATGTGGTTTATGATGCAAGAGATTATTGGGGCACAAGATGATGCCAAGTTATAAAACGTTCTGGGATATACTTGACAGGACTGAGATTTATGTCGAGATGACTCATTAATTAAGTTCCAAGAGAAGTCAGGTAGAAAATACCTTGTAAAATCAGCTATTAAGAAAAAAGAAAAGAACATTCAGGCCAAGTTGTTCCAAAACCAATTTCAAGATATCCTCCTTCCCATCACCACCCCCAACTGATCTATTCACCACTTTGCCGCGTCTATTCCATTTCACTTCTGCAGGTAAAATGCTCTGGGACACTACCCAAGGGCGCTATATAAATGCAAGTTGTTGTTGTAAAGCTCAAGTACTTTGTGCCTATCAGGGTGATAAGGGAAGGTGATGTCTTAAAAATTAGGTACACACGATACATATTGTGCACTTCGGACATAATTTTTTAAATTGGAAAGAATTAACCTATTTGTTTATACTCTTGCAGCTGCACATGGAAGAAATAAACCGAAACCGTAAACGAGTTTTGGAAATTAACCATTACATCGACCACTGGTACAGTGAATTGGAGTTCTTGTATATGCAGGAAGCAGTGTAATTTGATCGTGGAGCAGAGGCCTTTGTAAAGTTATCCTTCCAGAAGTTTTGTTGTAAGAATTTTTATAAAAATTCAAAAGTTCTGATAAAAGCATTTGAATTTGGAATATCATAGAACAGTATTCATAGAATATTATTTTACCACTGCATGAGCTCCTATCAAATGCAAGATTATTATTATTATTAACATAAGCCTATGTCAACTGAGCAACCCCTGACATATTCACTCTATCAGAGGCGATTTAGCAACCATTTAGCATGGCCTTATTAGTTCAATAGACAAACAGAAAGAATGTTAATGTTAACCAGAATGTTTAATAAATATCAAGAAAGGCAATTTGATCAAAAGCCCAACAAAGACAACGTGCATTGATATCAAAGCGCCCTTCACATAGGGTAGTTTAACGTCTCACTGGAGGACAGCACTTACAACAAGGCCAACACACCCCCCCCCACCACCACCAGCATTGCATTGGAATGTCAGCTTAGAATATATGATTCCAAGTTCTGACCTGCGGCTTGAACCCACAACCTTCTGACTCGAAGGCGAGTGCTACCGCTGAGCCAAGCTGACACACAAGAGGGGGCGATAACCAGACTGCAAAGCAAACGATTTCCAGCCTGGCTGCCAGGACCTTGGTATGTCGGTGTTGAGAAGGAGCAGGGCTACTTACCCTTTTCATAAATTAGCTTAAAGATACAACAAGCAACTCAAAAGTTGCAGAACCTTTCCAAAACGTAACTTTTTAAATGTTGAAAAAAATGGAGTCCCCGAGTTAAGAGGTTCAACAGGCAAAGCAAATTTTAATTTAGAAAACTGTATAATGAATCCTAACTATATATATTATATATATACACACACACAGAATTACACTGCAAGCGCACAGTCCATCGTCAGTGCTGCAGGAACTTCTGTTTGACCGTGGAGCTTTCAGAACACAAATGAACGAACAATGTTCCTGCTGAGGCTCGGGCACAAAGTTCATGCAGGTCGTAATCGTGCGCCCATTCAACACTGCCCCAACGCTCAATCTGGAGAGAGAGGAACAATCGGTCTCTGTAACCTGCTTTCAAATCAACTTGAAGAAAGACGAAACATTCTAAACATTCTCCGTGTTTGCATACCTATTAACACCCAGAGATTATAAGATGAGAAATGCTGATGAAAGCTCAGTGTGAAAGCTGTTTGAAGCTTATATATCAGACACAGGATCTCACAAAGGGTAGCGTCCCAGAGCGCTTGACAGCGACGAAGCATGAGACCAGGGGGTGGAGGGTTGACCCCCAGTTGAAGAGGACAGTCTTCAGGTTCGACCTGAACGAGGGGCAAGGTGGAGGGATTGAGGTGGTGTTCCAGAGATTCGGGGTGTAGTGGCTGAAAGCGCAACCACCAATGGTGGAACGGAGAGGCACGAGCGACAAGCAGGAGGCTGATATTGTGTACCTGATATTGTTCCTCCAGTCGAGAAAGTAGTACAGCCTTCTCTACATTCAAGTTTCTGTCAATCAGGTTTAATGAAAGAACAACCGACTTCAGTTGATGGATAACATATTCCAGACCTACAACAAAATTAAAGACAGGTAATCCTCAAAGGGTTACAAGGGGAGAGAATGTTCTGGAATGTTCCAGTCTGATCAATCGTGGATTTTAGAAGGATATTTGAGCACTTGGGACTTCCGCTCCTTGGGACATTTTCCCGATGTGCAAGGCATAATAATAATCCTTGCATTTGATACAGCACCTTATCAGGTCTTTGAGACGTCTCAAAGCACTTCACAGAATAAACTGTAGTGAATTCACTATATACTTTGTGGGTGAAATGCGGCAGCACTCGGAAGTGTCCCACAAACAGATGTGGATTCAATGACCAAATTATCATCATTTTTTTCTTTTGAAGGGATTCATACCTACGGAAAAGTAATTTGTTGTTGTTGTTTTGAGAGAGAGAAAGCTTTCTTTTCTACTTTAATCAAAACCATTCTGTGATGGATGGGACTAAAGTGTTTGTATACCTATTAACGCCCAGAGATTGTAAGATGAGAGATGTTGATGAAAGGTGTGTTTGGTCTCCTCAGTGATGTTTGGACCCAGGATATCTGTGGAGGTGCCGATCACAACATCATATCNTTTTTTAAAAAAGCACAATTAATACATAATTATTAATTAATTGTAACAGTATTAATACAATGCAATTTGTATATAAGGGGGAAATAATGTGGTAATAATAACTCAGGTCCTTCTATTTGAAGGCATGCACAAGAGATTTGTTCCCAGCCCTTCACTCAGCAAATGGTATATGACCTACACCCTGTACACATTTAATTACCCACTTAAGGGAAGTCAATCACAGCAAAATTATATTCCATATAATGGCTGATCAACCCCAATCGATATTTCTTATAACGTTCTATCCTGTTCTTACCATTCTATCTTAGGGATAATGACTGCCGTGTTTCGCCCACAAAATATACAGTTAATTCACTTTACAGTATACGCTTAAGCAAGGTGATGGGTTTCCACATATGCCAGACACCCAGCTGACCAAAAAAAAAAATTCCAGCTCATTTGAAAGGGAGTTGAGTGACACAGTCTGAACGACTTTTGATAAGATTGTGTCACATCAGTGTATGAGTAGCAATCAATATTGATACTAGTACACACAGGGATGAAATGATAATAATCCTTGCATTTGATATAGCGCCTTATCACTTATCAGAGACGTTTATACTGTAAAGTGTATTGAGTGTATATTTTGTGGGCAAGACGTGGCAGCCAATTACGCACAGCAGCGTCCCACTAACAGTCATTTTCAAATTATTTTTTTAAGTGATTATTACCCTCAGATAAGCGATCTGCCAATCGACTAACAACCGGGTTCCGACTTACTGCTAGGTATACAGAGGTTTGTGGAGTAAGTAAACTTGCCCAACATTTCGTCCTGCTCGGGAATCGAACCCAGGTCCTCTCGCTTGCAAACCGAGCGCTCTAATCACTGAGCTGCAGGACTAAATGACTGAATGTAAATGTTAGCAGATCCAGTCACTGGAGCAATATCTGTTGAGATATTCCTGTGTTGAATTACATTGCAAAATAATTTCTTCAAACTCAATCAGAAGGGTAACTTTCGGCGAGGCACCATTGCAAGCAGACTCACCTTTAAAGGACATAATTCTCTACTATCCCTACCACTCACCTGTTTTCTATCCACTCAATGACTGGATCCCATTCGTTTTTCTGTAGCTCCACCAAACCAGGAGGTTCTTCTATTCTGTAACTGTACATTTGAAAATCAAAATTGTTGTCCTTTAAGAAGTAACTGCACCACTCTCTAATCAGACACATTTTCCTCAATTCCTTTTATCAATTGATGAGCATATGTGGGTTACATATCCTTGACCTGTTAGCCCACAATTCCACCCAACCTGAAAGATCGTTTGTTTTGTCTTGAACTTTTAAGACTCCACAAAAGTTGGGCAATACTGACATTCAATATTGGGCATCAGTTGTTTCAAAAGAAAAACTGCAACCAAATTAAAGACGAATTTAAGAATTTTCAATAATTCATGATAGTAAGATTTATGACGTTCATCTTAGACTTAAGACTGCCTTACAATTTAAAACTTTCGGCTAAGACAATGAGAACACATCTAAAAATGTTTATCTAATTTGCGTAGAACCTCACTGTTAATCACATACACACACACACAAGCACCTGCAGTCACATACCATACTGTGTCTGTGTCCAAGAATTTCAGAGCTGATCTTATCAACTGCTCTCTTGTCTTCTGGGTAGGGTTATCCAAAGCTGTGTTGCATAAAGTTGTCTAGTGAAAAGGAATGTTCATCAGTTTAGAGTTCCACCTTCCTGGCGGTCGCTTGCTCATATGTCCCGAACTACCAATGTACTATCTCCCATCATGTTATTTCCTAAAACTATTTAAGTTTTTTGACATGTTTGAAGGAATCAACATTTTCTGCTTCAAGCATCTCTCTAGGGAGCCTGTTCCACGATGCAGCTAAGCAGATGTTTTCATCTTTGAGGTGAAGAAGTCTAGGACCTCTTCGCACTTGGCTTTTGACGTGAGGATAGAGGGGCTTGAGGGGGTGCATGGAGGAGGTGATGGGACAGTGGAAAACAGCGTCTTTGAATTGTTGTTTGCCTCCAGGATGACTTTGGAATAAAAGTCAGTTTGGGACTGCGAAAGGGAGAGGTGGTGGCTATGGAGGTGCTCGAGCCACAGCTGGTGGTGAATCATGAGGCCGGATTTCTGCCATCTGCACTCGAGCGTCCCGGTTTGTGTTTTGAGTGAGCGGAGATGACTGCTGTACCAGGGGGGCGCAGGTTGGTTTGGAAACATCCCTGAATTTCAGCGGAGCCAGGGAATTGAAGGTTGTGGAGAGACGGTCATTCAGCAGCTTGACGGTTGCATCAGGATTACTGAGTGTGGACAACCAGAGAGAGAGGAGGTCCAAGGAGGAGAGGGCATTTTTGAGGGGCTCGGGGACGCTTTTTCCAGGGGCAGAAAATAATGCTGGATGGCTTGGAAGAGGCATCTCAAAGCACTTCACAGAATGTAATGTAAAGTAAATTGACTGTATATTTTGTGGGTAAAACGTGGCAGCCAATTGCGCACAGCAGTGTCCCACAAACAGTCGTGGATTGAGTGACCCTGAAACCAGAATGGTGAGGTGCTGAGGGCTGGATGCCCTATTTGAGAAACATCTGCAGGCAACATCAGGAATATTTTTGTGTTTTGGTGGGGGGATCTGGATGAAATCGGCCCAAGAGCCGCCAGTTGGACCACCCTGCACTACCCCATTGAAGAATAGTTAATGAGTGGACGTTCTTTGTCCGGTCTTTACCAGGTGCATTGCAAAAAACTGTAAAGTGTTTCTCTGGGAATCCCACTCAGTGGCAACAGCCACTGCCAGCGCCTCACTCGGGATGGTGAATAACTTCCCCTGCGGCGTCTTCAGTTTACGGTGGTCAAGATTTATCTCAAACAATCCTCCTGCAACAACAAGAGGTTCCAGTAAGGACAGCAGAGGCAAACTTCAAGCAGAGATCACTGACTGAACAGCAACAGGGAATAATATTAATAATAATCCTTGGATTTGATAGGGCGCATCATTACGCCTTCGAGACGTCTCACTGCGCTTCACAGCATACGCTGTAAATTGGATTGTCTGGATATTTTGTGGGCGAAACGCGGCAGCCAGTTGCGCACGGCAGCATCCCGCAAATATGTCTTGGAAGGGCGCTGTGTAAAGGCAAGTTGTCACTGTGGTGGTCAATTGTTGCTACCCAACCACTGGATTATGTATTTCCTTTTACATATAACCCCCTCCCCCACCCCCATCACGCTGGTGGTGGGGAACGGAGGGAGGTTATATATAAAATAAATATATAATCCAACATGTTATGGTAAGGAACGTGAACTCCTACCTTCCCCTTGAGAGATGGAAACGTTCTTATAAAATTTCTTCCGATCTGCAAAAAAAAAAGGGACGAGATAAACAGCTCAGATCAATTTCATTTGATTCACACGAGAAATTAAGTCAATATTTTGAGAGCGCATCGTCATTGGTGTAACTGTGCTGTGGGGTATTATGCTGGTGTGTGTGTGGGGGGAAGGGTGAGGGGGCTTGTGTTTGTGTGTGGGGGGGTGTGAGGGGGCTTGTGTTTGTGTGGGGGGGGGTGAAGGGGCTTGTGTTTGTGTGTGGAGGGAGGTTGAGGGGCTTGTGTTTGTGTGTGGGGGGGTGAGGGGGCTTGTGTTTGTGTGTGTGGTGGGGGGGTGAGGAGGCTTGTGTGTGTGGGGGGCGGGTGAAGGGGCTTCTGTGTGTGTGGGGAGGGCGGGTGAAGGGGCTTGTGTTTGTGTGTGTGGTGGGGGGTGAGGAGGCTTGTGTGTGTGGGGGGGGCGGGTGAGGGGCTTGTGTTTGTGTGTGTGGGGGGGTGAGGGGGATTGTGTTTGTGTGTGGGGGGTGAGGGGGATTGTGTTTGTGTGTGGGGGGGTGAGGGGCTTGTGTTTGTGTGTGTGGTGGGGGGTGAGGAGGCTTGTGTGTGTGGGGGGGGCGGGTGAAGGGGCTTCTGTGTGTGTGGGGAGGGCGGGTGAAGGGGCTTGTGTGTGTGTGGGGAGGGAGGTTGAGAGGGCTTGTGTTTGTGTGTGGGGGGGTGAGGGGGCTTGTGTTTGTGTGTGGGGGGGGGAGGGGGCTTGTGTTTGTGTGGGGAGGGAGGTTGAGAGGGCTTGTGTTTGTGTGTGGGGGGGGGAGGGGGCTTGTGTTTGTGTGTGGGGGGGAGGGGGCTTGTGTTTGTGTGTGGGGGGGAGGGGGCTTGTGTTTGTGTGTGGGGGGGGAGGGGGCTTGTGTTGTGTGTGGGGGGGGGGGCTTGTGTTTGTGTGTGTGGGGGGGGTGAGGGGACTTGTGTTTGTGTGTGTGTGTGGGCTTGTGTTTGTGTGTGTGTGGGGGGTGAGGGGGCTTGTGTTTGTGTGTGTGGGGGGGTGAGGGGGCTTGTGTTTGTGTGTGTGGGGGGGGTGAGGGGGATTGTGTTTGTGTGTGGGGGGGTGAGGGGGATTGTGTGTGTGGGGGGGGTGAGGGGGCTTGTGTTTGTGTGTGTGTGGGGGGGTGAGGGGGCTTGTGTTTGTGTTGGGGGGGTGAGGGGGCTTGTGTTTGTGTGTGTGGGGGGGGTGAGGGGGATTGTGTTTGTGTGTGGGGGGGGTGAGGGGGATTGTGTGTGTGGGGGGGGGTGAGGGGGCTTGTGTTTGTGTGTGTGTGTGGGGGGGTGAGGGGGCTTGTGTTTGTGTTGGGGGGGTGAGGGGGCTTGTGTTTGTGTGTGTGGGGGGGTGAGGGGGATGTGTGTGTGTGGGGGGGTGAGGGGGATTGTGTGTGTGTGTGGGGGGTGAGGGGGAGTGTGGTGTGTGGGGGGGGTGAGGGGGAGTGTGTGTGTGTGGGGGGGGTGGGGGGGAGAGTGTGTGTGTGGGTGGGGGGGGAGTGTGTGTGTGTGGGGGGGGGTGAGAGGGATTGTGTGTGTGGGTGGGGGGGGGTGAGGGGGAGTGTGTGTGTGGGGGGGGGGGTGAGGGGGAGTGTGTGTGTGTGTGGGGGGGGTGAGGGGAGTGTGTGTGTGTGTGGGTGAGGGGTGTGTGTGTGTGTGGGGGGGGGTGAGGGGGAGTGTGTGTGTGTGGGGGGGGGGTGAGGGGAGTGTGTGTGTGTGTGGGGGGGGGGGTGAGGGGGAGTGTGTGTGTGGGGGGGGGGTGAGGGGAGTGTGTGTGTGTGGGGGGGTGAGGGGGAGTGTGTGTGTGTGGGGGGGGTGAGGGGAGTGTGTGTGTGTGTGTGGGGGGGTGAGGGGGAGTGTGTGTGTGTGTGGGGGGTGAGGGGAGTGTGTGTGTGTGTGTGGGGGGGGGGTGAGGGGAGTGTGTGTGTGTGGGGGGGTGGGGGGAGTGTATGTGTGTGTGGGGGGGGGGTGAGGGGGAGTGTGTGTGTGTGGGGGGGGTGGGGGGAGTGTGTGTGTGTGTGTGGGGGGGGGTGAGGGGGTGTGTGTGTGTGTGGGGGGGGGTGAGGGGGAGTGTGTGTGTGGGGGGGGGGGGGGGTGTGTGGGGGGGGGGTGAGGGGGAGTGTGTGTGTGGGGGGGTGAGGGGAGTGTGTGTGTGTGTGTGGGGGGGTGAGGGGGTGTGTGTGTGTTGGGGGGGGTGAGGGGGAGTGTGTGTGTGTGTGGGGGGGTGAGGGGAGTGTGTGTGTGTGGGGGGGGGTGAGGGGGTGTGTGTGTGTGTGGGGGGGGTGAGGGGGAGTGTGTGTGTGTGTGGGGGGGGTGAGGGGAGTGTGTGTGTGTGTAGGGGGGTGAGGGGGAGTGTGTGTGTGGGGGGGGGTGAGGGGGAGTGTGTGTGTGGTAGGGGGGGTGAGGGGGAGTGTGTGTGTGTGGGGGGGGTGAGGGGGAGTGTGTGTGTGGTAGGGGGGGTGAGGGGGAGTGTGTGTGTGTGTGGGGGGGGTGAGGGGGAGTGTGTGTGTGTGTGGGGGGGGGGTGAGGGGGATTGTGTGTGTGTGTGTGGGGGGGGGTGAGCAGAGTGTGTGTGTGTGTGTGGGGGGGGGGGGGGTTATCAGGGCTGTGTCTGTGCTGGGGGGGATATTATGGGGGATATTTTCTCGGGGGTGAAGGGGATACTGTGGGGGGGGAAGGGGGCTATTATCGAGGGGGGTATTACCGTCCGTTACTCACCTCCCGCCCCGCTATAAGGCCGCAGTTGCCGGGTGGCGAGCGCCAGGCCCCGGCCACACACACGGGTAAAAGCCGCCAACATGTCGCCGCCGGTTCTCCGTCACGGCCGCTCGGCTCGTGTTTAATACGTCACTGAAGGCCGCAGCCACAGCTGCCGTCAGCCGTGACGTCACTTCCGGACGCCTCACTTTCGGTCGTACCACGTGTGGTCCTTGTGATAAGGAGTGAGGAGGGGTGAGGGGATGGAGGGGTGAGGAGGGGTGAAGGGTGAGGATGAGGAGGGCTGAGGATGAGGAGGGCTGAGGATGAGGAGGGCTGAGGATGAGGAGGGCTGAGGATGAGGAGGGCTGAGGATGAGGAGGGCTGAGGATGAGGAGGGCTGAGGATGAGGAGGGCTGAGGATGAGGAGGGCTGAGGATGAAGGGTGGTGAGGGATGAAGGGTGAGGGATGAAATGTGAGGGTGAGGAGGGATGAGATTTTGAGTAGAGATCCCACCAGAACAGCTGGAAACCGAATTCACAGGAACTTGAGAGAGTGGGAATTTATTGGTAGAATAGTATAAATAAATAGAAATATAGAAATAAATCTGTTGACTTGTCTTTTTTTCCCGACTTGTGTTTTCTCGACACCTGGAAGTAGGTCACAGGCCAGGTGAAATTTGTTAGGTGGCCAGTTAAAACTGGTGGATTGTTTAAAGAGCGAGCTGGGAACAGAGACTGGCTTTTATAACAGGAATTTGGAGAAAGTGGGAATTCGGTGCAGAGGGGGGAAGGTCTAACTCGTGGGTTTTTTTCTCTCTCTCTCATATAACCGTACATAACAATGGAATACCTTCTGCGTTGCAGAAGTCGTGAGATGTTTGCCTTCCAGGCCCAGGTTTTGAAGTGATTCATCTGCAACAACTGCAAGCTGGTAGATACACTCAATGCTGATGTGGTCAGCCCTAGTGAGTGACTGGCTGTGCACCAAAGTATTAGGGAGGGAGAAGTGTTTACAAATGGTATATGGCTCGGGAGCAGAGTTTGAGAGGAGACCCCGGTACTTAGAGGAGGGGATTGGGTCTCTGTTAGGAAAGGGACCAGAAGTCCTGGTCAGCTGATGGAGCAGCAGCAGCCATCCCTGATGCTCTCCAACGGTTTCTCTCCTCTGGAGAGAGATAGTACGGAAACCCAAGCGATGGCTGAGACAGGCAAGAAATGTTTGACATCTTGAAGACATGATAAGGCACTATATCAAATGCAAGGATTGTTATTATTATCCCCTGAGAACATCCAGCAGCCTATCAGAGAAGGAGGGAAAAAGAGAAAAAGCAGCAGGCAAGTTGTGATATTGGGGGATTCGACAATTCGGTTCATAGATCGCATTCTGTGTAAACCAGACTCAGAAAATAGAATAGTAAGTGGCCTACCTGGTGCATGGGTTGAGGATCTGATGTCCCAGGTTGACCAAATGCTACAGGGGCAATTGTAGTTGTTCAAGTGGGAAGAATTAACACAGATAGAAGTAGACTACAGGTCCCTCATTCTAAATTTAAAGCATATTGCAAGACTGTCACTGCCTCACCCCTCAAGCTGCTGAAACCCTCACCCATGCATTCGTCACCTCAAGGCTTGATTACAGGAACGCTCTCCTCGTCAGCCTTCCCAACTCTTCCCTTAATACGCTGCAGATCATCCAAAACTCTACAGCTTGTGTACTCTCGCGCACCAGGCACGGCAGCGTCCCACGAACAGTCATGGGTTGAGTGACCAGATTATTATTTTAATAATAAACAAATAACCTTCATGAGTTAGGTGCACAGAGAGCCAGCTTTCCGGTTTCGCTCAAACTTTCCGTCTGCCCAGCTCTCCGCGCTGACAGAGTCTCGGTCCTTTCGTCACATCAAGGCTCAGTTATGGAAACTCCCTCCTCATCGGCCTTCCCAACTCTTCAGAGGCTTCACAGCTGAAGGCACAGTCATGCAAAACTCTGTAGCTCGTGGACTCTCGCGCACCAGGCTCCATAACCCCATCACTCCCACCCTCGCCCGACTACTGGCTCCCCATCCCCCAGAGGATCGAGTTCAAGATCCTCGTCCTCACTTTATAATAATAATAATAATCCTTGCATTTGATATAGCGCTTTTCACGTAGGGAGGACGTCCCAAAGCGCTTCACAAAACACACTGTAAAGTGAATTGACTGTATATTTGTGGGCGAACGCGGCAGCCAATTGCGCACAGCAATGTCCCACAAACAGCCGTAGATTGATAATGACCAATTTATTATTGTTTTGGGTTTTGGAGGGATTATTAGGCTCTGTGTGGAGTAAGGAAACTTGCCCAAGGTTTCGCCATCTGCCTGGAATTGAACTCAGGTTTCTTGCTTGCAAAGCGAGTGCTCTAACCACTGAGCTACAGGACTTTCAAGGCCACCCATGGCCTTGCCCCCTCCTACCTCTCTGACCTGCTGACTCCCTACCAACCTGCCCACTCCCTCCGTTCAGCAGGCTCCGGTCTGCTCCATGTCTCCCACCCGACCTGCCCTACCATCGGTGGCCGGCCTTTCAGCCTCTCTCCCCTCACTCTGGAACTCCATCGCACGATCTCTTCGCTTCGCTTCCTCCCTTGCCTCCATCAAAGCCGGTCTCAAGACCCTTCTCTTCGATTGTGCCTTTGGTCGCTCCTCTCTGCCTTCCCTCACCCATACACCACCCCTCCCCCATGCTCGGGCCCCAACACCTGACTGTTCAGTGCTTTGGGACATCCTCCCGAAGTGAAAGGCGCTCCATAAATCTAATTTTGCTGTTGTTGTAAGCGCTCTGGGACTCTACCTTGCGTGAGGGGCGCTATATAAATGTAAATAATCATTGTGGTTTGTACACAGTGTCTTGTCACCCACAGCATTGACCTGCATTGGGACCGTGTTGTCCTTGAAGAGAGACTAGCACGACCAGATGCCCTTCACAAATTTTGGTTAAGTTTCTTCACCACCACCACCAGATTTCATTTATATAGCGCCTTTCATGTCGAGAGGATGTCCCAAGGCGCTGGACAGTTGGATCAGGACCCGAGCAGGGGGGAAATGGTCAGGGTGAGGGGAGGGAGCGAGGAGGGGGTAGAGAGTCGAGAGGGGAGCTGAAGGCACGGTCAAAGAGAAAGGTCTTGAGACCGGCCTTGAAGGAGGAAAGGGAAGAAGTGGCGAAGGCAATGGGGGATGGAGTTCCAGAGCCTCGGGGCTGAGAGGCTGAAAGCCCGGCCACCGATGGTAGGGCGGTTGGGGCGGGGGACGTGGAGCAGACCGGAGCCAGAGGAACGGAGGGTACGGGCAGGTAAGTAGGGTGATAGTAGGTCGGAGAGGTAGGAGGGAGCAAGGCCGTGAATGGCCTTGTAGGTGAGGATCTTGAATTCGATCCTCTGGGGGATGGGGAGCCAGTGGAGGCGAGCGAGGGTGGGAGTGATGTGGTCCCGAAGCCTGGTGCGGGACAGTACACGAGCTGCAGAGTTCTGAATGACCTGCAGCTTGTGGAGGGAGGTGCCGGGAAGGCCGGCGAGGAGAGAGTTCCCATAGTCCAGCCTTGAGGTGATAAAGGCGCTTCAGCAGTGTGAGGGGTGAGGTAGTGCCGTAGTCTAGCGATGTTTCGGAGGTGATGGAAGGCGGTGCCAGTTGTGGTGCGGATATGAGGAAGAAAGGACAGCTCAGGGTCGAACAGAACGCCGAGGTTCCTGACTGGCTTTGAGAGGTGGAGAGTGCAGCCTTGGATGCTGATGGTGTCAGCGCCTGAGGTGCGGAGGCGCTGACGTGAGCCAATCAGGAGGGCCTTAGTTTTGCGCACGTTGAGCTGAAGAAAGTTATCTCTCGTCCAGGACTCGATGTCGGACAGGTAGCTGTCAGGACATCGGTGGTCGTGAAGTTGAGGGTAGAGGAGGAAAGGTAGAGTTGGATGTCATCCGCATACATGTGGAAGTTAACCCCATGTCTGCGGATGATGTCACCAAGGGGGAGCATATAGAGGGTGAAGAGGAGGGGACTGAGGACAGAGCCCTGAGGGACACCACATGAGACAGTGCGGGGGCTGGAGAAAAAGCCGTTTGTGGAAACAAAATGAAGACGGTTGGAGAGGTACGACCTAAACCACTCAAGGACAGGGCCTTGAAGGTTGAGGTGGGAGGACAAGCGGTGGAGGAGGATAGCGTGGTCGATCGTATCAAATGCTACCGATAGGACGAGGAGACAGAGGGAGCCCTGGTCGCAGATGGTCAAGATGTCATTGGTGACCTTGACCAGGGCGATTTCTGTGCTATGGGCAGCACGGAAACCCGACTGAAGGGGTCGAATAATGCATGGATGGAGAGGAAAGAGCGCAGCTGGGAGGCGACAGCTCACCTTCGACCCTCTCCCACCCCCCACTCTTCTGTGACCATTACCACATCATCTGGGTCCCAGACTCACCATTTCTCTCTCTGGCCTGCCTGTTTTGTTGCAATTTCCCCGCCACCACTCTTTTGGTTTGCATTACTAACACCCTGTCCTCTACCCCATTTTCTCCTTTGTTTTCCTTGCCCTGCCTCCCCCCTCTCTGTTAGCTCTTAAAAGCCTCTCCCAACATGCCCTGCATGTTCCCAGAGACATCTGTTTTTGTTTCAGATTTCCAGCATCTGCAGTATTTTGTGTTTTGTTTAACCAGAAGTATACTACTCATGACCCTCTGCCACGAAACTGTTCAGTTGGAGAAGGCCATCCTTGCAGACCTCAACTGCCCCTGGTCTCAAGTCTTTCTGGATAACTCTTCTACTTTGTGCCTTTTATTTTTGTCATCCACGATTTTTAGCGCTGACTCTACATTTCCTTATTCACGTGCACATAGCCTTCTAATTACATAGCAACAAAATGACATTTGTAAAGAGCTTTTCACATCCCAAGGCGCTGGACAGACAGAGTTACGGACCCGAGCCGGGGGTTGGGGTCAAGGAGGGTGGAGGGCAGGGGGAAAGCAGGGCGATCGAAAGCACGGTCGGAGAGGAGGCTCTTGCGGTGAGTCTTGAAGGAAGCAAGGGAGGGGGCGATGCGGAAGGACTGCGTGATGGAGTTCCAGAGGGTGGGGTTAGAGTGGCGGAAGGCCCGCCCGCCAACAATGGGGTGAGCGAGGCAGGGAATGTGAATGGAGTCCTGTAGCTCAGTGGTTAGAGCACTCGCTTTGCAAGTGAGAGACCTGAGTTCAATTCCAGGCAGGGCGAAACCTTGGGCAAGTTTCCTTACTCCACACGCCTAATAATAATCCCTCCAAAAAACCAAAAACAATAATTAAATTGGTCATTTTCAATCTACGACTGTTTGTGGGACATTGCTGTGCGCAATTGGCTGCCGCGTTCGCCCACAAATATACAGTCAATTCACTTTACAGTGTGTTCTGTGAAGCGCTTTGGGACGTCCTCCTGACGTGAAAAGCGCTATATCAAATGCAAGGATTATTATTATTATTATTGAAGCAGGCTGGAGCCCACTGAGGGCTCTATATAAATCCAGGTTTTGTTGTCTGCTCGGAGGTGGGACCTGAATTTCGAGTTCTTGAACCGCACCTTTTATACGTTCCGTTGCTTGGAATCCAACTTGACTGGTTTGAGGGGGTAAAGCTACGGCTGCTTAAGCTCCGTACTTCCAACTGGTGAGATTATCGCTCAATGTGTGTCCGACTCAGGTAGAAAATAATCATAATAACAGTATTAATCTTTACATTTGATATAGCACCTTATCACGAGTTGTTGTTACTCTGGGTTTATATTGTTCGCCATTACCTGCTGAATCCTTGCTTATTCACAGGCTTTTGCGGGAATCGAAAGGAGGAGTGCTATCAATATTCCAAAACTTGGTAAGTTGCTCAGGAGATCGGGGATTAAATTCTTGTGGCGAACATGTAACAGAGCTGGTGTGCATGTGTTTTGTTTGTGCTTGTGCTGTGTCAAAGCTTCCAACAGGGAGGAAGACATCAAGCGAGGAGACAGACGAGTGTGAGGAAGGACAGGGAGGGGACATGAAGCCTGCTGAGCAGAGGGAGGAGGACAGGTTGATATGGTGTTAGCAGGTCACAGAGGTAGGGGGGAACAAGGTCATGGAGGGCTTTGAAGGTGAGGATACAGATTTTGAACTGTATCCTCTGGGGGATGGGGAATAAGTAGAGCCAGACAACGGTGGGGTTGATAAGGTCATAACAAAAACAACAACTTGTGTCTATAAAGCACCTCTCACAGGGTAGCGTCCCAGAGCACTTAAGAACCCATATTGGCTATCAATTATGATTTTATTTCTGTCCAGGTGCTCCATGATTTTATGCTTAATCCATACCCATAATTTTACCCGCAATGGACATCAAACTTACTGGTCTGTACCCGACTCATAAAGTTTATTGTTTATTATTCTAATCCAGTGATGTTCTGTCAGCTTGTTTGACGGACATCATGAACAACAACAAATTACATTTGTGCAGCGCCTTTCACGTTGGGAGGATGTCCCAAGGCACTGGACAGTCAGAGATCCACACCCGAGCTGGGGGTTGCGATCAAGAAGGGTGGAGGGCAGGAAAGGTAGGGAAAGGAGTGTGACCGAAGGTGCGATCGAAGAGGAAGCTCTTGAGATGGGTGTTGAAGGAGATAAGGGAGGAGGCGAGGCGGAGGGACTGTGGTTTGGAGTTCCAGAGGGTGGGGGCAGAGAGGCTGAAGGTCTGCCCACCAATGGTGAGGCGGGCAAGGCAGGGGACATGAAGCAGGCCAGAGCCCGCTCAGCGGAGGGAGCGGACAGGTTGGCAGGTGGTCAAAGAGGGAGGGAGGAGTGAGGACGTGGAGGGCTTTGAAGGTGAAGACCAGGATCTTGAACTGTATCCTCTGAGTGATGGGGAGCCAGTGGAGCCGGGTGAGGATGTGGTGATAGAGTCACGGAGCCTGGTGCGGGAGAGGACACGGGCTGCAGAGTTCTAGATGATCTACAGCCTGTGGAGGGAGGAGTTGGGGGGGGGGGGGGCGTTCCCATCATACACAACGGTCAACTAATTAACAACTCTGTTGCCCGGATTATCACCCGAAGAAAACTCCGTACCGCAATAACCCCAGTCCTTGCCAGGCTCCACTGGCTCCCAATCACCGAACGTATTGATTTCAAGATCCTCTCACTCGTTTTCAAATCTCTTCATGCCCCTCGCTATCTATTGGTCTTGCTGCACCCCCCGCCCTCCCCACCAACCCCCACTCCTCCACCCGCTGCCTCCGCTCAGCTGGCTGCAGCCACCTGTTCATCCCTCGTTCATCATCGGTGGTTGTACCTTCAGCCACTACGCCCCAAAACTCTGGAACTTTCCCTCAATTTCATACTTCATTATGTTTTGGGTTTCAAGGTGGAAGAATTGTCCATTTGAAGACTTTACGGTTGGACGCAGACTAAAACCAGACTTAAAAATGCGAAAATTAAGACTTGGTCATTATTTTGGCTTCCTGGTCATTGCTGGGGTGGTTCTTCTATACTGCTATCCGTTGGTTCCAGGAGATTTGACCAGGAATGTGATCTCAGAGATTCGGGCCTTCTACCTCAGAGTTGCCTGGCCCCAAATCACTCCAAGACAGGTGCAGGAAGAGAGGAGGCAGAGATTGGAGGATCTGTGCGCAGATCCTGAATATAGCTTCCCAGGGAAAAGTCGCAACTTTACCAAAATTCCAAACAAAGAGTTCAATAATTTCATTGTAATCGACAAACTCAAGTTGATCTACTGCTTTGTTCCCAAAGTGGCCTGTACGCAGTGGAAGCGAGTCCTCTATGTGTTGAATGAGAATTTAGAACACCAGGCTCCAGAAAGTCTCAACAGAGATTTTATCCATGATTTCTACAAAGACCCGAAGAGCAAAAAGAAAAACCTAACGGCTATTTTCTCCACTGAGCTGAAAGATTACAAGAAGTTTCTATTTGTCCGTGATCCATTTGTCAGGCTGATTTCGGCTTTCCGAGATAAGATTGAATCTAGAGATGAAATATTCTACCATTTTGCATTGATAATACTCAAGAAGTATGGAAATATCTCTCTAGTCCCAGCTTCTCCTGAGAAAGCACGACAAGCGGGGGTCAAACCCACCTTCACCCAGTTCATTGAGTATTTGTTGGATCCCCAAACTGAGAACCAATTTCCTTTTGATGACCACTGGCGCCAGATGTACCGGCTCTGTCACCCGTGTCATATCAAGTATGATTTTATTGGGAAGTTAGAGACATTGGATGAAGACACCGCTTACTTGCTCCAACTCCTAAATGCAGAAAAACGCATTAAATTCCCACGCAAGTATCCAAACCAGACAACCACCAGCTACGTGGAGCAATGGTTCAGGATCATTCCAAAGCCTTGGAGGGAAAAGTTATTTCAACTTTACGAACCTGACTTTACTCTCTTTGGTTACCCAAAGCCCAAACAACTGTTCCCTGATGGAGAACAGTGACAGGAAATTGTAACATACACACTCGTACAGTCACAAACACACAAATTACAAACACACATACATTTACACATGTGCTCACACATATATGCATGCAGTCTGATGGCAAATAGTGGCAAGAAATAGTGACCTCTTCCCATACACACTCATAAATCGCCACATTTTACCCACAAATATACAGTCAATTCACTTATATATTCTGTGAAGCGCTTTGAGACGTCTAAAAGACAAGAAAAGCTCTATATCAAATGCAAGGATTATTATTATTATAAAGGCACAAACTCACCTATACGCATTCTCAGACCCACATATCAACTCGTGCATGTACATATATTCAGACAAATGCAAACACACATTATTCACAACTGGCATACGTACACACATTCTCACATATTTTAATAACAATATAAATCCTTGGATTATAATTTCAAATCTTGATAAGAAAGTAGGTCAGAATAGAAAAGAGCTGTTAACTTTAGTAAATCGTGTTGTGTGTGACGTGGGCTTTATTATTGCAGTTACTATCTCTGCTTTAAACCGTTATAGTCAAGAGCTGAGGGGGTGGTATTTCTCTGTTTGAATGCAAAAGGTTTGAAGGTGAAGGTGGATTTTAAATGTAAAAAGTGTGTGATGCTTCGCGACCACATCACTCCCATCCTCGCTCGCCTCCACTGGCTCCCCTTCCCCCAGAGGATCGAATTCAAGATCCTCATCCTCACCTACAAGGCCATTCACGGCCTTGCTCCCTCCTACCTCTCCGACCTACTATCACCCTACTTACCTGCCCGTACCCTCCGTTCCTCTGGCTCCGCTCTGCTCCACGTCCCCCGCCCCAACCGCCCTACCATCGGTGGCCGGGCCTTCAGCCTCTCAGCCCCGAGGCTCTGGAACTCCAACCCCCAGTGCCTTCACTGCCTCCTCCCTTTCCTCCTTCAAGGCCGGTCTCAAGACCTTTCTCTTCGACCGTGCCTTCAGCTCCCCTCTCGACGTGAAAGGCGCTCTATAAATGAAATCTTGTTGTTGTTGTAGGCAGTCTTATCTGTTAATGAATTATGGTTCATTTACACTTCAAAGATATATGGCATAATAGGGGACAGGAGTACAAAAATATTTATAATTTCTACACATTTAGTTGAATCATCAGATATAAGGTATAATTTTATCTTAAAATATATATAGCTGCATGCACAGAGATATAGCAAGTTAATATAATTGATACAGGTGAGGTCACATGAACAAGTTGGAATCAAATGTGTGGATGGGTGTACAGAGGTCTGTGTGGAGTTAGTAGGTCACAGAGGTAGGGAGGAGCAAGGCTGTGGACAGCTTTGAAGGCAAGGAGAAGGATTTTGAACTCTATCCTCTGGGGAATGGGGAGCCAGTGACGCCGGGGGAGGGTGGGGGATGATAGGGTCACGGAGTTTGGTGCGGGATAGGACACGAGCTCCATGATCATTCTGAATGATCTGCAACTTGGTAAGGAAAGACTCGGGAAGACTGACAAGCAGGGAGTTAGCGTAGTTGAGCCTGGATGTGATGAATGTGTGGATGAGGGTCTCAGTAGCCTGGAGGGAGAGGCAGTGGCAGAGCCAGCGATCTTGCAGAGGTGGGGGAAGGCAGAAGCGGTCATGGCACGAACGCAAGGAGGAAAGGACAGTTGAGGGTCAAACAAGTTATCAAGGTTCCATATTGACTCAGGTGTAGAGTGAACTCATGGATGGTGATGCTATCAGCGCTGGAGGTGTGGAGGTGCTGACAGGAGCCAAGCAGGAGGGTATCGGTCTTGTTGACATTCAACTGGAGAAAGTTAGCTCTCATCCAGGACATCGGGACAGTTGTGTAAATGGTCCTGGACTCGAGGGTGGAGGCAGAGAGATAGAGTTGGGTGTCATTTACATACATGTGGACAGGGCATGTCGATACTGAAGTTGAGGGGACTAAGGACAGAGCCCTGAGGAATGCCGCAAAAGATGGTGCAGGGGCTGGAGGAGAAGCCATTCCTGGACACAAAGGAGATGGTGGGAAAGGTAACATTTGAACCAGGCCAGGGCAGCACGGTGAAGGTTGAGTTCAGAGGAGAGGCGGCGGAAGAGGATAGAATGTCAACCCTTTCCTCAGAACCTGACCAGCTGCGACTCATTTCCTGATCGATTCCGTTCCTCTTTTGTCATGTCCTCCGTGAGCTGTTTGAACTCTTATTTGTAATCAGAAACATTAAAATATATCAACAGCTATTCTAGCAAATCTGCATTCTTTGTTTATTTCATCATTTGGAGAATCGATCAAATACTGAACAGGAAATGAGATGACACTGTCCTGAAGGACTGAATGGGAACAAAACAACAACAACAAGATTACATTTGTATAGTGCCTTTCACATCGGGAGGACTTCCCAAGTCGCTGGACAGAGTACAGTATTTCAGTCCCGAGCTGGGATCGGGGAGGGGAAGGGGGGTGGCCGGTGGCATGATCGAAGAGGAAGCTCTTGAGGCAGGACTTGAAGGAGGCTAAGGAGGGACCAGGCGGAGTGACTGGGGGATGGAATTCCCAAGGTTGGGGGCAGAGTGGCTGAAGGCTCTGAAGGTGGGGCAGGTGGTTCAGGGGACATGGAGCAGGCCAGAGCCGGCTGAGTGGAAGGAATGGGCGGGTTGATAGGGTGTTAGGAGATCACAGAGGTAGGGTGGGGCGAGGCTACGGAGGACTTTGTATGTGAGGACCAGGATCGTGAACTGGATCCTCTGAAGGATAGGGAGCCAGTGGAGTCGGGCGAGTGGGGGAGATGGGGTCACGGAGTTTCGTGTGAGAGAGGACACGGGCTGCAGAGTTCTGGATTATCTGCAGCCTGTGGAGGGAGGAGTTGGGAAGGCAGACAAGCAGGGTATTTGCATAGTCGTGCTTGGAGGTGATGGAGGCATGAACAAGACTTTCAGTGGCCTGAGGGGTGAGGTAGAGGCAGAATCGGGCGATGTTACGGAGGTGAGGGAAGGCAGAGCGAATCATGGCTTGAATGTGGGGGAGAAAAGACGGTCGAACAAGACACCCACGTTCCTGACTGGCTTGGTGAGTTGTAGTGTGCAACCATGGAGGTTGATGTTACCAGAGTCTGAGGTGCTGAGGCGCTTATGGGAGACAAGACACTGTGCGCAAACCACAACAACTAATTACATTTATATAGCGCGCCTCATGCAGGGTAGAGTCCAGGAGCGCTTAAGAACTGCGACTCTGTCAGCGCGGAGAGCTGGGCAGACGGAAAGTTTGAGCGAAACCGGAAAGCTGGCTCTCTGTGCACCTGACTCATGAAGGTTATTTGTTTATTATTAAAATAATAATCTGGTCACTCAACCCATGACTGTTTGTGGGACGCTGCCGTGCGCAATTGGCTGCCGCCATTCATCCGCAAAATACACAGGCAATTCACTTCACAGTACATTTCTGTGAAGCGCTTTGAGACGTCTCAACCGATTGTGTATTAAGATCCCTGATCCGGCATTGCCTCTTACAGGCAGGACACAGAGCACAGGGCTGGGATGCTGTTCAAGTATTGCCCACGAGGTGGTGGCCTTGCCACAGTTAACTACTGTAACCATAGCTGATGTGATCGGATCTTCTCCATCCACGGTCCCTGTTAGAAGGTAACTTTGTTTTGAGAATGTTCTCCACACGTCAGCTCGGTTCAGCCGGTTGCTCACTCATCTCTGGATCAGAAGGTTGTGGGTTCGAACCCCCAACCACACCCCCACCCAACATCCCCCCGTCAAAACTTTGAGCTCACAGTCCAGGCTGATGCTCCAGTGGACTGCTGTGGGGGGGGGGGGGTGGCGGAGCGGAGAGGGATCCATCATTGTGGAAACGCAGTCATTCAGATGAGACGTTAAAGCAAGATCCAGCCTGCGCCCGTTCAGCTAGACGTTATACCTAGGAGTAAATTTTGTAAATTGCTCGGGTCATTCATGGTGAGAGACCTCATGTGCTGTGATATGAAGAACTTCTGACTCGTTGTTGTGATCGAACATAGTGATCTCGTAGCATTAGTGGTCATCGACCTCGCAAGTGAGAGGACCTGGGTTCGATTCCCGGGCAGGGCGAAACCTTAGGCAAGCTTCCTTACTCTGCACGCTTTTGTTTACCTTGCACTCAGTAAGAACCCAGTGGTTAGTCGATTGGAGGATCGCTTTCCAGGGGTAATAATCCCTCCNAAAAACAATTGATCACTCAATCCACATTGTGGGACACTGCTGTGCGCAATTGGCTGTCATGTTTTGCTCTCAAAATACAGTCAATCCACTTTACAATATATTCTGTGAAGCACTTTGAGACTTCTCAACAACATTATAAGGTGCTGTATCAACTGCAAGTATTACTATTGAAAATATTATTATTATGCTAGGGATGTTGAAATGGATAATAATAATAATAATAATAATAATAATAATAATAATAATAATAATCCTTGTATTTGATATAGCGCTTTTCATGTTTTTGAGACTTCTCAAAGCGCTTCACAGAATAGACTGTAAAGTGAATTGACTATATATTTGTGGGCGAAACGCAGCAGCCAATTGCGCACAGCAATGTTCCACAAACAGTCGTGGATTGAGCGACCAAATTATCATTATTATTATTTTTTTGAAGCGTTGTTATCCTCAGAAAAGTGATCCGCCAATCGACTAACAACCGGGTGTGGAGATGTGTGGAGTAAGGAAACTTACCCAACATTTCGCCTTGCCGGGAATCGTCTCTTGCTTGCGAGGTGAGAGCTCTAACCACTGAGCGAAAGGGTTCCGAATGTATGGATGAATGTACTAGAGATTTTCCTTGATTATCCTTTCAAAAAAAAGAATAATTTTGTCACTCAATCCACGGCTGTTTGTGGGGACGCTGCTGGGCGCAATTGGCTGCCGCGTTTCGCCCACAAAATATACAGTCACTCCAATTTACAATATATTCTGGGAAGCGCTTTGAGACGTCTTCCAAGACGTGATAAAGCGCTATAACAAATGCAAGGATTATTGTTATTAATATAACCCAACACGGGTGGGGGACAGACAGAATGTGTTGAGGTTTATTGTGTGCTCAGTGTGAGGAGAGGTGGGGAGCGAAGGGATAACAGGCAGAAGAGGGGAGAGAGGGGAATGGATTGGGAGAGGCCTGGGCTGAGGGAAAACTCGGGTTCTGCACCTAAACCTCTTCATTATTATTTACAGT